TCACATATTTAGATTTGAAAAAAAACAGAATCCCAACCTTTCTTAATGGAAAAAATATTTGTGTTTAAAACAGCAGTGAGAATATTGTTTTAGAATAAGTGTTATCTATCTAGCTATTATATTAGCAAGTGAGATAATCAAAATGAAGCTATTGGAAGGGAATTTCATGACTAAGAAAAAGCCATTAGAAAGGGGAATTTGTAACATATTAATGCCACTAATGATAACTTTAAGGAAAAGAAGTTTTAATGAAAGAGAAAGATAATAAACTTTTCTCTCACAAAAGTAGATATTGTATATCATAATATTCCTCATTTGGTAAAGCCTGATTTGAGGCATCCCACCAAAGAGTTGAGAGAAAATGGGAAAGGAGTGGTGAAGGGACTGGGTCAGTGGTGCTTGCGGTGGAGGTGATGGTGCCTTTTATTTGTGGGACCTCATCAATACTTTCACTCGCAATGGTCATCTGCAAGAACCATGTGGAAGTTCTTGAACCAGCTGTTCTGTACTCTCCATGGAATTGCAGGTCTCCAAGGGTGTTGGCCTTTTTTCAAAGGTTAAACACACATGATAATCTTGTTAATTTAACCCAATTTTTTTTGTACAAATGATTCCAAAATTCTCCAAAATGCTTAAAAAAAGCTGACTGGCTATCTTAGCATAGGTTTGGGATTTAACTAGCTTATTAATTAAAAAGAATATGTTATGCTTCACAAAGGTACAAGTACTGACAGGTTTTGGAGTAGAAGTAGTTCTGAACGGAATAAATCTTTCAGAATTTTCTATATTTAGTGGAGATAAAGTTCATGCTACATTGAATCAAACACTAGAAACTAATCAATCAAGAACTAGATCCCTATGGAATTTGAACACTAGATTTAATTATATTTGTAGGGTCAATCTCTAAATTACATCTAATTCTAGTATTGCTATGTTTCGCAGTTTTTATTGACTTGAAAGTTCAAAGCAAGTTGGAAGTCAACCTCAAACAGTGGTTCATAGTGCTATCAGTTTCACTGTATTCAGAGTTAAGGGCTTCTAAATAATAGTTTACTGATCATGGTTACATTATTTTCCAATGATTTTTGTTCCTCCTTTTCTAATTCATTAGCTAAGTTTTGCATCTTTTAGCTACCCCAAACTCGGTGGCCCAGAATCCACATTGTCAATTTTTCTCTGTTCATGGATGAATGGGTTGCTTTCAAGCTCCCTCTGTCATGTCGGCTCCGTCGTTCCACCTGTAAGACCCATGTGATGGAGAGACAGAGCCAAGATCTTGTAGTCCTCAGCCGCCTCCTTAAACAACAAAGATTGAGCTTCATTTCTCTTAGCTACATTATCAATACAGCCTACACAAATCTTAAGGAAAATTTTTGACTTTTTGCTTCATTACAGATGCGGAGAAGGAAACTCCCAACATTATTAACTTAAGCACTTGACTCAATCAGTTCTTCACAGTAAATGAGAAACCTGCAGTCGAGCGATAACAAACATTGTTCACTAACAAGGCTCAATTTACAAAAATCGTTATTTTTAATATACAAATTTTAGTTTCAAAACCTGTGTATGATTTTTTATTGAACTTGAATGTATGATTTATGATTATTATTTTTAAACTATCAAACACGATATATTTTATAATTTAATACGAAAACTTGAACAACTTAGATTATAGGTTAACAAAAAACACTGCTCCAGTTTAATATCATGCCCTCTGTGACTACAGTGCTTTATCAAGCAAATAACGTGACTGGGTTTTTCCGAGTGCATCGTACCTTAAACTTCTAAAATATCCTTTAAAGCCCTTGATTCTATCAACGATAGTTTAATATTATTTTCTGTGTAACCTTAAAACTTTTAAAATACCCCTAAAACTATCTTATAAAAGAGCATTTTAATAATTTTTTATGTACTAAGATTCAATATACTTGTAAATATCTTGTCTCAAAAAATAAAAAAAATAAAAAAAAACTCTCACATTTAATGACATGAAAATATCTAAACAAATTAAAAATGGCTTCCATGTCCTTCAAATATAATAATATATACTTAAAATAAAAAAGCCCACAATTTCACAAAGCCCAAAATTCTTACCCAATGAAACAGAAAACAGAGGCCCATAAAATCAATATACCTCTGACAAATAAACCGGCCCATAACGAGATATAGCCGTTTGAAGCAAACAATACGGCAGTATAGAACAAGATATAGCCGTTTGAAACCAACATGTTCACCTTCTGTGATTTTCCCACCAAGGATGAGTGCAACGGAGGCCATCCAATGGCCGCCCTTATCTCGTCTCTCTCAAATACCTTTGGACAAGTTCCTCTATCCGCCATTCTGGTATTTCAGAGAAGAGATCCCAAGGGAAACATTCAGTTGCTCATGGCATGGCAAAGAGAGCTGTGGGCTTATAATGAAGTAAAGTCACTAAAGGGTAGGGAAACTCTACAACTTAGTTGATTCAGGCTTGAACAGTCAGCAGCAGTGGGAGGCTTTCTTGCTCTTAGTTGAAATGCTTGAAGAGTATTGTGCTCACCTTGTAGTAGCTGCTTGGAATCATCAGGTACCGAGCAAAATCCGCTCTTGTTATAAAATATGGTTTGAGTTGGTTTCATTACATAGATCATAGACCTTTGTTCACCTGTTTTTACATTGATAGAGTAACCTATGATGATAGTGACAGAAGAATGCTGACGGGGAGTTTTATTTGGACTAATTAGCAAAGCTAATTTATTGGATAAGCTATTAATAACTTTAGAAGTAAATAAATAATGCAGCATGTGATAAAATGGAATGAAGTTTTTAGGCATCTTGGATGTGTAGCAACTAGCAAATGTTCGAATAAATATGTTATTTATCCGCAAAAAAGAAAATGGAATTCTCTCATGGTCCTTTTAGGATTCTTTAATTACTTGTTGGTTTCAGCATATAGGTTTCTGTCAGTCTCTTTATATGAAGTGGCTCAAATTTCTTTGCACAGGATATATGATGAAAAAATGTTGACACGCCTGTATGCCTTTAGTCGACTTATTATTTGGAAGGTTTATCTATGCAAGCAATCAACTTTTTTTTTTTTTTTTTGTAGTAATGGTCAGCTTTCCACTTGAATGGCATGCCTATTAGTTTGTTCTCTAACACGTTATGTCCCATTCCTTGCTGTCAAATGTGAAGCAACCTTTATTTTCTTGTGCTAATGAAGATACCTTATTGTATCTTACATATTGTCTTTAAATATTTGTTGCTCTCTTTTTCGTAGGATGCAAAACTTTTTTAGTACCTCAGTTCTACGCTGCCTGCCTGCTTAACTGTAATGGCTTCGTGCATAACTTTGTTGCTTTAGTTTTCTGTCTTGCATGATAACTTTGTGGGTACTATTAGCAGAGGTGTCCAAAATCAGTCAGAAAGTCGGGATGAAGTCTTTTGCTGGTTATCAATGTTGTGGAAGCGAGGCTTTTGTCATGATAATCCCCAAGTTATCGACGTCTTGCTAGCATGACATTAATTAGGGGTAAGTTAATTTATGATTTATCATAAACTTAGTGCTACTCTGTTCCTGCTCTCTTTCTTTTTGGCATAATGCAGTTAGATGCATGATGGAAGCTGTGTGAAGTCAGTACCTAAAATTTTCATTCTTGGTCCATTGATGGAAGCTTTGAATGATCCAGTGCACCACAATGATTTTGGTTTGTCCTGAATCTGAAAGCTAGCAAAGAATATTTTGTGCTATGATATCACCAACCGCAATTAAAGAAGTAGATTATAAGAGATAAATCTTAGAATTCTTTCACTTTTTGAGACTTGCCCTTGTTTCTTCTTTCTCAGTTGATGTGTGACTTCAGTACACAAACAAGCCACCATTGTTTTTACCGTTTTCTTTCTCTCTATAATCAAGCACCTGTCATTGACGTGCAATCAAATACAAAATGCATTTTCTTCTAAACTTCCTCGTGTTTCAGTCCAAGTTTCGAAAGCCTGGAGTAGCACTAACTGACTAATTATGTATGTTTGGAACTGACTTAGGTTGAGCATCTTCATAAATGGTGTCTCCCTTATCCTTTCTTTCTCTCTTCCTCTCTTTTTCTTTTTTCTTTTATTTTTCTGCCCTTCTAGTTAGCCACCTAAGTAAGATGCTTTTATATAAAATTTTCATGTAATAATGTTGAAGTTTGGTTCTTGCTTTATTGATTATTGTCTCACACTCTACATTAAATTTGTGCAGTTGGTGGTCTACTACAGCTATTTGACTGGTAATACTGCTTTGAATCTTGTGAGCTAAGATAAATATTTCACCTAGTTGTTTCTTTGCTCGATTTTTAGGTAGTGAAAGAGTTCTACTCTTCAAAAACGATTGAGGATGCAGCTAAATTTTTGCATCAATATTCAAGTTACCTGGATGCAAGTTATGCATTATATAGTAGAATGCAACTTATAGAAAACTATAAAATTGAGTTAACTTTGCAAGAAAGATTTATTTATATTTATTGTTTTTTCATTCTCAGTAATGTTGTCACTTACATGCATTTAGTTGGAAATAGGCTCTGCAGAGCAGTTGTGGTAAAATTATGAATCTCTTTTTTGAGCTCTGCTACAATGACCTTTACCTTTATGCTGGAGCATATTTGTTCTCATGATTTTTGAAGTAATAATGGATTCTAGATACTCAAAAATAACACATGAAGTCTACAGATTCTTTATGTGATTTCTTACATATATGGTAGTTGAAGAAACTATATTTCTTTAAAATCCTTATTCCAGCTTTTTAAAAGCTCATTCTTCCCATCTCTTTTTTCTTATTACTTTCATGTTCTATGTGGTTGGTCACCCTAGAATTTATTAAATTATCATAGGTGTTATTTTTCATCAAGCTTTGGGGTCATTGAGTCTACATTTTCTCTCGTAAATAACCCTAAACAATGTTTGTTGGTGGGACAAATCCATTTTCTCAGTTTAAGAAACAAGATTGCTATGCATTACAGATTTATACTTTCCACATAAGATATATACCCATTATGTAGTTAAGAACTTGTTCAGTAGACAATCATCATCACATTCATGTTCAATAAAGAGAAATCACCATTACTCCAAGCAACACAGGGAAAAGAATGCATCTTGATTAGTATTTGGAAATTTTACCGATGCTTGCGTAACATCGAGGTCGGTTTTGAAAAGATTAATCTCCAATTCTTTTGCATCTGAGAGAGAGATAGAGGGAGTCATTTCATTCATAATAAAGAACCAAGGAATAGCTCATAAGAATAACGATAATGTGAAATTCCACTATACATCACCTGTAGGCCTTTCATTACAGCTTTCATCTTCTTATTATTGCTTGATGTGGATCCACCATTCTTCATTTTCTTTCCAGGTTTCTTGGCTTGGTGGTTGGTCAAACATCTAAGAAAACTTGGGATCAGAATTCCCCAATTGTCAAAACAAGTAGGAGTCTTGGAATATTTTGGCTTTCTTTGGACGGAGATAATCTACCCCAAAGCAAAAAATTAAGGAATCACAACTGCACTGTCATAATAATCACTTTCAACGATAAAAAGCCTATGGACCCATTTTGGTTGAAATAGGTTTTTCCTTCTTCTCTTTAAACCACATTGCTTCTACTTTCCTCCACTTTAAATGGACTAGACAGTTGCTATATGTATTCATTTATTCAAGGAAGGAAATATGTCACCAAACTTGAAATTTAATCATATCAAAGTTGTAGCACAGTATCATTAATGAGAAAAGCATCCTGGTAGACTAATGACCCGAAAGTGGAAGAAAAGATAAGGATCCGAGGATTCAATAGTTCTTATAGGGAAAAAAAAGAACACACACAATATCAATCTCAAAATCTTTTTCTGGATAAAAGTAAATGATAGAATAAGTTAAGCCTTAGTGGGATACTTGGTTTGAAGGCTGCTGATCATTGGAAGAAACTGGGTTTGACTGAAATGGTGTGGACGACGCTGATCGAGCAGACTCCCGTAGGCGCTGAGAGTAGTGAAGAAGCTCAGCTTTTCTGTTGTAACCTTTACCAGCTGCACCTCCATGCTTATGTTGAATTATCTCTTTTTGGATGGTGTGATGAAGATAATGGTGGCGATGATGGTGGCTTTGTTTTGAGAACGCCCTCATCCGGGGCTTCTCCACGTAAACGGTTACCAACACCGCTTTACAGCATGTTGCCTGAAACTCATTTTGCGAATCATCCCAAGTTGTATTATCTTCATCATATAAAAATATCAGAAGCTGGAGAGGAAACAAGAGGGAGGAGGCTTACCATTTTGGTCGGCATGTTGCTGACAGGGAGAGAATTTGGGTTGGAGAAATCATCAAGATGACATAGTTAATGTTGCAAAGACAAGATGTTAAAAATGCAAAAGCCAAACAGAGAAAGCCGACTTTGGAATCATTGGTCGGATCGATCAACCAACCTCATTGTTATATGCTAGAAAGGTTCCAAATATAAGAAACCATTTGATGGAATTTCAACAAACTGATTAGGGTCATTTTGACTAAGAATACCCTACCTTAAAGAAAAAGTGAATCCCATGCAAGAAAATGGTGATTGGATGAAGGAATAATATTAACTACCTTTAACAATTAATTTCTTAAATATATGGTACAACAACAACACAGCATATTTGCCTGATTTTTGAAAGGAAAAATATCGTAATCAATAGTTAAATCAAGTGGCTGATGAATCACCATTCTTCTGTTCCATTGCTTTCCCCTTGATAATTGTCATTTCTAAACTTGACAAAAAGGTTGCACCTAATTACTAAAAATTTCTGGAGTTCTCCATTATTTACTAGATACTTATATGCAAGGTGATGCCTGATACATTGTTATTGAATGTTTTACTTTGGATCGACTTTTTTTTTTTTTCTCTTTTTTAACATTATGGTTATATACGAGCAAAAGAGTTGCAGCATGTCATTCAGATGTCAAAGCATTAACAGAATCTTCATATTCTAAGCATTTCATCGACGCTAAAATCATACTCACAACAGCAGGGTGAAACTACAACACTACCACAGCAGAGGTGAAAAAAATACATGAATTGTTAAAAGGACAAAAAACAGCAATTCAACTAGTTATTATTGGAACTGGTATCATCCAGCCAAGTTGCTTGCCATTGCTTGTCATAAAAGGTTGTCTCTTCAATCAGCTGCTTGATGTTATCTAAATCTTCATTCTTCCTGATTAAAAGAACTCCCACAACAGCTACAAACAATAGTGTCTTGCAAAAGAAGTTGCCCATTTGGTCAACCAGACCTAATCCAGTCAAGCTATCAACCAGATATGCCATGAAGAACCCTATCATTGCTGCACGACCTGCATAAAACTCGTTACAATAAACTAAGGTTAAACAAGACAGTATTGCTTCTACCTGATCCACACTCTATCAAAAGACTTATCTTCGTCAAGAAAGAGAATATTATATATTTGAACAAACCATTAAGCAATTCAGCTTCAGGTAGATGGAACCTCTTCATCCACGCCCACCAAGGTATGATGGAAGTGTCAAACACTACAGGGTCATCATTACTGGTAGTTTCCGGATTATCCTGGAGCCATTTTCTCCTCCTCACCTCTGAGAAGGAGTTCAATGGAAGCTTGTTACAAACAAAGGAATCACAGAATCAACAGGAAATATTACACTTGCCAATATAGCATATATATGCCTCAATGGATCCACCCTCCTTGATATCAAACAGAAATAAAACATGCAAACAAACATTTACTGTTTACTAAAAACAGAAGGCTGACACCAATAACCAATAGCTGCCTTTTCCCTAAGAACTTTCATTCATGAAGCTAATATATGAATTTAGTATACTTCAGAATCTTTCATGGGAATCCACTTATTTCAACTCTGGAAAGCATAAGAATGCAAGAGATGGGATATCCCAAAAGAATCATAAGGCAATTACACTTGCTAATAACCTAAGCCTGGGCCTTGACAACAACTAATCACAAAAGGATTCCTGTTGCATCTTCAGGCCTAGCCGCTAAACACACACCGTCTTTCCTTTCCTTTCCTTTTGGTGGACTCCAATTAGGGTTCTTTGATAAATATCCTTTTATATTTAAATGGTTATCAGAGTACAAGCCGACTTATGGTTTTTTTAATGATTGAACGAGTTAGTTGTAGCAACATTTTTCATTAATTCAGTTTCAATGGGACAGTAGAGCTTGCACTGAAGCTCTAAAACATGCTATAACTCCAAACAACTACCAAATATCCACGTCTAACCCTTCAGAACTTTGAGATTATATAGCCTTAAAGGCTAATTTGTTTTGAATCAATAATCATCCAGTTCATTCACCTGTGATCAATAATTCAGGAAGCCCATCGGCCACCATTACACCATTCTTTATACCACCTTCCCATTTTCACCTAAACAACCTAGTTGTATGACACCCAAGATGGGCAACTGGCAGTCAGCGAGAAAGCTTTTCTCAGTAACTCTTTGAACTACCATTCTTTCTCATACTAGCAATAACTCACAACAACTACCAAATATCCATGTCTAACCCTTCAGAACTTTGAGAAAATATAGCCTTTCACGGTAATCTGTTTTGAATCAATAATCAACCACTTCATGCATCTACAATGAGTTGATTACTTGGGAACTCCATCACCATAATTGTTTCCTATTCTTTGGACCACCGCATTCCCATTTCACCTAAACAACCTCGTTGTACCTCACCCAAGATGGGCAACTGCCAGTGAGAGAGAAAGCTTTTCTTCACTAACACTTTGAACTACCATTCTTTCCTTCTCTCTTATCAAAGAACGAGACGAGGACAAAATGCTTAAGTTTGCTTCAAAGGAAATGTATTTTCTATTAGTTGCATTAAGACGCCTTTCAATCAACTTTAGGATTTTAATCCATATAATAATTCAGGTTTACATGCAGAAAAAGTGAAAAAAAAAAAAAAACAAAATTCACAAGAATTGTCACTTTATTATAATATTGTTTTCTTGGGCAGAACCCAAGAATTGGTCACTTCATCCATGAAAATGGAAAGCTGCCAAGAAGCAATTAAATTACAAATCACCAACGAAAATTTAAAAAATAAAAATTCTTACCAGCATCAATAACAGCATCCCAATCAGTGCTCCCATTTTTCTGGAACTGTTTCAAGTCCCAAGTTCCTCCAATCCACCTAGGATCCTCAAACTTGCTCAAAGCCTCAACTTCTGTGCTCGTAGCCACCCCGTTAGGCCCAGCAGAACCCTCCATGGCCTTTTCAAGTACCAGGTCTTTCTGCTTGGGGCTTGGGTCTTCAGCAGCAGCAAGTGAAGCTGAAACCCCAGCTCCATTGTCTGGTAAAGACTTGAGAGAGGAAAGGAGAAGAAAGGGTCTCTTAAGACGGAAAAAAGGAGTTGGTTTGTGAGTGAAATGGGGTTTGACAGAGAAGGAGGTAGGAGGCGGAGAAAATGAGGCCATGGATATGGACATTGATCTGTTTTTTGAGTTTTATTTTGTATGTTGAGGTTTGGGTTCCCGATTAAGTGATGAGTTTTTTCTTTTTCAGTACAGGTTCATTGGCTGAGTTTAGTTTGTTTCAAGGTAGGTGGGGTATTTGTGAGGCTGTCACCTAATCCTCTTATTTACTGGAGCATATACTTACTTTTTTTTCATTATAATTTTATAATCATTTAATTATAATAAACACTATGTAATAATTTATTATTTATAAATATAAATCTCACATAAAATTTTAATAAATATCACATAATTTTAAATTATTATTAATTAATTATATTATAATAATTATAAATGAAATTTTTACTTAAAAAATTAATTACATTGCGCATAGACTTCTTCCTCTGTTAATTTTATAATTTTAAACCCGATGACAATGATAAAAATTTAATATTAAATAAAACACAAAAATCAAAGGATTTAAATTTTAATAAATATTTCCAATAAGGTTTGACTCTATAACAGTAAAGATATTAATTACGTGAGTTTAATTTAATTAATTTTTAATTAATTGATAAATTTGTTTGTTTAAATATATCATAATATAATATTTAATTGTAATTATAACTTTTATGTATAATTTCAAAAAAATTATATAAGTTTTATAAAAATAAAAAATAAAATTTATATTTTATTTATAATACAATTTTTATATTTTACATATATTAAATATAAAATAAACAAATACAGCGGCGGCAATTACCGAATCCACTCCCAACCAAAAAGAATTGTTTATTTGGTCAGTTTCGGGGTTTATATTTAATAATTGTTGGGTTTGTTAAATTTTTTTGTTGCTCTTATTCCCTTACTTTCTGCCAAAAAGCTGCTCTATCGAAGTACCATGGCCATCAATGGAGGTCGCAACTGCAGCCGCATCGAGCTTCGCGCTCCACGCGCACATTGTATCACCACCAACCGCCTCACGAACCGTAAACCCTAACTGAACCTTAACCTCTCCTCCGTCAACTTCTTTCCGTGCTTCTCTCTCCACCAACTTCCTTTCTCCCTTTCCGGTCTTCGGCAGTGTCTCCGGAGATTTCTCCGGTCTCAAGCTACCAGCCTACACTCGCAACACAGCTTCTCTCTCCCGGTCCAAGCCCAAACGAGGTGTTGTCACCATGGTACACATTCAAATTATTCTAATTTAATCCACATTTCTTCGCTTTACTTATATAGGGTTTTCAAATTCATTTTTCGGTGATTGACTTGAATTTTGTGGATAGGTTATTCCTTATTTGTACAAGTATAGGATAGTTTACTTGGGAATGTCGCTTGTTCCTTCGGTCACAGAGTTGATACTGGCTGAGTTTCTTTACCTTCAATATGAAGATGCGGAGAAGCCTATTTACTTGTACATAAACTCCACTGGAACAATCAAGGTACGATTTTCTTATTGGAAGTTGAAAACCGTGTTCTAGAGGTATAATTGTAGTTTTTTTCTGTGATTAGTGGCATCATAATTTGCATTGGATGCTAAATGAATGATAAAAATGCATACTTTTGTTTAGAAAGTATTTTGAACCTGTCTTATTTTAGTTTCTTGGCTTTGCGAAAAGGATGAGGATGGAAAACTTGTTAATCCAATAGTTAAAAATTATAACCACTTTCCTTAGCTTAACCATTAGATTAAGAAATATCCATCTTCACCTCTTTCCATACTTCTTATCAATGTACTGAATCAATGTGAACTTAGTAAATAGTTTCTGTTTTCTTTTTCTTTTGCATTATTAAGGTACTTAAAAGATTAAACAAAATGTCACATTTGTTTGCTCGCTTTTTAACACTATTAACAGGATTTTTCACTTTTTTCAGGGTGGCGAGAAGTTGGGTTATGAGACTGAGGCTTTTGCGATCTATGATGTTATGTGGTCATTACTCTTTCTCTTCTTATCTAATGCTTTATTTCAAAATTGACTTGTTTTATAAGCTGCACAAAATATGAGTTTATTAAATGTTGGAATGATCTGAATTCTCTTCCTGGATTCAGGGTGGTAGTTTCAGCCTAGATTTCAAAATCCATCAGTATCAACTATTCTTGAATAGTGAATGCATCATTCTTGGTGAATTATTTTGGGGCCCTTGTACCATCCACATTTCTATAGCCAGTATGTTCTTTTAGTCATGATGAGGCCTAGTCACTTGCGGATTTCTTCTTCATAGGCACTGCTTAGTTACTACCTGCCTTAAGCTTGGAAACATTTCTAAATGTATAATGTTCTACAAACCTCTGTATGTCCTTGTCCTTCCTGAAGAGCTTCCAAGCTTTATTTATGTGTTTCTGAAGACTTTCTTTCACTGCAGGTATGTCCGGCCTCCTATTTTTACTCTCTGTGTTGGTAATGCCTGGGGAGAAGCTGCATTTCTTTTAGCTGCTGGTGCAACAGGAAATCGTTCTGCTCTTCCTTCATCAACAATAATGATAAGGCAGGTTGGTTGTTGGACAGTGGATCTATGATGCTTTAAACTATCAATTTCTTCTAATATGTTTGACATGTTTAACCTGAATGTTTAATATTTATTATTTTTTACTCTACCAAGCTGCAGCCAATTGCTAGATTTCAAGGTCAAGCAACAGATGTTGATCTTGCAAGAAAGGAAGTAAAAAATGTGAAAACAGAGTTGGTAAGAAAATAATCTACTTAGTTAAGGATCTGATTATACACCAAACTTACATTTGAAAACTCCACGGTCCAGCTTAAACAGCTTTGTATTTGCTTGGACTTCTCACTTCTATGACCAAAATGTAGACTGTAAACTGTGTATATTTGTTTTTAAATTTACTCATTAAAGTTGACTTTGCAAACTTTGCTGTTGGATTTGCATCCAGATTTGAGCTAATACAACTGCATGTTTTATATGGATTATACACAAGGTTAAACTCTATGCAAAACACATGAGGAAATCACCTGAGCAGATTGAAGCAGATAGCAGGCGCCCAAAATATTTTAGCCCCAATGAAGCAGTTAATATGGCATCATAGATAAGGTTCGTTTACTTGAAGGAGTTATTTGTTCTGTACTAATTTTCATGCATTGCTTTATTATATTTTTCCAATAATATTCTGCAGGTATTATATAATGAAAGGAGTGCTGAAGATCGTGGTGTTGTTTCTGACCTAAAAAAGGCACAACTTATCTGAACATAGGAGAGCTTGTATTGTGACTGTAAAACCGCTCAGGTAAAACCATTTGTTTTCTCTTGAATTGTATGATTGATTACATTGCATGTTATATGTTCTAGATATCTTTTTATACAATAGCTCTCCACTAAAAATAAATGGTTATTTTTTAGAAGGCAGTATGTCTAAAAGATATTTTTTGTTTTCCACAATTTTGATGGAACTTAGACTGTAGTAAATTAAGGATACTCATTACCACAGGATCCAATTAATCTCACATCTATTTAAGCATGGATTAATTTTGGAAAGTATTGATATTTAGCTGCATTTTGACTCCCCATGTGGCTTCTAGTGTTTTTAGATATGTTGCCAAGCAATATACCGTGATGTAGCTGGGTGTTGGTTATGTTGTGCAAAATCTCTATCTCTCAAATGAAATAATGTATTGTCCTGTTTATGGTTAAAGGTTTTGATTGGTAATTGTGGAGGTTGAAAGTGGAATAAACCTTTTTAGACGTGTTATGCCTTTATCGAACGTTAGCCCTTCAGTCTCTATCATGAGCCCCTCTTTCCACTTCCACACCCACAATGGTCCTTAGGTTCTTCCCGTAACTAGTACATTTCTTGACTAGTGTGTTCTGGAATAGAAAAGTATTTGCCTTTTTGTTTTATGGTCTCGCCACCTTTGCCATCATTGCTCTTTCTGTCCACTCTAAAATCTGCAGAACAAAAAAAATTTTGGAAAAGTGCATCAGCTATTGTTGCTTGTTTGACTATATGTTCATATGCTTTACACCTTGCATTTGCCTTTTTGTTGTTTGCTAAGTTTGCTGCAGTTGTATTGAGAATGATTGAAGAGGAAATTTTGGATGGTGGTGTGCTTTTGTTGCACGTAATTGCTAGTTTAGCTCCCTCATTACATTACATTTTTCTCCTCTCTTCATCCTAAACATCACAAGCGTCAGAATGAGATTCTAATTCTAAGTTGAAGATGGTATTTTGCGTATAGACCATGGAAGTATTTTGGTCCCAAGTCTCAACAGTGTCTATTCCATGATTTGCTCAAAGTGTCAATGACTTGTTAATGGAAAGTGATGTCATTATTTAAGCCAATAAAAATGACTGTCACTATGTCAATACTCTTATTTTTCTCTCTCAATCTTTCTTGCCTATCTTTCTGAAATGTGAGAATATCAGTTTAATTGAAATAAAGTACATAATACATGTTTAAAGAGATCAGATTTTTTGTCAAAATTTATCTTACTTTTCCAATATTTTCTACCTTCTCTAATAGGATGCTCACTGCAGCACGGTATAGATTGAGTTAAAGGATGACCAGAGAAGCTGAGAACAGCCTGTACTCTGTTCGTGGAGCAAAGGCTTGGGAATGGGAAAATCATAGTCATGGTTATGCTGTCTCAGCACAATTATCAGTCAATTCTATTTTAGTTGTTTAAGCCCAATTAATTGCAATTAAAATTTTGGGGTTTTTTTTTTTTTTTTTTGCCTTGTTTCAGAAAAAAAAAAAACTTTCCTGCGTCACTATAACTACTCTACTATAGATAATTTTGAAGGGTGAAACGTGCTTTACGCTTAGATTAGATTATTGATTGAAACTGCATGTAATACATCAAATATGAACGAAGTTTGACGAAGCTCGGAAATTTTTTATAAAAATTAAGTATTAATTCGCTTAAATAATTCAATTCAACAAGACAGTCATAAGCTCAGAAGTTAAGAATATGATTTTCTTTGTTTTTTTAATAAATTTACAAAATCATTTTATATGTCAATAAACTATCATCAGATCGTTGCCTATGGGGGTTATCTTTTTCTATGGGCCGAGAAGAAAGGCTATCTACGCTTTTCATTCAGAAAAAAAAGGTCTAAATCTCAGTTAAAGGCCCAGTTATTGTCTTAATGTAGGGCCCGCTCAAAAGCTGGAAATCTCCTCAACAAATTAAAAAAAAATTAAAGAAAATATGTAAAATGAACAAAGAAATCTACAAAGATTAAAACAAAAATAAATAAATAAAAATATAGTTGGTTTTGTGAGAGCATAAAAAGGGCTCAGCTCTCATGTAGAACGAGACTAAAACTGGTAGATGGAACCAGACGATCCTTTTGATTGGATAACGGACATCTGCCAGGTGTCATCCTCTGAGGAGTCCCGCTTACGTCTCTGCTCTTATTTCGGCATGTCGGATTCTGATAAGTCAGACTCCGACTCCGGCTGGCGAAATCCGCCTGATATCCCGGTCGCTACCACTGGCATCGCAATGGTGTCTCCTCCGGAATCACCGCAGGACGAACTACTAAATGTCCAATATACCCCTCCAGAAGACCGGGAAATCTTCCACACCCCTCCTGAGTCCAGGTCCACCTCTACCTCCTTCCATAACTGCTACGATGACCGAATGATCGGCAATGGTCTTGATCTCGATGGAGAAACTGTGGCCATTGGTACTGATAGTGCGGACAGCAGGAGGGCCGTTGATTTGGAAAGGGATACCGACCTAGGGTTTTCGGAAGTGGAAGTGGATTCGGCGCAGAGGATTGAAGCTAATTCGAATCCAGACGGCACGTTTCGAAGGGAATCGGAAGAAATTAGGGTTTGGAAAAGAGGATTTTCCCCAAAAGGGCAATTTTCAACTGAATCTCCCTCTAAAAGGTTAAAAAGTTTGGATTTTGAATTACCAAATGAACCTTTGGGCGCTCCAAAAGAGAGATGCACCGAAGAATTATTGAAATCGTTGAAGAAATGGAACTTCAAGAATGTTACTCCGTCTCCTGGAGCTAGTTCGGAATTGGAGCTTCGAAATCAGCGTAATCATGAATCTACTGGTGAAGTTGGTGAAGGAAATGTTAGGAAAAGAAGGCTTGATTTCCGGACTGAGGATATCGAAAGTGATACTGAAGAAAGAAACATAGTGAGAGAAAATGAAAATGGTGATGGAAATTGTGAGAGAAACAAGAACATTGTAGAGGATATTGATCAGGTTAGAGACACGGTAGGGAATGGTTTAAATTCGCGTGGAATGGTGGAGAAAACCGAGAGAAAACGGGCATTGCCTTCATGGGCTAATAATGAGAGAGAGGATGATGATGAGAGTGTTGATGAGGAATTGGAGGTTAATGAAGAGGAGTTGCTTTCATGGGATCATGGGAGAAAGGTGGATGATGAGAGAGCCGTTGAAGAATTGAAGGCTAATGAAAAGGAGTTTTCTTCATGGGCTAATGGGAGAGTGGGGGATGATGAGAGAGCTGATGAAGAAGTGGAGGCTAATGAAACAGATTTGCCTTCGTGGGCTAATGGTAGGGTGAGGGATAATAAGAGAGCTGATGAGGAACTTGATGTTAATGAAAGGGAGACGGTCGATTTGGATATGGATTCAGATAGTTTGAGTGAGGATTTTGTGGAAATTACACTCTTGGATGTGTTAGTAAAATTGAAAGAGGATTGTGAGGAGGATAAGAGTCTAGAATGTCTTAGTCTTTTGGAGGTTGCAGAGAGAAAATGGGGTGCGTTTTCCTTGGACAAATGATAGGTCGCACGACAAGTGTTTCATATACAGGTATACTGAAATATGGGAACTTGAAAAACTTTAGGCTAGATATTTTGTAGTTCAAATCCATGCTATATATGGATTGTTTGCTTGTATAATTTGAAATGTTTTAACATGGAAATATTTTTAGGTTATGTGTATAAAGATATTATTATTTCTAACTTTGATTGCAAAAATTCGCTTAAAATTGTTTTGCCTGTGTAGTTCTTGTGTGTGAGCGCATGCGCATATGCATCAATCCGGTGTTTTTCACAGGTGTGCTGTTGATGCCTTATCGGTTGGTTGGGTTATGGAAATGTACCATTAGAGCAATATCTAGAAATTATTTATTGTTTCAAGTCAAACCTTGTGGATCAAAATTCAGGACCTGAGATGAAAAGTGATTTGTGATAATATTTGTCAAACAAGGAAACAGGTGAAAGGTACCTTTTTTCTCCTTTTCTCCCCATCAATTAAGGGAGTTATAATACTAAATACTTGCATTTACATTAAAGCATAGTCTAGTGCACTCTTTGTTCATTTTCATTAGTTCACAAGTCATCCAAAGGAATAGGTACCCACTTTAGTAGGTCATTCCGGATAGGCAAAGCAAATTGTTACCTGCCTTAGCCAACAAAATAGCCCCACGGTCGACCCACTACATCATCGCACTTGCAGTAGTATAGTTTCTGGTGTGAGCAGAGTGGATAATTTACAGTCTGGTTTTCATTTTTTGCCTTCCATAGTCTTCTTTTATAGATATCATATCTACTCTCAAAATTTGAGAAGTTCCCAAACCTGACTTTAGTCAAATGGCATCTGGTAACGGGTTTGATCTGATTTGGTTACATCGAATTAACTTTGTGTTTTGAAATTTGAAAGAAAGAAAGATGGCGCATGTTCTGTAAGGATAAGATTTTTTGCATCCGAAAAACAAGATTGAGTAGATTTCCGGAATCAGATCATTAGCATATTTATTCTCAACAAACAGGAAGTTGACATCCAATACTGTCGTGTGGGAATGGTCGTGGTCTCAAAGTTAGACCTTTTTAGCCGTGGCTTGTTCGGGATGTGACATGACACTTGCGAGTCTTCGCCCCTTTTCAGGCACTTCCTCTGATGTCAATGTCATTGATTATTTATACATTGTTCCTAATTCTTTGTTCTTACGAATAAACCTCCATTAATATAGAGTGGATTTTCTATTGGTTTTCTAGAATGACCAGTCATGCACAATTCTGTTCAAATGGAATAGTTTTATGCGAACTAGTCACAGATTTTCCTACTTGAATTCTGCTTTCCAATCACATATTCACACTCCTTTTATCTCTTTCCCCCTTCTTATCCTAAGGTGACTGCATGAAGGGACAAAATCCTATTGAGGTCCATTCAATCTACTAATATATGCAGGTATCAAGTATCCTCCAAAAGGCACCAATAAAGGATAGATGGTGATTCCTTCGCATGCATCCCATAAAGCTATTTTCATAACCCATTTATTCTATTTTTCTTCCCCACTCAGCGAAACCGAAGGGGATAAGACTCAAATTGACCAAGGAGATATATAAAATTATGTTTCCATGCATAAACTACATTTGCATACAAAACTCTGGAAATTACCACCTCTTCTGCATTTTTTGAGCTATATATTACAATCTGTTGTCAACCTATACAAAAAAAACCCACCTGGAATTCATCCCTTAGCATTCCAAGTTTGGAAAGGTTGAGGGTAAAAAAGATCAACCATCAAACCTCATTCACAGACTTTGGTGTTTGGCATGCAAAATAGGTCGACCCCACTCAAGGGATCTTGCAGAAGAAGCAGACCTTTATAGTTCTAGTAATTAACAACCACTGCTAGGGATGGACAGGATGTGGGTGTGCTGAGCTACTGCTAGCGCTTGCCTGTTGCCCAAAACTTATAGTAGGGTGAAGCAGTTCTGCCTGTGGGAATGAGCCATTGGATGGTACATCCAGCAGCAAATCTTGGTCAGAACTTTCATCGACAAAATGGAGAGAATCCAGCACAAGAGAGCTACCATCAGGAGGCAAGGCAAATAGGCTTCTTGGACTAAAGCAAGAACCATCATTGTCTATGAGTTCTTTGTTTTCATAAGTAGCCTTTGTCATCACCTGTTTGGGGCTCTTTAAAGTCCTTGCTTCTGAAAAATGAAAACATGTTTTTCTTAAGCAAAATGCCAATGTCACTCGTAACAATCGCAACAGCTCACAAGATGAACACTTGACTTAAAGTGAAATTTATTTAGTTGCAGAGAAATTTTCCTCATTTGGCTTCATTAACTTTATTTCTTTCACCCAATTTACTGATTAATCTCTATGACTATTTTGACTCTGATTTTATTTTTTTTTCCTTGTTATTTTCAGTTTAAAATTCAATGTCGCCATCTAATCTTCAATATAATTTAACAAGATTTATTTTATACAGAGCAATAACAGCAGAGAAATTTTTCAAACCTGGAAAATTTTGACTTTGGCTGTCGCATGATCTCTTCATAACCACCAAATTATTAGATGTAATGGCATTTGGTCTTCTAGCAGTCACAGACCCTCCAATACTAATACATTTCTGCAACTAAAGAAATACTAATATATTTAGGCCTCCAGTGAGCAAAATAAATTCATGTCAAGATGTCACTATTTTAGAAACCAATTCAAACCTTCAGTACGTGATGGCGTTCCACCCATTGGGATTTCATCAGGTTGAATAATGCAAGTCTTTTCAAAGTCTTACAGTCTTCAGGTTTCACCCCTTGGGCAGAGATATTAAAGATCCCTTCCTCAAGCAGTTGCTGAAAGTAACATAAATTCTCCTTGAATTGGGGGCTTTTAAACATGTTTTTGAGGCTGCAGGTGCAAGGATAACTATCAGTGATTCCCCATCATGTTTCAACTATTGGCCATCTCCTTAAATAATAGCCATTACTGGTTTCTCCCTTTTTCTTTTCCTCAATTATCTAATATGCACTATATGTGCATCAGATACTATCGAAATAAAAACATGATTATTATCAGTAAATGCATTCTATTATACACAAAACATGAACTAGAAAGATGTTATTTTTGACATCTTGATAATAGAGGAAAGAAGATACCTATCAGGGAGTTTGGCAATGTCAAGTGGAGGCAGATACTGCAGTAACTGCTGCTGTTCCTCATTTGTTAAAAGTTTCACAAACTCCTCAAAGTTGAGAATATCCTGCACCACACAAAAATATCATCACATAATGAAGAATGAACATATGTGCTGTGATTTGAATAGTTCATGGTAACTCAATCTTTTGCATAGATGGAGGAATCATGTGAAAGATTTGCGAAACATTCAGTCACTGAATGTATACAAAATTACAGGTTCCTAGTGCTCAATTTAGATTTTTTACAATATAGCAGCTGTAGAATTGAGTTCTGTAGATTATCCCCTAAGAAAGCAAGTAAAGAATATAGAAATAAGGGAACTTACATTCAAATCTATGTTACACAGTGGTGAATTCTGACTTTCCAGCAGTAGTGATTTTTCATGCTGAGCCTTGTCCCTGCCAAATGTCAAAAGGAAAAAAATATTAATCAACATGAAAGCAACAGTCTCCAATTTCTCTTCCCATTGCACGGCAGCTACGAGCTTTATCTTATCGCCCATGACTAATGAGTCATGATAACACTAGATGCCAAAAAGTCTTCCTCAAAAACTGCAGGGTAAGACATTACTACTAGGAGCTTTTGAGATAAATTCCATTCTTCACATTGTTGTGGGAGATGTACCTTCTCTATTCCCACAAATATAATTATCTTAACCTTTCTGAGTGGCCACAGTAAGGTTTCATAATAGCTTCAGTTATAAAACCAAATGGTCTACACCAATGCTCGTTTTGTAACTGGCAAATTCTGTTGCAACTAGTAAAATATTACAGGGAAAAGATTTACCTCTTAAGTTGCTCATGCTGCATCCCTTGTCCAGCAGGGTTCTTAGCCCTTTCAATTCCAAGTCCAGAAAATTTGATGCCCTTGCTATCATTATATGCAGGGAAGCTTGAAGAATGTGAATAAGCCTCATTCATTGAATATTGTTTGTTTTCAACTGAGAGGGAGCTAGCCTCCGATTCCTCTTCTCGAGCTATTGAGCTTGGATGTCTAATTAGAATGCTTCCATGTCCAATCTCAACAGAAACCATGGGTGTGTCACTCTCAAGAAGCAAATCCTCCTCAGAAGATCCAGAGAAATATGAAGACTGTTGTTCATGTAAAATAGTATATAAATCTTTTGTAAGTTTCTCGACTGAAGATGGCTTTGGACGATTTACACATGTTCTTTTCTTAGAAGGTACCATTGAGTCCCACACATTAGATTGAGCAGGCCCTGAAGAAACATAAAAAAGAAGACAACTTAAATCAGTATTTCGGACCATTTTAAAAGTACAAAACATGCAGCTAAAACATCAAGATGAACCAATAAAGGAGAAATTTTAACATAAAAGAAAGTGGTATAATCTGAATCACATTGTCAACCACATCGTTTCCACTTATAACTACAATTTTAATTTAGTGATCTCAAAGATATGATAAACCTTTTTGCTTCAGTTGTTCTGTTCATTGGGAAAACCATTAAGAAAGTGTGTGCATCATAAGTGTTAAACCATAATGATTATATTTTTAGGAAGATCTGCAACCCTTTTCCAGAATCATTTTCAATTATGCCAAGGATGGCACTCATGAATCTCCAATGAGTTCGCAAGCAAACGACTGAGACATTCCATTGAATCAAGTATATGATCCACTAAGACTCTTTCCTTTTGTGACAAAAAAAAAATGCAATTTACTCTCATACAACCAAAACAGCAATGAGGAACACTGACGGCATTGTGTCCAACCTGTCAAGTCACTAGCATCTGCACTGCCAAATTGGGCACAGCTTTCAGAATTAGATATTGCTGATCCAGAACTTGACCTATTACTAGTATCTTCATCCACAATCTTATGGAAACCCTGGTTGTAATCAGCGGCAATAACTGCTATATCGTGATTTGGCTTTCTTTTCAGCAGTTTTATTTCTTTGTTCTTATTTATAGATATGCTCTTCACTCTGGAAGTCCCATGATCCTCATAATAATCAGGTTCAACCCTGGCATGAAGTGGGGTATAGTTTGCAAGTGTCCCTTTAGTCCTCCACCGTGACCCACATGCATTGCACAATACTGGCTTCTCAGGAGGTCCATTGCGCCAAAGAGGAGTGCCTATGACAATGCATTGTTGTTAGTAAGTATGGACTGAATAAGAACAAAGAGATTACAACTGAGATAAGATTTTAACAACAGCCATTAGCAAAATTTTATTTAAAGGGTGCCAAAACCATGAACAGAGAAAAAAAGAGTGCACCAAAGAGTTTAGTACATTCATGGCCAATTTCAAAGACATAATACCATCAGAAAAATCTTCTTCAAACTATGGCCAATAGGATAGACGTCTTTAGCCTATCAAGGATAGACTCGAGTAAGAGTCAAGATGAACTTGCATTTGTCTTCAAAAGTTGGCATTTGACAACACCATTTTTTAAGTTCTTAATGTTGGGAGCAATTCCTAAAACAAATTCAGGATTGATGCTCTTGCCTCCACCGAGGCAAACAAGGACAATTGGAGCTTCCATTAACACTTGTACTTGACACAAATTGTACATTCATATCAATGAAAAGCAAAATTAGAATACAGCTGAAATAAGTTGTGTTGCAGTAATTGGTGCAAATACACTAAGTTCTAAGACTATAAAACACTTCAAATGTTTGAAGAGTGGTTCAATGAATTTAAAGCTCGGAAGTCATTCAGAGTGTTTAAATGCAAATGATACTGATGAGGCTGAACTGTTTCAAGGCTTAAGAGGCAAACCGAAGAACTTCAAATTAGAATTGAATGTACTCCAGAACAGAAAAAGAATAAAAAAATTTTGTTTAAAATGAATATGAGTGCAGTTCTGGAAAAGTGGTTCACATTAGAATTCCAGTCCAATGGAGGTCAATAATTCTTAACAACACAGACCAAAAAAAGTGTTTAGCATAGAGTTTAGACAAGAGCTTATTTAAGTATAGAAAATGAGCTAGAAATCCATCAAGAACTCAATGACAAGTGCACCAATATAGGAGTCAAAACAATGATATTGCAATCAAATACATTCCTTTCAATTGAACAGAAGAGGACTGAGGTTTGACTTGATGTTCAGGCTTATAAGCATCAATGGAGCAATGAGAAAGCAATACCAATTTAATGTTGAATTTGAAATTGCCCAGAATTCAACAACACAGACTCTTCAATTCCCCAGTATCCAATAGAATTCAATCTCACTTTCCTTTGTGAGATATGTTGGAACTTAGAACAAATGTCAAAGAAGAAAAAACCCAAGAGATAAAGGTGAGAAAATGAATGAGGTTGAAAGAAACAATTGAATTGAATAACAAAGTCAAGTTTAAAGCTTTACATGGATTGAGAAAAAGGACACCTGCTGTTCTAAATCCATATACAAACAGAATAACACAAAGAACAGCATATATTGTAAAATTTATTATCTTTGTCCATGTAATCTGTTCCTTTTATGCATACAGTTATTCCCCTTACATATTCCAATGATATAATTATTTATCCAACCATATAAAATCATACACCAAAAATAATGATTCATAGAAAAAGGTTGAACATTTACATATATCCAAGGACTCAAAAATCTTTTTCTTTTTTTTCAAAAAAAAAAAAAAAAAAACCTTCATATCCAATAAGTTAGCTGGAGAAACAAGAACTCACTAGTAACTCCACAGTGATAGCAAGGCCCTTGCTTGCCCATGTCTTTCTCTCTTGCCCAAGGGAGGAAAAAAAATTAAAAAGAAAAAAGAAAAATTTTGAAAATAACAGAGAAAAAAAAAGAAAAATTTATGATTGACAAAAACTTTGACTGAAATTTGAAAACATTTTATATAAATTTGGTTGGTTTCTTCAAGCTTTATAAGACATATTCAACTGGGAATTAAAGGCTTTTCTGCAACAACCCAGAGAGCTACTTTAGTTTGCAGAACAAAGCAAAAGCCAAAAAATGAAAATGACCCAGAAGAGTTTTATGTCTATTTTCTCAGTCCAAGAAACAGAAATTAAAAAAAAAAAGCAATAAAAACAAGCCAAAAAAAAAAGAAATGAAAAGATTTTAGAGACGGGTATTTCAGCTAGGCATCTGCACAATCTAATGGAGAGAAAAAAAAAATTTTAAAGAAAAAGACTAATTGAGAGGAATCTAATAAATGGCTATGAAAAAGGAAGGTGAAATGGGAAGCAAGAGAAAAAAACAAAGAGAAAAAGAGAGAGAAGCAGTGTGCTTTCTTTTGCAATTTTTTTTATGTATATTTTACATTTTAATTGATGTTTTAATTGATAAAAATAACAGTTATCATGTTAAAGAAAACAAAAAGAAATAGTATTATAATAGTAAAAAATGAAATATTATTGCATATTTGCTGTTGACTGTAGACTTTTCAGCTTTGTTGATGTCTATGAAATAAAAATTCCCACAAAAATAGAATTTTTGGAAACAAATTATGGTCAAAGAAAAAGGAAAGCCACCATGAGACAACAACAATAAAAAAGTTTTTTATTTAATATTTTATGTATTTATATAATATAAAATACTAATAATATATATATATTTATATTATATTTTATTAAAAATTAATGAGTCATAATTTTTATGAATATAAAAATATATATTTTTTAATTTTATTAAATTTATTTATAATTTTTATTAAAATTTTTAAATTATATTATTTTTTATCTTTTATTTATATTTTTTTATTATATTATATTTTGTTTGAAATTATCGTATCGTAAAAAAATAAAGAGAGTTTGTTTGGTTTTTTTTTATAAAGAATATTTTGATAATTTAAATATGTTATTTTTAATATTATTTATTTAGTAATATTCCTGTTTGTGTGTGTGATACATGATCCCTGTCACAATTCATTGTACACCGTCCGATTTAATTAAAAGGTTTGTCAAATTGGTCCCACTTAATTTTTTTTTTCTTTAGCTTTGTGATTTATTTAGATCTGAGGGTTGATTAAACGGAGGCTTCAACCCTGTGTAAAAGGAAATATAAATGAATAATTTGTTAATATATTTTTTATATTTCTTATTAAATTTATTAAAAAATTATAAATAATATTTAAATTTTATTATTTAATAAATAATAATATAATAAAATTTATTTATTTTTTATTCATTTATACTTCTTATAAAAGCAAAATTTCAAATACAAATTTCCTAAAATAAATTCAAAATTATCTTTTACAAAATTTTTAAAATATATATTTTTCAGTATTTTTTATTACAAATTTGTTTTACAAAAAATGGGAAAAAAGCCCATTCGATAAGAAGAAGATGGCTGTTTTTCATCAAAAGGATTTTGACACAAAACCTACTGATATGATATCATTTTCCAAATCTGACGGCTGAGAATTATCAATCTTTTAGACTTAACCGATGGGATGGGTCAATTTACCAAAAAGTCGTACCAACGACCCACTAATATGACTTTAAAATTACTTTAGTTGTTTTTTTCGATTAAAAAAAATACTAGTACCAAATTTTACTTGAATTTTTCAATAAATATATTAATAAAATTGCTTAAATTTATTCATCTATGTCATATAAATAGGCAGTACATAAGTAATATTCTTTATTTTTTGTTCCTAATTAAAATGTCATAATTATTTTTTTGTCAAATTTTTTAACTGATTATTAATATTTTAAATATGTTAAATTCAAATTTTTTTTAATTTTTTATTTTTTGATAATATGAAATATGATACACCAATATTATAAAATTTTAAATTTATAATATTAAATATATAAAAGTTAAAAAAATTATATTCATAAATTAAAAGAAAAAATTATAATAAAGCGGAACGAATAATAAAATTAAAAATAAAGAAAAAAAATATAATATAATATAATATAGTACATATTGGGTCATGGGTGGGTCCCTAGAGGAACACATAACTGCTGGTCCTTTTTTAAACTAGCTTACTTCATAGACTACTTTTTGGTAAATATATTGTGTAACCATTCCTACTTTAACATTTATTTTAATTTAGTACGAGTATTATTTAGTTTATACTAATATTTATTTCTAAATTTTACTATAAATTATTTTTTATTAGATAAAAAGGTTTAAAATTTTTTCAAATAAAAATTTAATAATTATTTAAATTTTTAATATTTTATTACAATCAACTAAATTATTAATTTTTTATTTCAACTCAATTCAATTTAAAAAAAAACTAAATTTTGATGAAGAAGGAAATCCACGTGTAAAAATGTAATACTAAAGTGCATGATTGGAGAATGTGCTGACACACAGGAAGTCATCCATCAATCCTTAATTTAATTATTTTGTTTTTATATTTAAAATCGACGGCGTCCAATGAACAATTTTCATTTTTTTTAAATATTGCAAAGTAAAATCTATTGTTAAATTTCCAGATTGCCCCTTTCCTGGATTTATTTTACCGAAATTCCCTCATAATCCCTTCACCAACTACTCTCCATACGTCAAAATGCGGAGCTTACGGTGCAGTCATTAGCACAGCACAAATAAGGTTAATCGCTTTACCAAGGCTATCCTCATTAATTTTTTTTTTTCTATTTTCACATTATCCATTAATTGGGGTCGAAATTATAAGACTTAATTTCCAAGCATCTCGGTTGAAAGCTTTTTATCAATTAACAATATAAATTTTTTATCTATCTTTAAGAGGGCTGAGGTTTTTTTTTTTTTTTTTGGTAAGATTACATGCATAAGATAAATTACAACAACATAAATAAAAATAACTAATAAACATATAAAAATACATTTTTATATTTTGAATTATATACATTTTGAATTGAGTAGATAAAAATGCAGACAACCAATGTATAGATAAATATAACAGCTAAAATAAGACATTGAAAGAGGCCAGTTGATGGGATCTCGAATGTCATGTTTTATTTTAAGCTAAATTATTTGAGAAAGAAGTCTATACATTAGGTGGTTAAATGTATCTGGCAATATACTTTCTAGTTTTTGGCCTAACTTTCCTCATCTTCTTTTATGCTTATTCAATATAAGATCTTACTATCTGCATAATAAATGTAAAAATGGCATAAATTTTGGGGTAATAGAACATGGGGATTGTCTCCAATTTTTTGTATTATTATTACTGTTATATTATATTCCTAATAAGATATACATTGATGGGAAGGAATTATCTGGCCTGCTGAGTTTAGTGGGATGTAAGTACAATGTTTCAAAATTTTAAAGGCACCCTACTTTAATTATTTGTTTTTTTATTGACTGTGTCACTGAGCACAGAACTCTAAAATTATAAAAAGAAAAAAAAAAGCGATTAAAAGTAAAGGAAAAAGATATTATTTATGTTTGTATTTCGATATTTAAATTAAAATTTTGAATAAAAGAGATCAAAAGGAGAAGAGAATAGAAAAATAAAAAAATAACAAATAAATAAATAGTATATGAAGGATTTTATTTATAGGTAGAATGTGAGAAATATCTAAGGTAAATAGTGATGTAACAAAGTTGATGTGATACAATACATGTCAAATCGATTCAAAAATTAAAAATACTCTTGATTATTTGTTAATAATTTTTTATTAAAAAATGACTTATTTACCCTTTAAACTAAAAAAAAACCCTTAACACATGTTATAAGTAAAAACTATTGCGTTTTAGATTTACATATCTTTTTGCGCAAATGGTTAGCATAATTATTTGAACATTAATGATAAACTTTAAAGGATGGCAAATTAAGAAGCTATAAACCTACTTCCCATGGGAAATCCATCCTTTACCAAACGGCATATCATTGAAATCAGGTAGGCCCCATGACTCACAATTCACAAATCCTTTGATAACCCAGTTTTTTGGTTACTTAAAACAGTGGTAGGTAAATCGACAGAAATCTTTGAATTAATTAGAAAATGACTCATGCAACAATTTGGTATGTACAAGTCAATGTTACTTAGCACTTCATGAAATGGTCCCTCACTATTTTAAACGTTTTTGAACCATATAATTAATATGGTTATGGGTTCTGAAATTGGATTGTGATGTTTTACATATATATAAAATATAATAAGGTTTATGGTTGAATGTTGTTTCAGTGACGGTCTATCGAACCAAATTGTTTTTCCTTTTTTTTAAACTGTAACCTTTGAAGTATGAAATAGAATGAGCAATGTTAATTGGATATTGGAAAAGCAGTTAAAATCATTTTCTTTGCCCATTTAAGGGCATCTAAGGTCAGGCAAAATGAAAAGAAAAATGATCTATTCAAGTTCCAGCAGTTGCTAAAACATTTGAATAAGTTCAAATTGGTAAAAAGACAACAATAATCCAACCACCAAATTAGGTCTAAGTGACGGAAGCTTTGGTTATGTAAAATATGAATTCAAAGGAAAAGGATAAGGTAAAAAAAACAACCAAACATAGATGGTGGGCTCTGATCAGGATTTGCAAATTGATATGACAAATGGGTATGGCACCAAAAGAATAAGTTAGGACTCAAAATCTCTTATTTTTTAATGAAGATACCATATGTTTGGCTTTAAGATCATCCATTGATCAAGTAATTAGGCATGTTTTTGGGGTTTACCCAATTGTGATACAACTTTTCTTGTAAAGAATGAAAAGGAAAGTGGTTTCCCTTTGCGTTTACTTTCTAAAGGGTTAGGCATTAGCCAGGGTGGGATTTTGTCACTGTGGTACATATCCTTTTATTGATTGGGTTTAACACTTGTTTTTTGGATTCTAATGGTTTAACACTACGCACAAATGCAGAAGAAAAGAAAAAGGATTTGACGTTGGGCGGTGGGAGAATGTATGGTTAGTAGATAAGTATATGAAGAAGACGTTTTATTAGATATTATAAGGGTGTGGTAAAAGAGGGAATGATTCAAACTTTGAATAAAAACTACCTGAATACGATTGTATCTTAATGTTATAAACATTGAGATAGAAATTGGAGGAAATTGTGTTTGAAAATGGCCCTATCCCGTCCTTTTAATGTTTGTTTTTTAGATTTTGAGAGGAAGATATGATTTTTTTTGTTCATTGAATGGACTTAATTATTGATCTAAGCCGCCCTATAAAAGCTTGTGGTATCATACCACCAAGGCTTTCCGACCTAAAAAGGAGAGAAATTTTCAGTTTAGGAGCCTTATAATAAATAGCTTTTTCAATACGAGTCCACTAGCCCAAGGATTTGCCAAAATCAGACTGTGGGTTACTGGGTTAATTTGCCATGAACAAACACTACCTGGCTTATTGTCTCTCATGCGAAGGGGCACTCACGCAGCAAGCATCCCACCAGGACTTGTCTGATTCCAACAGGACTGCGTGTGCCAGTCTTACGGACTGTTGCTGTAATGTTCCCGAGGAAAGTTAAACTGACACCATCAGGGCGCTTCAAAGCTTACTTTGCCTTTCGATTCTCACTAGTGCATCAAAATCAGGTTGAAACAATTGGTATTTCTTACACACTCAAGTTCCAAACATGAACCACAAGTCAGTAAAGTGCTACAAAAAGTCTCAATCAATTCAGATTGCTCTTTCAGCAAAGTTGCAAAGCACACTAATTTGCCTCAACAAAGTTCATGTCTTATCTACGGTTAATTGCCACAGCAAATAATCTAAATCCAAGATAAAGCATTCATAGCAAAGATTCAGGTTCAGAACTACAGTAGCACAAAGAAAATTTACTTAAATTGATGAGCGGTGAGGCAGCAACTACAGTCTAAGCTCCCCTTACAGACTTGGAAGAGGCCAAAAGAACAAGATAAATCTAATCTCCGCTTGCACAGCCTCCACATCCACAATGGACACATTCAATAACCTTTTCTTCCCTTAAGTGTTTTGGCACACGGCAGACACAAGTTGTAGCGAAGTTGTGATCCCGTGGTTGCATGCATCTCAAGCAACACAAACGTTCATAACCCGGCTGCAATAAATAAAACAAAAACCATAAAGATCTACTACTACAAGATTAAATTAAATATTCAGAAATATTGAGTGCAAGAGAAGGAAAAAAAGAATATATATAAGGTCATGTTTGGTGCATAAGGTGATGGAAAAGATAGTATGATAATCATTCTATATTATGTTTAGTTTGTATCTAATTGAAAGGGATAGAATTTCAAGGAAGATTATCATACTCTTGGCATAGGATGATTCAATCCTCCCAAAGTGTGGAAGATTATTTTTAATTCATAAGATTAAGCTTACATATCATATTATACCCTTAAAAATTACATCAATAATTTAAATTGTATAAACTTTAAGGAAGAATAATTTTGACCAATAAATAAATTATCCTATCTTCATCTTTACAAATATCAAACATAAGATGGGATGATATTATTTAATTTAATCCCATTCATAAGATCATTTTATCCTATCATATCATAATCTTGTGTACCACACATGACCTAAGTGTGTGTGATATAGATGACTGTACACACATGCACCCTATACATGACCATTGGAATTTTGAACAAAACAACCAACCCTTGGTGGGAAATAACTGAGTATATAATCAAATACTATAAGTCTATGACTTGACTAATTTGCCTAATAATCTATCAACTCATTAGTCCCAGAAAGACAATAAGATACTCATACCATATTTTCTAACATCAATACCCAAGCTTCCTTCTGACTACTAGACAGAAAACATGTTAAGCATGCAAGTCTCATATAAGTAAAAAATCAGATTGGAGAACAGATGATGCTAGTGAATTAAGATGTGGAAGCAGCAGAGGCAAACCTTCTTCCACTTCGCAATAAGATTGCGATCAGCATAGCCTTGGTCCAAGCAAAACTCATACAATTCCTTGGATATTTCCTTCCTCCGGTGGTAAAGGTCAAAAATATAGCGGCTCTTCTGATGCGCAATTTTGAAAATAGGCCACAATGTCTCACATTTTCTCTTACCATCGTGAGGATCATTCTCAGCTGTTCAAAGAGTTGATACGAGTTCACCACGTTAAGATAATAATAAAAAGACTCAATAATTAAGAAAAGTATACTAGATAAAGAAAATCCCACCTTCTCTCATCTTTGCCTGTAGTTCACGAAGTGTAGGCTCAATCAATTCCCATCCTTCCGGGTATTTTACACGGTTTGTCTTCACCTTTGGCATTGTTCTACCTGTCACCAATGCCCATTACAAATTACCACCACATATTTTTCATAGTAATTTTCACATAATGCCACAAACCCTAAATCAAAATTTGTAATTAGAGGCATCTTGCTGAGAATTTTGCAATCACAGCTTATTATACACAAGGAGTTAAATGAGCTTTAAGTAGAAGCAGAACTTCCACAAACTTGAAGAAGAAACCCTATTTTTCTCTTGGAATAGAGCAGATTCCTTGCTTGTATTACCCAATTTTTTTATGAAAGTTAAAATTAAATCCACAACGAACCAACTGAATAAAAAGAGTTTTCCTTTCAATTTTACTTTAATCTCAAAAGGAAAAAAGCCGCAAGGCATCGAGACAATTGAAAATTTTCCCTCTCAAACAAAACCAAAAAGGAGAGAGAGAGGATTCATTGCACCTCTGGAGAACGGAGCTTGGATGAGAGAAAGAGGAATTAGGCTAACAGTCAATCTATCTTCGACAGAACTCGAGCAGGGTCTGTTGCCTCAGGAATCGAGATTTCAAACAGAGCTATGTCGGTTCACAGCTTTTGTGCTTCGATTTTGTGGTGTTTGGATAGACAACCTGCGGGTGTGAAGGGAAACAAAGAGAGGGAAACTCCACAATCCAGCGCCTACGCGCATCAATTGGGTTGTAAAGGAAGGAATCGTGTGAACGTTTGATGATTAATAGGTAAAATAAACTTATGGAAACGACAGCGTTTCGAGGCTAAATTCTCGTTGACTTCGATAATGAGTCTAGAAGTTGAATCCCCCTTGTATGCTTTATTAAGCGTTAAACCTCTTGTCTTAAAGATACCGGTGTTGTGTGGTTGTGTCCAAACCAAATATTTTAACAATTAAGCTCATCCCATGGAAAATTATCCATCCTATAGGATCATTAGTACAATTAAGCAATAATAACAACTCCAGCTTGTATGACAAAATTCAGACTTTGGTTGGTTTCAACATTTCTTATTGAGAGAATCAATTATTCAAACTTATCTCTCAATGCACGTACATACAAACCCAAAGAGGAGAAACAAAAAATTAAAGCACTCATGGTATCAATTTCGATTATTATCTTATTTGAGCATGTTGACTGCTGCTGGAGGTAGCATCCTGGTTACTTTGGTTTGGGTCTGGTTGATGCGTTTTTGCAATTTTCTCAGCTTCAACTTTCTCAAGCAAGGCCTGTTTCTGCATTGTTGCCACCATCTGTTTCATTGTCTTCTCTTCTCCTTCAAGCTGGATTTTCATTATCGTCTCAGCTTCTTTGTCTATTGGTTTGAAGAATTCTTCAATGGCAGCTTCCTGAAAGTAAACAACAATTTTGTTATTAATAACAAAAATCATTCTGAAATAAGAGAAATATAAGGAAAGGAAAAATGCCTCATAATTCTGATAAAACTAACAGTGAAAGGATTCCCATCATGACATGTGTCTCAGTGAAAAGGAAAAATGATTGCAAATACACGTGGGCAGTATTTAGACAAAGTGATCATTAAATTTCTTATCGGAGGTTTCAACGGGAGTTGATCAAAGTCTGAAAGCAGGGATCTGAACCTTGCAACTAAAGGGCACATGACCAAGCAAGGAATTTGTTGATAAATACAAATAATCTAATGACTTCATTCTTTCTTGGAGTTCACTTTGGAATAAAATCAACCATCACGGGTCAAACATACAAGAAATTTGGTCTTATCGATCTTTAAAACTTCATACAAGAAAGTATCACCAAGCAAAAGCGGCATGAGCCTTATGAATGGATGTTTTTCTTTAAAACTTGAGCAATGATAAATCACACAAGTTAAAGCTCATTAGTTTAGTTTCCTCACTGATGAATGGAGGTTATAAATGGCAATATTGAATTTAAAAAAATACTAAAAGAATTTCAAAAACCAACTATATTCAAATTTTAGGCTGCAAAAACTGTAATTTTACACTGCCTTGTCAATTATCGTCTCCAAGTGCAAGTGAAACTTACTGTTTCTTCAAGCCTTCTATTTAGAGCTTGCATATCCTCAACCATACGTCTAACCTCTGTTAATACAGTCTGCTCAGGAATCTTTCTTAAGGCAGCTTTCCTTTCTTGTGCCTGTACAAATGAAGAGAGAGAGAGAGAGAGAGAGAGCTGACATTAGGATTTTGGGTCAAGAAGTTCCATAGATACAAAGTGCAGATAATGTCTACTCCAAATTTAGTTTTTAAGCATCAAAACCAAGATATTATAAACAGATCTACGTTAACTTTCCCAAGTTTATATGCATATTAGAACATACACTTTTCAACTATGAACTCAATGCAGTCACCTTGTTGGATAAATAAAGCTTCTTCACAATTCAAATTTAGTTTTTAAGCATCAAACCAAGATATTATTAATGGATCTAAGTTAACTTCCCCAAGTTTATATGCATATTAGAACATACCCTTTTCAACTATGAACTCAATGCAGTCACCTTGTTGCATAAATAAAGCTTCTTCACAATTCTCACAATCCTAAATTTCTGAGACAATTTTTTTTCAGTTACATATTTTAGGAAGTAAATCATGACATACTAAAAAACTTTGGGATGTGACACAAGATTAAGAGCAGCTGCAAACAACAGATGTATCAAAGAAAGCAAAGCAGTTTCCATGTTAAATGTCAAAGTTACCATCAAATTAGCTTTAGGTCGACAAATGTATTTAAGTTAAGAAAAAAAGAGAAACCAAAAGAGTAATAAAAGGAAGAGTAAAGAAATTGAAAGACCTGTTGCAGACGTTTCTCGAGCTGCAATCTATGGTTTCGAATTCTACGTTCTTCATATCCGGAGAGAACCCTTACATAGAACAATGCTTTTCTCCCAAATTCCCTCAATTTATCCATTCTATTTCACCTTTAGCAGCCAAAAATAATTAAAAAAAATCAATCACACAATTAATTATCTGATTTCAACACCGCCAAATTAATGAAAAATTTATGAAACAACTTTCAAATTCAATCCTCAAAATCGACTGCAACCCACTCCTAACTTTGTTAAAAAACAGAAACGATATTCCCAAAAATTATAAAAAGAAACGCCCGTAGAAGTAGAAAGGGACGAAGGGAACACACCTGGAGGGCGCCAATTTAAACCAGCTAGCCTGAAGATAGGTAGCAGCGGAGGATTACGAGGGAAGAGAGATTGCACCCGAGGGCGGTTGGCGAACCAAGATCGATAACAGCCCGACCTGAATACTTTCATTCACTAATCAGTCATCGCTACCATTTTGACTCTTTCTTTGTCCTTTTTTTTTTATTTTTGGTTTTTTCCAATTGCGTTGGGTCGAAAATGGGCTTATCTTGGGCTCACTCACCATGGGCTATAGTCTATACCTATAGAAAACATACACCTATGAAATGATGTTGCCCAAAACCCAAAACGATATAAAAAAGTGACCAAACAAACCCAAGAGTCTTTAGCTTCGTAAACACGCTATTTTTTTTTTTTAGGATGTTAATTTTATTTCTATTTCATAAAGAATTTAAATTTTTATTGAAATAAAGATGAGGATAAATATTATATTATGAATATAATGATAAAAATAAGGATGAATATAATTTAAAATTTTTATTGGGTAAAAGGTTATAGATGGATAATATAATACATGTCCCTTATCCGTATTTACATATATATTTTTATGTGTTTAATAAATAAATTTTTTATTAAATAATATAAATTATTATTTTAAATTAATTAAATTAATATATTTTTATTGAAAAATATGTATTAATATATATTTATAAAAATTATCTAAATATATAAGATAAAAATTAAAAAATAAATTTTTATTTTTATTTTTTTTAGAGCTCGAAGATTATTAATATCTATTAAATATATACGAAAATATAAATGTAAATAAATTTAAAATATTTATTAGATATAAATACGAAAAAAAATGTAATATAAAAATTCGAAAATAGAGATAAAAAATGCGTTCCTCTATCCACATCCCTGTTTCTTTCGCTTCTTCCAGGTTCTGTTCGTATGCAATTACATTTTATAGCAACGCAGGAGGGTTTTTTTTTTTTTTTAATCGGGGTGAAAGTGGCCCATGAAACTGAGAGTTGGTCAATGCCTTTGGTGGGCAAACCCATCGTACATGCAAAGGGGAATGACGTTTCTCGGGAGTAAAGAATTTCAATAACTCCTCACAAAGTATTCACCCTCTTACACTCAGCATTTCCATGGTAGAAAATTTGGTACCGGAGTTGCTTTTTCAGACTGACAGAAAAATTAAATTATGGAAGTCACTGGAACTCATTTTAGAAATAGGCTTTCACCGAGCAAACTTGTGGCAAAAGTTGTCGAAAGTGTAAAAGATTATTCAAATAAAATTATATGATGACATGATTATTACTATCACATCAATTTTTTAGCATATACAGAGAGGGAAATTAATAAATTGCGAACATGGGAAAGCAAATTTAACATGTCATTAGTTTGAACAACGTTCCGAACAACAACCATCAGCAGACGCAGAAACACTTACGAAATATCTTTTCCGTCCATTAACATAGTGCTTTAGTACAAAAAGCAAAAACACAACTTTTATTGACAACAAACTTCATCTTTCCAAGGCTCGTTAGACAAGCAGACTTTCTCAGCTGCTTCTTTGTGATTTAGTCACTCCTCTTCTTCTTCTTCTTCTCACTCTTCTCAGCTGAATTTTTCAACTGCAACACAAGTATGTTTGATGTTAATATAAACCGAGTCAGCTATTGAAAAAATTACAAAGCTTTATCAGGTATTCTAGCTTCACTCACCATGATTACCAGAATGCGGACAAATACAGCAACAAAATCAGTGAAAAGAGTCAGGGCATGCTTTACATAGTCCAGGTCACCCAAGTGTGCCTTCTCAATTATGTCCTGTGTATCCACTACCATGTAGCCCACAAACACCAAAAGCCCCAAGTAGATCTGTGAGAACAATCATAGACAAAAAGGAATGTCAATAGCAGCTTTTTAAGTACAACATGAACACAGCAAGTTTCCAACTAATATTCACTCACCTCAGCCGTAAAGAGGGCTGTAGAACCACCAAAGATCGAGGAAGCAAAATGCAACCAGAGAAGCATGGACACACCAGATGAAAGCAAGCCACCAAGGTAAAGGTACTCTCTGCGCCTTGCTAACATGGCGGCTCCTGAAAAACATGCAAAGGCCAACGCTGTTCCCACAAACGCAGCTATCAAAACACTGTCAAAATGGAGAAAAACACCATAAGTACAAGTCATTCTTTTTTTTTTTAATTGATCAAGTGGGAAAGAAGAAAAAACATAAAAAGTCACCCACAAAAGTAAAAATGCAATTAAGCATAGTCATCCACCACTATGGAAAGGCCCCTAGCTTTTAAAAGAGTTTAGGGACTTCAATATCAATTGTCATATTTCTTTCATGTATATTAGACTCCAAAGGTAAAACCAAATGAATAAAATTCTAACTTGATTCAAAATCCAAGTATTTTCACCGCATAGATATATTTTCAATAACACAAAATTACCCATTTAATTGTTATAGGAGAAAATACCTTGGGTCAATCTGAATGGCCAAGTCAATCAGAGGACCAATTGAAGCCCCTTCAAACACTGCTGATGTCATCAGAAGAGAAACCCTCTTTTGCTGCAAAATTGGATGAGTTCTAAACTTCTAAACACGCAAAAAGAAATGGCATCAGCTAATACAAATCAAGAGAGATTATTATTACCTCTTCATTAGGAGGGATCGAGAGGAGCCAAATAGTGGTTCCAAAGCATGCAAATGTGGTAAGGTAACCCCCAATGTTCCACAGGATATGAAGATAAGTCCCAACAGCAGAGGCAATCAGTGCACAACACAGGGTCAAATAAACCTGCAAATTAAAAACGCTGTATTCAGATAATCAAGAAAACAAAATTTTGAAACAAAGAATAGTTAAATAGATAAATTAGTCTTAAAAATCAAAGATAAAATCATAATAGGCATCAGAACTACATAAAGATAAGAACTGCTATTCGTTTTCAGTCTTAGAACCCAAGAAAGAGTCAACCCAAGAGATAATCCAAAAAATCAATTAGCAAAACCCTAGCTAGCAAATTAGGGGCCAATTCAGAAGAAATTAAGGAATTTTTCCCTCAAAAAATCATAATTTTAGGGAAGATTACCCGTTTGAGATGGGTTTGAACGATCGGAGAGATCTGACGGAAATTCTTGAGAGTATCATAATTCCAGTTGCTTCTCGATTGAGAATCAAAGAAAGAAGAGAACGCATCCATATTTTGTTAAGAGAAAATGAGGAAAGTCGCAAGACAATTCACGGACAAGATTAAAGAAAACTCTCTCGAATTGGGTATTTGTTTATTACGTTTTCGAAGTGGACAACGGTATTTACCGAGCTCGTTCAGATAATTTCCTGGAAATTTCTAGTAGTTAAGTTACTAAAATGCCCTTGACTTTCATTTAATTTATGAATTTCTCCCAACTACTTGAACTAGTTCTGTTTAGCTCCTTGATGTCGTAAATTTTGATTTATAAGAGAATATTTTTAGTTACTAAAACAATTTTTAAATTTTAGTTCAGGAATAATTGCCACAAAGTTTCTTAACTAAAAAAATTAAGAAAATTTAAAATAATTAGAGTTAATTATGGCAACTATTGGAATTATGCAATTATAGGTATTTGAGGGGCAATTAAGGAAATGAAAAAGGGCAATTGCTCTGGAAAATTCGCGGTCTCATAGGTTGACTTTTGCTTCGCAATAACAAGCAAAGAGATCTAAAGTGTTCATTGCAAACATCGCTTTGCTGCGAAGGAAAAAATATTCCGCTGCCGCTGCGTCACGTGAACCAATAGGATATTGCCACGTCATTTTCTTGCGAACTTTTTCCAGTTGAATTTGCAAATTCTTATTTTCTCTCTATACTCGATATTATTCAAGAAACCAGGAAAACGAAAAATTGGTCATCTAATCTGAGAATGGAGCCTTCTGGAATGCCAGGAACTGACAATTGGTGAAAGAACCAGACCAAGGAATGACTGAAACTTAGGCTGAAGTAAATTTCTTGACAAGTTAAATTCCTTGCATGACGGAACGTTCAAGTTTAATTTGACCCAAGGAATAGGTTAAAGCATATAAGCACAGACCTCTGACAAAACAGAGATGTTTCCACTGATGATTTTCTTTCCATATTCTGTTCCTCCAATTTGTCAAGGATGGCTGAACCTTACATGGCTATTAGATACAGTTGCACAACTTGAACATGTAGAAAAGATTTCGCACCTTTCGCGAAGCCTTCAAAAATGGAGATCAAGCTTTTTTATTAGAAGCCTTAAAAGATCTAGTGATCCTTCTCCCAGCAAAAGATTGTTGGTCCTAGTGCCCAAGATGAGTCCCTGCTTGAATGCCCTCTGCTTTCTCAGGTTTTCCTGTATTGAAGCGAAGAATTCATGCTTAAGAGCATCCTCTGCTGTACTCCTTAATCTTGGGTTCACTGTTAAGCACTTGTCCATGAGATCGTAAAGTGAGCTCGGTATCTACTGGAGGAATTCTCGTCTCTTCGTATTCATTTGGCACCACTTCCGTAGTTTCATAGACGTCAAAAACTTTTCACCATAGAGTTCCTACAACAAAATCGTAATCTTGAATAAGAAATCAAATTTTACTTTTGAATAGATTATAGTTACAGATCATGCATGATATTTTTTTTATCCATTGGATAAGGGATAGGGTTGGTAGGGTTCGAACTCCTACTTCCTAAATCTTCTTAACCACTAGACCAAGAAGCTAAAGGCAATCATGCATGATATTTATACCTCAGGAATGAGGATTCACGATTATGTAACTTGGCAACTTCTCAAAGATCTTCACCGCCCCTCAGCTTTGCAATATCCTTTATGTTCCTGAAAGTGCCAGGGATGTTGGCAACGTTAGGCATAAAGCAAAAACAGGATCAAGTGATTTGGATTAAAGAAAAAAGTCTTACCGTTCAGGATCACCAAAAAAGGGTGATTTCCCAATCATTAGGTAGAGGAGTAACCCCAGCAGACCAGATATCAATCTTTGGACCTTGATGTTGAGATCTGAACAAGACCTGCATAAGTTACTCAACTTGAGGCCCCATTCATTGGAAATACGATATCATTTATCAAGTAGGGAGCATTAATCAGGGTCTGAAGGTGCATAACTTCAGTTGGCCATATCTTCCTGTTCGTTTAATAGCAGAAAATTTATTTTCTTTCTTTGGTCAAATGGCTAAAATTTGCTATAGGCTATTAATAGTTTTCTTTTGGAAAAGCTTTTCACTTCTCTATTAATTCAAACCATAAGAACACCATCAGGAAACTCCAAATTATCTAACTCTATGGTTTTTTCTTTTATTTATTTAAAACTAAAACCTAAATTAAAGTTTATTGTTCATTACCTCTGGAGATTGGAAGCCTTTTGTTCCAGCACAAGGACCTTCTCTCTTATGCTTCCCATCCCCTACAAGTGAATAAAATTTGATGAATTTACTAAGGAAAATTGCTCTTTGGAACCAAAATTTTTAATCCTAACCGAAAAAATACTTACCTTTGTTCTTGGTAAAGCCAGCTCCAGATATAGCAAAGCTAGTTGAGCTCAAAGGCATTGGAATAGGATGAAGATCCTGTCTATCAATTTTTCCTGGAGGAGGGGCAACACGCTTTCTCAAGGGAGGGGGAACATATGACAGTCCATGGTTTGGACTCTGCATTGCTTCCTGTACCAGGCTGGTGAGCTCTTTCCTACCTTGGCATGGAAAAGGTTCTCTGAGCCTTTCTGCTGAAGGAGTCCTTGTACTTACATTCTTTGTTGAGATGATGCCCGAACCATCTGCACCCTGACTATTTATTTTATTCCAAATGCTCAAGTTATTATCAGCATTCCTTTGACTTGTTGTCTTCCTCATGTTCTTCGGCTCTAAAGTTAACCTGATCCTAAAGCAAGACAGCCAATTCAGGCACATTGAATAGACTTCCACCTACAAAAGAAAAAAAATAATAGAACATCCTACATGAGACAGAAAACTAAAAATGGAGAAGTGAGCTTACTAGAGAAGAAATAGAGGTAGAGTTTCCCCTTCTTTCTTTGACATGCATGTCCTTATGGTTCTGAATTGATTTCTGTGCAGCACGGGGTGATAAATGATTTCTTTCACAATGCTGCTTCCTTTTGTAAGTATTAACAACCTTGGTATGCCCTAAAACTTGTTGGGGGTTTGCAATACTGGAGCCACCATACACCTCTGATTACTCTTTGCCTTCTCAGAAGGTTTTGACTGCTGCTCCTTGGGAACAGAGAGTTTGGTAGCGGAATGTATAACACTAGCACCTGCTGGTACAACGGTTGTTCCTCACCTAGAGATGGAATCTTATGATTGCAATTATCCTCATCAAGGCTTTCCAAATCTCTTCCAGGCAGTATAAAAAGGCTTTCCAAATCTCTTCCAGGCAGTATATTGGAAAAGCTATGTTAAATGAAGGAGAAAGATCTTCTACTCCTTGTCTTTTATTCGTCAAATCAAGTTTCTCCTCTTTCTTGCTGTCCTCAGCAGCCACTTCATTGTCTACAATTCTAAAATTTGTTGTGGTGCAATCCACATAAAACTTTCCACCCACCACTACTGATATATTGCTCTGCGCGCACACTTTGGAGAGTATAAAGGATCGATTTTAACTGGTTCAGTTTCTATCCCGTGATCTGGTTTTCCAGTTGGAACGATTGGTTCTACTTCAGGCTCACTAGCTACCAATTCTTTGCTGCAATCTCTCCCCCCATAGTCTTCCTCGTTCATTTTGCTTTCTACATTTTCGATGCCCTCCACTTTACAACTTAATTGTCTAGCACCTAACAAACAGAAGCCCAGCACAATGTTTTTTACCAAGACCAACGGATCACTCAATTCTACAGTTCTGCTGATATCATCAGTTAGATGGTAATGTACCTGAAATTTGTTGATCAATAAGTCTTTGGATATTATGATGATTTGTGCAACTTACTAGCTAGGATTGTGGAGGATTATTGCAATTTCCCTTGGAAATAATATCAAAACTCAACAAATTGAACTCAGTAACTTCCATTTGATGGAAATTTGAGAGACAAGTTCCTATTTACTGAAAGAGTAACATATCAACTTATGAATTGAATGAAAATACATTCAGAAAAACCAGCTGACCAAGTTGAAGATCAAACATACAAAAAGTGGACAGACCCTCCATCCACCATAACATTCAGCATTATACAATGAAGTGGACAAAATTACTGGTTTCCACACTTATAAAGGGCATCCGTTCATTCCATGGGAGGTGAAGACAAGGAAAGATTCAACAGAAAGCCAACCATTATCCCTATCAGGCCCACAAAGGCTGCGAATGTGATGGAGAAGCCAGAGTCATTCCCACGTTGTCTTCTCCTCTTCAGAAAATCCTGTTTGAGGAAAAGTAGTTCTTTTACATATTGGTCATGGCTGTTGCAAGTAGTAAACATGTATATACATATATATGGGTAATGACAATCTGCTTGCTCAGTTTGGGCGTTTAAAACTTTACTGGTAATTTATTGCTCTAGTATGCATAATATCATTTTATTGATTCAACTTCTAAGTTTTACAATTCAAATCTAGCTCTTATTCATCTCAGAGCATAAAACATCAGGAAAAAAGGTAGATGGAAACAACCAGTCAATATTATATGCGGTCCAGGTGGAAATTTGAGCCTTGCATTACAAATTTATGATGACTATAATAACATAGCCATCTTAACAAATAAACATAACCCAATCCATTTACAACACTAAGATTTTTGGGCTTCAAGGTCAATCATCTAGTACTTCAAGATAGATAATCTCTTATAAATCACCTAATTATTGTCCCTTTACATTGCCTTTCTGTCAACTGCTAAATTAAAAGTTTCAATGAAAGTTGCAAAATGGTGCAATTCCAAATTAGTGAAGCCGGGTTTTGCTTCTTTTTCTTCAACTTTTTTTTTTCCGTATGTGCATGTGAGTGTGCATGTCTATTTTTAGTTTATTGGAATAGTTGTCAACTTGTGATCAAAAGACCAAACGGTCTGAAGTAAGAACATACCAGCTCCTGTTGCAGCTGCAGTGTTTGCCGAACTGCTGCATCTCTTTCATCCTTCAGGTGCTGCACTGTCTGATTGAATACAGAAAGGAAATGTAAGATATAAAGACATAGAAATATGATTATAGCTTGCACACCAGAAAATATAATTAAACGGAAGGTGAACTGAAAAGCATATAACAATGGAGAACTAACTGCAATGCAAGATGATATGATGATTTGCAATACCTAACCTAATTCCTTTTTCTTTTTTTTAGGAAAAGAAGGTCCTTAATCCCATAATAAGTCAGGTCTAAAGCATGCATTTATTCCCCTTTTCTCATGAGGCAGAAGAGCGAGTGTTATACAACAAAACTAGAGTAACATTATACAGTCAGAAAACTAGAAATCATAATCCTTACTATACAAACAAAACCAGAAATACTTTGGCCTTGAACTTGAGTATATAACAAAAGCATGAGAAACAAAGAGATTAGAAGGAGAGTTTTCAGTTGCCCACATCAGTACTGATTTCAACACCTATTCCAATTGAATTATCAAAGGTATCGATTAAACCTTTATTCAAAACCTCAAAGTGTGCATGTGTACATGTGTTGCGAGTTTAAGCAGTTAGAAACATAAATATTCCCATAAAATAAAATAACCCCACCTCCCAAAACAATAATAATAGATAAAGCAGATCACTGACTAGTCTCACAGAGTTTGAATCAGGGCTTTGTTCGTTGGAGCTCTTTAAACCTTCATCTTCTGAATTCCCTTGAGCTGAGGAAGGAGATACATAGAAAACTTTAAGCCTGCACTCCTCTATCTCCTTACCACTTTCCCTATTGAACTGGATGCAAAGACAAAGATCATATCCCGAAAATTAAATTTGTTTTAAAGGTAGTCATATGAAAACATTATTCTGCATGTCAGCATTCTTACAGTATCTGCTGGTAGATCATCAACGTCAGTATTTGGAGGCACTATAGTACTCTGTAGCAGAAATTTGTCTTTGCATTGCATATCTGAAGGATATTCCCGTTGGGCTGGGAGAGTGACTGGAATTCAAGCAGGTTCATATGATCAGAATCTCGATGAACTAACAGAAGAAAGTAACGGAGGAAAGCAGCTGAGTGACTTGTCTCAGAAAAGGTAAGCTAGCTATAACAATTCTTAGACCTAAAAATACCTGCGCTTTGAAATGCCATCATGAATTTCTTACTTTACAAGAAATGAACTAGTTGTTGGAAAGATCAGACTAAAAGTAATACCTTTAATGACACATGAGTCCCAAGGCTGCACAACACCAGTGTTTGGTCGCACAAAGTACTTCTTAGGTGAAGTTGTTTTAACCTAACATCATAACAAGTTGGGAAGATTACAATTAATCATAGAAAAATCCCGGAATGGTTGGAGAATACACATAACAAGATATCATGCACATTTGCAACAGTAACAGAAAAGAGTACCTTAAATGCCACATCGTGTTCTGTGTTGTTGACCAGTTTAAGATGAGAAAAACTTGGCTTTTCAAGCTCAACTGAAATCATGAATAACATGACCAAAAGTCAACTAAATTAAAAAACTTGTTCAACAAAAATTTTCAAGGATAAACATATAGCAAAGAAAATGATCACAATGAGATATAAGAGGGATCTTATCATTACAAGGAAACCAACCTGCAAAGGCAGAAATTAAGGTAGCTAAATATGACGACATGTTACATAGCCTGAGAAACGAAAAAAGAAAATTCCTAAACTGCTTCTTTTCTCCCTGCATCTTCTAAAGAACAATATATCAACATTCACAAATTAAATCAATTTGCATTGCCAATTATTTATACAAGTTCTGGTTGGAAGAGTCAAGGGATGCTGAATTGGTCGATGCTAACATCCAAAAAACACCAGCATTGACCGCCAATTCTATATCAAGGGACCCCAATGAAGTCAAGAATTCAAAAAATAAAATAAATCAACATACAAATCACTACATTCTCCACAAATCTAATTCCATAAACTTGTCATACATATTTATCCCAATCCTTACCTCCATTTGAAATTCAACAAAACACCAACACTTTGCAGTTTGCACCATATTTTTCCCCTTTCCAAGTTCACCACATAACCATAGAATTGAATCATGAACTTTCACATACATCCAATGGGACTCTACATAAACGGTTTCATGCAAGTAAACATACATACATACATACACATGCATGCATGCAAGTACAATCATATATAAGGTGGAACTTACAAATGAACTTGAGGTCATTGGGATGAACAGAGATCAACTGATTATCCTCACCGGCAGTCATGTCTGGGCCCCCACCTCCGCCTCCACCACTAGATCTTTACTCTCTTTAGAAAAAAAAAATTTCAATCAAAACCACCCACAACAATCTTTCACAAACCTAAAAAAAAATCATAACCAAAAATAATAATAATAAAAAAAACCAAACAGAGCCCTCAAAAACCAATTCTCCAACAGAGTTTCCACTTTAGTTTTTTCAAGAGAGAGAAATTTAGTTAATATTAATTACCGGAACTAACATGTGGTGAAAACTGCAACTGGCTCGGTCCAAATCCGAGGTTTCTTTCTTTCTTTTATCTTTGGTGTGGGAAAAGGAGTCACCGAAATGGTCGCCACCAATGTCGAAGTTTCTGGTCCGAATAAGATTTAAGTCTTTCCTCTCTTTTTCACTTAAAGAGAAAAAAAATGGTATAGTTTTGGAGCGTGTGTGCACCGCCTGTCACTGGTAATGTCATAGGCAGAGTGCGGTTCCATCAGAGGGAGAGAGAAGAGAAGGGAAGAAGGAGAAATGGATGTTGACACGTGTCATTTTAAAAGGAAGATGAAGACCCGGTTCTAAATAACAGCCTGGAAGTGGGACGCACTGACGTGGCACTAATAAAAGAAACTCTTACGTGTCTTTTTCGTTCATTTTTTAAGTCTCGTCTCCCTCAACCCTTATCCCAGTGGCACTTACATATTTTGTTTTTGTCATTAAAGAAAAATCTAAGAAATTATTGGAAGTGTCCGTTAACACTTTGAAATAACTTTGGTTGCATGGGAAAGTCTTAAAGAAAATATGTTTGTAGTCTCAATTCTTCAATTCTTCAATCTTCAATCTTGCATGCATCAAAAATTTCATGAGGAATTAAAATACTATGCATTTTTAAATAATCCAAGTCTGATAAAATTTAAGGCAAGGCTTCATTGCAAAGAAACTTTATCAGCAAAAACAAGTTAAAAAACAGAAACATGAACTAATATGGGGTTAGATATTGCTTTGAACAAAGGCTCCAGATCCTGTATAAATCCTCTTTACAGAATAAATTTGTAATTTGTCTATTTGATGTAATATCAATATGGAAAATGTAAGTGAACTTGCAACTCTGCAAATTGAGATGATTCTGTTTCATCTGATAAATCAAGAAAGAAGCAGCGTTTGAAGGCTCTTACAATATCTCTATGCAATTGAGAAACTGCTTGGAATTTTGGGGAAAAAAAACCGAAGGCATGAGTGTCCGTATTTGAAAGTTGACAGCCTGGGAAGCTTTTCTCTTAGATAATACAGCCACGCCCTCCTGACTTGCCTGTGTTTGACTACGTTAATTTCCTTAATGTTCAGTGAGTAACTGACATAACAATGGAGAAAACATAGATCAGCAAACATATACAACAGACTTCAGAAATGGCTTTCTGCAATGTGTCTGCCTAATCATCATCAAAATCCAGGAGATTCATGCAGCAGCAGCATCAAGCTAGGGAAATAAGCTAGATTCAGGTTCCAATTTATTACAGATTTAAATATCATGTCGTAGCTCGTAAACACATGGAAAGTTTAAGCAAAAGATAAATTCTAGAAATTTAACTTCCGTTTTCTAATGATGAGAAATTTATTTTTGCCTTTGGAGGTTGGTTTCATTATTTTCAGCCCACCACATTAATCTCTACAATATCACCAGTCCTATGATCTGGAACCGGTCATTCCTTTTCTGATTCTTCAATTTCTCTTTTATTCAATATCTACTCATAAAACAGCAATTATGTCATCAATTTGAATAATGAATCAATCAGCCACACATCTTGGTAAAGGATCTCAAACCAGCTGAGCAAAGTTAAGTTCATTTATTAAGCAACTCAACTCAACTACTCAAAATTGGGCGAAAGGTTCTCTCTTTAGTAGGCAATTCAACTTCCTCAACTCCCTAACCAACTCAAAAGAAAAGAAAAAAATTGCAATGCCAAAACTTAAATTCCATCACCTACCCCATTGATTCTCCTTCACCAAACCTAATCTGCTGACAGATCTACCTGCTTTGAGCGCAATTGCTGATACTGTTCATCAGTTGAAAGCTTTGCAAATCCTTTACTCAGAGAAGCCAAGGTCGAACTAGTCATACCAAGTACATCCACAGAAATTAACAAATGAAGAGGGTTATGAATCAAATCTCCCCAAATGCGGTTTCCAATTGCAGGAAGTATGGAACTTCTCTGCATGAATCTGTCTTTCCACATTTCATATAGCAGAAAGTATAGGACTCCATACACCCAGAACCCCATGAGGTCTCTAAGCTGGTGCTGTCTGCAAAGACTCTTTCAAACTTGTTTCCCAAACATCTATTAGGCTGAAAAGATAAGAGGAGGGAAAAATAATTATTACATTTTAGCTTCAAACCCCTAAATAATATTTTCTTCTAATAAGTTAAACATTTCATGATGAAGATGAATCCTCTTGACTTAAAAAAAAAAGGGAAATCTTTCCTCTCAACACTTTCCATTTAAGGAGAAGTTCTTGTAATACTAGAGCTAGCATTGAATAAAATATTAATCCTTCTACTACAACATGATTTGTACATGGAATTCAAGTGCTTCAAGTTGAGCATAACGGCATTCTGAAATAATTACTGGCTTGGCTTGGGATTTCTCATTAGTCAAATGAGAAAAAGTGAATTTTGTTTTATAGGTTAGTAATGATGACAACATTACATTATCAATATATCTCCACCTATTTTGTTAATAAAGATTTCAAGAGAATGTTATCAAAATTCATTTAGTGAATCAAATAAAAAAGAAGGAACAAAACAGCATTCACATATCATAATCAGAGCCATAAACTACTCCCCAGTAGAGTCTTTGATGTGATGATATAGATATGCTAAAGTTGAACAATACTTGTTAGCTGTTACACATGAGAATAGAGCTTTATTCTCTACCAAAATAAAGCATAGGCGAAACTGAGAACAAGAAAAATGAAACGTAAAAAATAAATTTAAATAACAAGGAGAGTCAACTCAACTTGGATATAGAAAATTCTCGTATGCCTTAAACTGGTTAGACATGTAGCAAATTACACGTGTACTGTGCACGAGCACTTGAATGCACCATGCGGGATTACATAACCAAACAGACAGAGAAAAGTGGAGAGGAGAAAAGGAGCTATTGAAACTGAATCATGAAAATATCACAAAAAAGAAAAAATTATCAAAAACATTTTGCTAATTACCTCCCACAATGATAATGAACAAGGAATAGCGGTTCAGGTAAATTCTATCAAGGCATCACCCAGCCAACATTGTTGTTGACTTCCCAGCATTCTACAGAAATCATCCTCCTAAATCTATTAATATGACAATTTACAAGTTCTAGCTGTAAGAGGTAGAATATTAGTCTTACGCAATACGTATATCTGGGTCAACTTGAATGACGTTGGAACTTTGGAGAATCTGATTTAGTTGAAGATTGTTATAGAAATCAACCAAGGCCCAAATATATCGGTCACCTATCATGTTAATAGAGGTCATACAGATCAATTATGCCAGTATCTAAAAACAACAAAGTACAGCCACATATTCAGCATCACATAGATGGAGCATCACCTGCATATATACATATGGACGCTGGATGCCATCAGTGTTCGCATTTCGCATTGTGATGGTCATCTGAAACATCAAGAAAGATAACTGATAGAAGATGGATGTTGAATTCCCAAGATCCAGCAGAAATTATCAAAATAACGTTTCCTAAGTTGGAAATGGAAAAAGCCAAGGAAGTCTAGGGAAGGGGTGTTAATTTAAGACATGTCATTTTATGCAACAGACCATAGCTATTCATAAAACAAAAGTAAAGGTGCATAAACAGGCACTGGAAGGAAGAAAAGCAGCAGGTTTTAAAATATCAGAGAAAAATTGAAGCATGCCATTAGTGCAAAATGCACAATAATGAGTTTTACCCTAAATTTTTAACTTTCAATAGATAGCAGGAGATATTGTAAATGCCATGTATCATTAGAAGCATTATAAAACAGCTAAGGACAAAAACTGCTAAAACAGCTAAAACGAAAACATCACGCTAATTCTTTATAAAACAAATCTCTTAAATAGAAGCCCTTACCTGCAAAATAGCATCCTCACTACACCTTTCAACTAAAGTTGCAGATTCAGCCCAGAAAATCCAAAAAAAAAAATTTTGAGAACATAGAGCAAGGCCCGATAAGTTAATAAAATTTTGTGACAACAATATTTTACATCACAAACCTTGAGTTTTAACTTATCCAAGAAATCCCATCTTAACCGTCACGGGCAACTTCAATGCAATTAAGTGCATCTGGATTCAACTGCATGTTTGTTAGCTCAGCATCCCCTATTTTACATTTGAGAAAATAAGTGAAGACATCAAGAAAACAAACACATTTAATCCTAGGGAAGTAACCTACTAATACATACTGATTATTTGAAGCAAAAACACCACTATTCCTATCCCTGTCACAACTCCTAAACTGCCCCAAACAATCTTACACTATCCTCTTCACCATAAACCTTAATCAAATAAATAAATTGCATAATCCTCAAAAGATAAATCTTCAATATCATAGTCCATACCCTTCCCCCAATCAATATCAAAACCTTTTTGCATCTCCAAACCTATTTTAAGCAACCTCAACAGCTCTGAGTTCCTCAGGCCAATGTTGTTTATTGAGCATTATAAATTCTCTCGTTCGTAGATTTCTCCCAATGTCCTCTAGATTTTTTTTTTTTTTTTTCAGGTTTCTCCCCCTTCTAAACGTTGGGTAGAAAAGATATTTTTATCTAATGGAAGTCACATTGGTAGATAATATACATAAAAACAGAACTAAGACGTAAAGACTTCCATAATTCATGGTGGCAAACATGCTTATAACCCCATGCCTACGATTTCAACAAAGATATATAGCCCTCCATGTTTATCGCTTAGAAACAAGACTAAGTGGTCACAGTTCTATCAATATTTCCATCACAGAAAGATTAAGCAACAAAGAGAATAAATCATTCAACAAGATGATATTTAATTAAAAAAAAATCCAATTTCAAAACCCAAATCACTCAAGTTTTGGAGAATAGTTACTCAAATCCCATAAAAGATTTATTTGAGATTGGTTAAATGTTACTTTATAGACAAAAAAAACTTGCAAAAAAAGAATTCTAATAGAAAAAAAATTATTAATAGATAAGTTTGTATGCTTATAAATAAATAAAGTCTCTATAGAGTTAGATATAAAAAAAGATATAAGAGAATTGTAAGATTTTACAAGATAAACACTTCATAGAATTACTGAAAATTTACATCTTATGAGTGTGTATATTTAAATGTTTAAGTGGACTTTAGGTGGACTAAAGGAGATTGATATGGGATTACTAGAGATTTACATCTTATAAGTGTATATGTTTAAATGTTTAGGTGGACTTTAGGTAGACTAAAGGAGATTGAGATGGTCCACATAGATATAATGCATAGATGCACATGGGTATATATTTGTTTAAGTCGAAAATACTTTATAGGACTAGAGAAAATTGAGAAGGTTTATGCGTATTGATTGTTGAGAGCTTATTAATATAGATTGTATGTTTAATTCTTTATAATTAGTGGATTTTTTTTTCATTTGTGACATAGACGGTTTAACCAAACCACATTAAATTGTTTTCTCTTTCGTGATTAATTGATTGTTTAATTTTGTTTTCGCTGGCTTAAATATTTAATTAGATTATAGATTTTTTATGTAACAAATGATATCTGAGCTGTCTTGATTCAGCAAGTGGTATCAGTGCTAAAGATTCAAGATTAGGAAGAGGCCAAGCTTAGAAAGCTTAGAGAAGCTCTATTTAAGGGAAGAGCTCAAATTCATACTTTGATAGATTAATTTGTATGAAATGTGAAAATACATAAAAAAAGATTATCATGAAACTTCTATTATAGGTAAAGCTAAACATATCTAGCATGAAGATTGATGATGTGATAGAATTTAAGTCGATGTGAAAATTATTGAGAATAGTGACTCAAATCTTATAAAATATTTATTTGACATTGGCCAAATATTACTTAATAGACAAGAAGACTTATAGAAAAAAAATTCTAAGAGGAAATGGATCCTTGATAGGTAAATTTGTATGCTTATAAATAGGTAAAATCTTTACAAAGTTAGGTATAAGAAAAAAAATATAAGAGAGTTGTAGAGTATTATAGGATAAACACCTCATAAGATTAGTGGAGATTTACGTCTTATATATATGTATGTTTGAATGTTTAGGTGGATTTTAGGTGGACTAAAGGAGATTAAGTTGATCTATATAGATATGATGCATAAGTATACATAGATATGTATTTATTTGAATTAAAAATGCTCCATAAGACTAGAGAATATTGAGATAATTTATGAGTGTTAATTGTTGAGTGCTTATTGGTATAGATTGTATATTTATAATTCTCTACAACTAGTGAATCGTTTTTCTCATCCATGCAAGTAAGAAGGTTGGGTTAAACCGCGTTAAATTATTACTTTGTTTGTTATTGATTAATTATTTGATTTTGCTTTTGCTGGCGTAAATGTTTAATTAAATTAATGGCTTTTTTGCTTAACAAGTGATATCAGAACTGTTGTCACAGTTCACACTAACTTGTGAGGTATTATCCATTTTGGCTCGCTGATGTCACGATTTTGTCCCACAATAGGCATCAATTTTAGTATACAATTGATGTGAGATTCATAACTCCTCTTAGGATCATGAGATCCTCTCCCACTCCAAGAGAGGCCCACCGTCTTTGATGACATATCGTTAGTACCTCCAAAGCCAATTTTGATACCAAATGTCACGATCTACACTAGCTTATGAGGTATTGCTCGTTTTGGCCCGTTGACCTCATGATTTTGTCCCATAAAAAAGTGCCTCATAAGTTGAAGGGATGTAAACCCTTATATCCTAATACCAACTTCAGTACACAGCCAATGTAGGATTATGGCTCCTTTTTAGGACCATGACAACTGTCTTGATCTCAACAAGTGGTATCAAAGCTAAAAGTTCGAGATTAGGAAAAAATAAATTTAGAGAAGCTTGATTCAAGGGAAGAGTTCAAGTTTATGCTTTGATAGATCAATTTGCATGAAGTATAAAGATACATAAAAAATATTGTCATGAAACTTTTATTGCATGTGGAGTCAAGCATGTCTAACATGAAGATCAATAATTTGATTAAATTTAAGTTAAGGTGGAGATTGTTGAGAATAGTGCCTCAAATCTCATAAAAAATTTATATGAGATTGATTAAAAATTGTTTGATAGACAAGAAAATTTGTAGAAAAAGAATATTAAGAGTAAAAAAATTCTTGATAGGCAAGTTTGTATGCTTATAAATAGATAAAATCTTTACAGAGTTAGATATGAGAAAAATATATAAAAGAGTTATAAGATTTTATGGGATAGATAGTTATAGGACTACTAGAGATTTACATCTTATAAGTGTATATATTTACACCTTATGAATGTATATATTTGAATGTTTAGGTAGATTTTAGATGGACTAAAGGAGATTGAAATGGTCAATATAGATATAATGCATAGGTGCATATATGAATGTGTTTGTTTAGGTTAAAAATACTTCATAAAATTAGAGAGGATTAAAATGTCTATGATATTGATTGTTGAATGCTTATTGATATAAATTATATATTTGTAATTTTTTACAATTAATAAATTTTTTTTATTTGTGAATATAAATGATTAAATCGAATTATGTTAAATTATTTTTTTATAATTAATTAATTATTTTATTTTATTTTCGTTTTCGCTGACGTGAATGTTTAATTAAATTAGAGATTTTTTGTATAACTAATGATATTAGGGCTGTTTTGATCCCGACACCAAACATTGAAATAAAAGCATATTAAAAATAGAAGAAGGAAAAACCATTGAATTTTATCAACAGTTTCAGATACTATAACACAACAAAGAAAAAATAAATAAAAAGAAAAAGAAAAAAAATGTCCCAAACCTTACCAAACACTATCTCGAGATGCTTATCATGTAATTTCCCAAATATCGTGAGGTAAGCTATTGATCTTCAAACATCTTTGCAAGGTTCTTTTCTTTTCCTTTGTTCGATTCTTGAATCTGATTATCCAAGAAACAGATCAAAACAAAGATGTAAAAGATTGTAAACTTGAGAAAAAGAAGAAGAAAAAATCTATAATTTTTTCTTATTTCTGAAAAAAAAAAAGTGTGACTTTTTCTTTAAGAACAAGTCGGGCATACTTGTAAAGGAAGGTACTGGAAAGAATAGTATTTATTACCGTGAGGCGGTGGCCTGCAGCCATTGGGACGAATGGTGATGACGTTTACAGTTAACTGAAAATTTCCCGAAATCAGGGCATTGACTCTGACTGACCGTTAGGCGGCTTGGTTTTCTACACCTGCATTCTCCAATGACTATTTTTGTGTTTTTTTTTTTTAATTTATTAATTAATGGTACAAGAAAAACTAACCTGTTTATTTAGAAACAAGACAAAGCAAGGAAAAATAGTATCTTTATATTGCACCAAAAAGAAAAAAAAAAGGAGTATCTTATAGTACTGCAATGGTTCTTCCTCTTTAGCAACGTGGCAATCACGTAGAAATTCACAAACTCTCCCTTGCTTTAAAGCCCTGTCACTCTATCATTACCTTGATCGCCCACGTGGCGCTTACGTACAGATGTTTACGGTTGAAGCTCCAAAATAGTAGCATGTGTCTCCCGTTTTCATGCAAACTCGTCTTCTGTGTCTCTCTTCCGCCATCCTCGCTCCCCCTCTCACCATTCTCTCTATCTTCCCCTAAAAAAGACAAAATTTTGCTTTTTCTCACTCAGCAAGAACCAGTAAAAAGGTTTTGTTTTAATGAATCAAGGCTAGCTATCGTATTAGAGGTAAAGGTTTTTTTTTTTTTTTATGTCTGTCAAGCTAATCACATTGTGTTAAGGATGTTTGAGCATGGAGTTTTTATGATTATGATGATTATGAAAGATTGGTAAGAAAAAAACTGGCATTTTTGTTGGTTTACAGTGGTTAAATTTGTGTGTTTGTGAAATATGTCAAGGAATTCAGATACAAAGAGGAAAATCCCACCGGGGATTTTGCTTATCAGAAGCATTAGAGGTAAAGATTGGAGCCTAAAATCATGTAGATACATGGTTTTGTTGATTACCTTCATAGCATATGCTAGTTATCATGCCTCTAGGAAACCTAGTAGTATAGTTAAGAGCGTTTTGTATCCTGACCCCCTGAAAGCTTCTAAGGGAAACCCTTGGCCTGTTGGAAATGTCTTCATCAAGGAAGAATTTGTGCGTTTTGATGGAAATAGGGTAAAAAACAAGGGTTGGTATCCTTTTAATGGAACTGATGGTACATCAAAATTGGGTGAAATTGATGTTGCTTTTCTGGCTTGTTACTCTTTGGGAATGTATGTTGCAGGGCATTTAGGTGATACTTTGGACCTTAGATTGTTCTTGACAGCTGGGATGATTGGAAGTGGCATTTTTGTGGGGCTGTTTGGGATGGGATATTTTTGGAACATTCATGTCTTTTCGTTTTACCTTGTGATGCAAATGGTTGCTGGGTTATTTCAAGCTACTGGTTGGCCTTCAGTTGTGGCTGTGATGGGAAATTGGTTTGGAAAAAGGAAGAGGGGTTTGATAATGGGTGTTTGGAATGCGCATACTTCAGTTGGGAATATTAGTGGATCTCTTCTTGCTGCTGGTGTTTTGGACTATGGTTGGGGATGGTCTTTTATTGTCCCAGGAGCACTAATTGCTTCATCAGGGGTACTAGTTTATTTGTTCCTGCCTGCTTATCCAGAGGATATTGGTTTTGATGGTGCAAATGCTTCATCTGTGAATCTAGATTTGGTGCCTCAAGATGGGGAGGCTCAGATTCAAAAGGGAACTGCAGTGGATGTAGAAAAAAGTTCTACTCTCAAACAAGGGTCAGGGAGCAGAAAAGGTATTGGACTTTTTGAAGCTAGTTCGATACCAGGGGTGATTCCTTATGCTTTGTGCCTCTTCTTCTCAAAGCTCGTGGCCTACACATTTTTGTTCTGGTTACCGTTTTATTTGAGTCAGACAGGTATTTTTCTTGTTTCCAAGCTTTGCATATTGCTTGATTGACAAGATGGGAGTTAAAGCAACCCAAAGCCTCGTAGGCATCTATCTCAAATATCTTCTGATCTTAGTTGATGAATGCGCTGTATTGTAGACTTTGAGTGACAAGATTAGAAGAAAAATAAATAAATAAAAGATACATCAGTCATTTACAAAATCATGCTTATAAAGTATTTGATGTTCTATCAAACAATTGGGTCTCTTAGTGTGCTATATAAATTTCACTTATCTATTCTATGTTTTTTCCTGACGCCTATTTGTTGTTGGAGCATGTGATTCTATTAAAAACGCATAACGTTGTGCTTAATATCGGCATCAAATCGAGCTGCTTTGTAATAGCAGTAGAGATATTGTTTATTTCGTTGTGGATTGAATATAGTATGTGCGAAATATGACTATTGGTTCTCAAGTAGTTAACCGTCTTATCTTAAGAGATTTATTTCATGTTTTACCCGTATGAACCCGCTATCTTTTAGAATATGAGACCATTAAATTCTTTCTTATGCATCTGCAAAATGTTTTCCCGTCTGTTTGATTCCACTGTTTTGCAGAAATTGGTGGGGAGTATGTGTCTGTGAAGTCTGCTGGGAATCTCTCTACCTTGTTTGATGTAGGGGGTATTTTTGGGGGGATCCTTGCTGGCTACATATCTGATAAACTTAATGCCCGAGCTACTACAGCAGCCAGCTTCATGTTGGCTGCAATACCTTCCATGCTCTTATACCGCATATATGGAAATATTTCACGTACCATCAACATTGTAGTTATGATGATTGCTGGCTTGTTCGTAAATGGGCCATACGCACTTATCACAACTGCAGTTTCTGCAGACCTTGGTACACACAGTTCTCTCAGAGGGGATTCTCGGGCATTGGCAACGGTGACTGCCATAATTGATGGCACTGGATCAGTTGGCGCTGCTCTTGGCCCTCTTCTCACTGGGTTTCTCTCGACAAAGGGGTGGGATTCAGTTTTCATAATGCTAATGGTCGGTGCTCTTATTGCAGCACTTCTTTTATCACGTTTGGTCATAGCAGAAATTACTGAGAGAACTCACAAACCAATTCCATCATCCCATGGACAGCAAACTCTTGAAGGTAATCTGGTCCCAATTTTATTGCAGTAATCATGCATGCAAGTTGCATTCTGAGTATTGCAATGTTAAATTTCTCTAAAATTTTATCTAGCCACCTTCTCCTTAGTAGTATTTGAGGTTAAAATGCTAGACATTAAATTTAGTGATTTCCAAGACTACCAGGCACAAGATAAAGAAACTTAAGCACTTTCCAACAGGTAATTCTTTTGTATTATACATGGAATTTCTGTTTTAGGAAGATAATATGTGGGAAAAGTTTATCTTTAATAGGTTCAAAGCCTGTTATTTTTCAAGTGAGAGGTCCTAAATTTGCTTCAATCAAGTCACCATTCCTGCTCCTTGCATGTGTGAAGAGCCTTTTCCAACATGGTATCATTTTGGACTTGTCTGATCTCTACCTTTTCCTTGCAGCTACAGCATCCCGACCCCTTCTAAGCAACCAAAGCTGATAATCTGGTTATGGTGTCAAGGAGCTATAAAAATTAATGGGGTTTAGAACACATACTATAGATAGAAGTGCTAAAAATAATAGTCTGAGTTAACAGACATGATGCATATGTATTTGCAAAATTTTGATGGCAATGACTGCAGCTTATCACCAGCTAGTCTGGTTTATGTAATATATTCACACTGATAGCAATATGTAACATTAGTTTGACTTATCAGTCTCTCATTTCAGTTGATTCTCGCTCTCCCCTTCTCCGAGTTACAAGCATATGCAGTTTCTATTCATGAAAAAGATTTTTACGGTAACATCAGCTGCTAAAGCCATGGCCCTATCTCTGCAATTGTAACCAAAGTATCAAACAAATGTGTCCTTTTTGATAGCTTCAAAGCAGACATTACCATCAATCGCCATTATAGTTGCTGGAATTGAAGAATCCTAATTTTTTCTCCTTGGTTGTCACATAACTCTTTCTAACCATAATTTGTCTCAATATTTGTTAAAACTCTCATATTCCACTTTCAACAAGTTTTTGTTTAAGATCACATAAACTACATCCCTTTTGTCTCTCTCATCTGCCATATTTTCATTTTTCGTACTGATTTTCTTCTAGAAATTCTTGATCTCTCACCATTTCCATATGTAGAAGGAGCTATTTGAGTCTTTAAGTAATGTTAAACTAATGTAAATCTAGTGTCTCAAACTATTATATCGCCTTTGATTCTTGGATACAGCCAACCAGAAATTAGCCAACAAATTGAAGGTCCACTCCATAGAGATAGAGTACAGAATGTCATACATCTGGCTTCGGTTCTGTATTAATTTAGGCTAGCAAGGTGGCAACACCGGATCCAGTGTCCGGGCCATCATTGGACCACCAAGTCTCTTCGTGTGCCAACAAACAACATCATGATTCTTGTCGTATGGTCTCATGGCTTGTAATTTGCAAGCCCAAGTACAAGAAAACTTGTCAATAAAAGGATTTACATTAGGATTGAAAGAAAAAAAAAATCCTCTTCTATTTCTTGCTAAGAACTGCACAGACAGTGAGATCAAAGAACTATTTCATTCCCTATATTAATTATGTTGTTTTCAATTATTTTTCTTGATTTCCGGTTATAAATCATTAAATAGAATGATGTAATGTTACAAAATTATAAAAAATGTAACCTGCAGAATGGTTTTTTCATGACCATCTTGAACCATTAAAACTTGACCATAGTTGACCAAAATTAGGTTGTTGGCCACCATTATGCTCTGCGTTTAGCCTAGAGAACGAACTTGGTTTGAATTTTAACAGCTTGCATCCATTCTGTCACCGACCAAACTAACAAACATTGAATACATTTTAAACCTGCATATTATTAGTACTTCATATGTAAGGTATTAAATCATTTCAGCTGCAATTCAGTATTAAATCTAATTAGATCAAAAATGAAGAAAAAACACAAAATCTAGGCCCGTGGACACGCTAGTATAGTCATGGTTTTTCTCTATATGTTTCTTTAATTTCTTGCTGCTTTTGTCATTGTGAATCTCGTGAATAAGTCAGCAGTCACCACTTTGGTTGGTGGGACAAATAAAAATGGCTACCTGCAAAGTATGAATGCCACTATGGTCATTGGTCCCCGCAGCCATCCTCTGGTGAGCAACCGTGGAATAAACAATTGTTATGACCTTAGTTTAAGAATAAACAGGGCTAACAATTCATGTTAGAGGAAAAAGGAAACATCCTCTGCATCACCAGAAGTGTTCGACCACAAAAAACCACACATTCCTTTGGGACACGCGTCAATTCCTGTTTCCAGCAGCATGAAATTTCCGTACACTTACCCTTGAAATGATTCTACAAACTTTCATTTTCTCCTTGCCTCTATATATCAAATCAACCTCAGTACTTTCCTTCTCCCATACCTCACACAATTCATGATCTCAGGCCTCAGGTCTCGCACATATACATATACTAGCATGGCTCGTTCACGTGCCATGGTCGCCTTAACTTTGGTGCTCGCTCTTATATCATGTTCAGTAGCTCAAAGTCCGTCAGCATCACCAACAATGCCACCAAGTTCAAGCACCACACCGTCCACAGGCGGTACTCCTCCTACAGCATCCACTCCACCACCCAATACTATGACACCTCCCCCTGCTGTGACTCCAACTTCCTCACCCCCACCTACCATGTCCAACCCTCCTTCCATGACTCCAACAAGCCCGACAACCCCAATGGCTCCTAGCCCTTCATCAACTTCAATGGCTCCTTCGCCATCTATAGCTTCTCCTCCTGGACCTGCGGCAGCTGGTGGACCTGGTTCCTCCACTGAGGGGGAGCCAACTATGCCTCCCGTTATGTCATCACCAAGTTTTGCTGCTTCGACACGTGAATACAGTATATCCTTGTTAGCATTGCTTGCAGGAGCTGCACTCTTTGTTTAGGACAGTTTTTTTATTTTAATCTTTTTTTTTTTTTTACCTTATCTGATTAAGCTATTTATTTGTGTATTTTTTTTCTGTTTCGTTTTCTTTCTCTTCTGGTTGATTCTTGGAGCTGCATTTGTGATTTGTGAGGGGCCTTTTTTGGAGTTTTACATTGGATGTTACACTTTTTTTATAGCATTTTGACTTTAGCTGAATAAAGACAGACTTTCAATATCTCATCTTAATTTTTGCTACACAAAATGGAGAAAGGTTGAAAAAAGGCAGGCTAATTTTGATGCCCATTTTTCACCTGAATTCAATCAGGTTAATTATTTTTACCATTTAATCACATCAGATAAGGAGAATTTTTTACGGTATATGCCCTTGCTCTGATGGTAACATGCACAAAAATGAGACAGTTTAAACTTATACAGGGGATGAGATATGAACTTGGATAGTCCCAATAGAAAAATGTTTATTTGAACTACTAAACAATTTGTTGATTCACGAAATTCTAAATAGGCGTTCAGTTCGTAAAATCGTAAACTTTAAGAAAAAATGTGATTTCCGAGAAGATATAATATCCGAGAATTTTTTCTTTTTCAGAACATCCTGTTTTTAAATTCATTGTTTTTTTTAGAAAAAATTCATATACATTAAATCTTAAATAATTACTATAATATACTTAATATATAAAATGACTGTTCACTATTTAAAAAATATAAAAAGATTACTTAAAGCGTTTTTATCCAAAAATATCTTAAATAATTTTCAATAATTTTTTTTAAAAAATTATTTAAGGTATTTTTGTTCAAAAATACCTTAAATAATTTTTAATATTTTTTTAAAAAGAATTATTTAAAATATTTTTTATCAAAAATATCTTAAATAATCTTTAATATTTTTTTAAAATGGATTATTTAAAGCGTTTTGTCCAAAAACGTTTTAAATAAGTCAAATAAAAAAATTGAAAGGTATTATTTAAAGTATTTTTAAACAAAAAATGTCTTAAAAAATCTACTCATACATTTTAAAGATGATTATTTAAGAAACTTTTATCCAAAAACACCTTAAATAAACCAAATAAAAAAAAAAGTTAAAAGATATTATTTAAGACGTTTTTAGGATCTTAAAAATTCGTTGATACATTTTAAAGGATATTATTTAATATATTTTTATCCAAAAATAACTTAAATAAACCCTTTCAAAATTAAAATGTATTATTTAAAAAGTTTTCATCCAAAGACACCTTAAATAAAGAATTAAATAATTTCCTTCAAAAAAATCAAAAGGTATTATTTAAGAGGTTTTTTATCTAAAAATATCTTAAATAATCCTCTTAAAAAAATTAAAAGAGTAACGATTATTTCATAATTTTTTATTCTAGTTAAATTTAAAAATAACGCTACTTTCTCCACATAATCTTAAAATATCACAGAAATATAGGTTTTTGATTCTAGAACTTTGGATACTGTTAGAAATCTATCAATTTTCTTCGAAATCAAATTATCTTAGATCAAATGTTGAAATCAAATATCCGACAATAAGATTCCAAAAAAAAAATATATGGATTTCTCCGAACCAAATACCCTCTAATGGTTATTCTAGTCATTAATTATCAATATATTAGTTTACTATCATTCTAATGTGTTACTTAAAATGCTTAAACAATAGTGTACGTTTGTTAACACACTCAAAATGTACATAAATGTGCATTCCGGTCTATGCATTTAAAACCCATTTAGATGAGCCTGGTTTGGTTGAGGGATAGATAGAAAAGATAAATATAGGTGCAATTGGTGGTGGTGGTGAATGGGTGATGCCAGTGAATATTGGAAGGAAGAAAAGGTAAGTTGCTAGCTGTTAAGTTAGACTTGTGTGGAGGAGAGACGGTGTAATTAACTTTTTGGAAAGGGGAGGAGAGTTGCCTTTGGGGTCTCTTTTACTTTGTGAGAAAAATTGGTAAGAGTACTAAAGGAGAATGGGCCTTTTTAATGGTGCAAAAGCATAAGGAGGAGAGTGTGGAGTTGATGTATAGTTGTGGTGGGCCTAAAACTCAAAAGACAAATCATTCCAGTATGAAAGTGATGTGCACATGGGTTCTTTCCCCAGCCAAACCTTCGTAAAATTCAATTAATGGAAATTCACCAGCACAAATCAAACCGATAATGTACAGTGTCATGATCAGTTACTATGGAAATTATAACAACAAGGACTTGCACATCAAGGGACAAAAATGTCATTGAAAGAGCACAATGCTACCCAAAAAAAAAAAAAAAATCCTTTGCATATTAGTTTCATTATAATCATGTGTGTTGTTTAATCAGCTTGATGATTTGGTCTTGAGGTATTCTTCCTTTGGCTCATAATTGATGATGGCCAGAACTAAAAATCCTGTTCGAAAGGTTATCAAATAAGAACTTTGGTATAGAACTTGAATGGTCTTTAGTTTACTTACAATACTTTGTTATCATCTATTTTTCCTTTGTTTCCTTCTGCAATGGAAGCATTCTGAACATGGAGATTTAATTTTACTTGAGTAACTGGCTTGAAGCTTGCTGGGTGGTATTTTCAGATCTTCCATGAGTATCTGATGAAGCTTTTGATTCTCCTCCATAAGTTCCTCAATCATCTGCTGATGTTTCAACACCTAAATGACTAGAAGTTTTCAGTACAATCTGACACAATCCTAAACAAAAGGAGGATGTGTACAATCCTGAACAATGCTCTATTATCAACTGTATGAATCAAATGTATGTTGAAAAGCTGTAAATCTGTCATGAATAAATCCTTTTGACACAAATTTGGAATATGGCAACCAGTAAACTCCAACATTCAGGACATTTTACATTGATTACCATGGTTTTCTGTCAATATTTATGTTTTTTTCCACTTAATGATCAATAATCTTGTTGGCAAAATGCACAAACTAAATGGCTTCAGAACAGGTTGAAAAACAGTAAGGAGCATTACCAATTGAAGCATGTTGTTTTCAGAACGCAACCGCCCAACCTAGAAAACAACCAAACCCAAGTGAATTATTGCTGCTGCCTACTGCTATTACTGGTAACCAAAATTCAAAACAAGTGCAATTGCTTGTTGCATGTTAAAGCATTTTTTGACAGCTTCTTGTTCCCAGCAACTCTCTTGATTGCTGGAGTGAAATGATGTTTCTCTCACAACCATTAAGTGTACAAAATAAGCTGATCTCAAGCCTCATATTGCACAAATTTAAATCATAGACCTCCCATAAGATTTTATAAAAATTGACATCCACATTAAAATTCAATGCTGGCATGCTGATAAGAAAGAGCAAAACCCCAAAGTGATGAATTACAAAGCAACATACACTAAGCATAAAGGTTTCTTTGCGTACCAGTTCATTTAGGCTAGTTTCATCTTCTTTCAAAACTGGATTTTGCAAAAAACTATTAAGAACCTTTTCTGTTTGACTTCCAAAGGATGTCTTCGTTGGAGATTTTGATGAAAATTTTTCATAAGCTGAACCGCTGCTCATATTTCCTGGTCCATGCAAGCTTTGAGATATAGGATCTTGTACTTTTGACACCATCTGCTTCATGTTTCCACGTGGGCTTTGGATAGAGGGTTCATTTGTTGTTGTCAAAGCACTTTGAATGGATACAGGAAAAGCACCTTCACTGAAAGGCAAATTGGGAGCCATTCCGAGCTTCACCATCAATTTTGTCATCTCTTGCTAGAAGTTTCAGATTAAAAATTTAGACAGAAGTAAATCAAACACCTTAGAAAAAATAGCTATTATAGAAGAAATTAAACGTACTATAACACAACATTGAATTTGATGCATCACCCCAGGCTTCATGGCAAGTCCTGTAAAACAAACAACTTCTGCCGTCAAGAAAGATGTTTTTAGTCCATATGATTGCAGAGCATTAGAATACAAATTATTCGTCCTGCAGCTGAGGATAAAGATATCAATGTCAGTTAAGGTATAAAGATAGAAACACAGCTGGTTGATAACGTTACTCCTTATGCGGATGCTTAAAATTTCAAAAGAAGGGGAAGCATGAACGTATTTTCATGTAGTTAGAATCTCAATCACATCAATCAGCTATTTTGCTACGATCATATAAGCAAGTTCTGAAACTAGGACGTTAATTATTTGGATCAGCATTCACGTACCACATAATACTTTTGTACAAAGACTAAAATGAAGTAAGTAATAAGGGAATCGAGAGAAAATAATTAGGTACACATACTGTCACCTAGGGCCATATGTTTGCAATGTTCAATAACAGTTGGACTTCACAATTTTTATAAGATACCCCACCTTAATACAAATGCATCAATATATAATACTTTTTCAGTTATTTCTTTTCAACATTATTGCATACCAACACCAAAACCATGGCCAAGACCAATTCCACATCCAATGCCTGCTTCAATGTTCTTAGCTCCCAACTTCCTTAGCTAAAAACATGAGAAGAACTAGATAAGCAGATTGTGATATATCAAGAAAACACAATCAACAAAAGGTATAATCAGAAAATTCTATATTTGACTTACAGCACCATTTACATGTCTGCTAACAACAGAAAATGCATCAGTTGCACCTCTAGTTGCAGTCATAACTTGGCCCAGCATAGGTATGGCACCTGTTACATAGCAAAGGTTAAGTTCCTTAGATTAACAAAATATCCTTGAAACAATGTACTAGCAATCAGAACTTGAGCAAAACTTGCATCAGCTAACAACAATTTAATGTGCTTCATCATAAGGTATGTTCACCAATCAGAAAAGTTTTGCCCTACCCCATTCATTCCTAATTCCAGACATAACTATATAACATAATAATATCGATATTGTAAACAGAAATTTTAGAATTAGCATGACATCTAAAGGCTTTGACCCACAGAGCTGCCTCAATGGACATGATAAAAAAATATAAAGAAGCACACAGAGGACAAAGAGGATAAAACAAAAGCATCTAAGAGCCTGCAAGAGGATTGCGATTTAGCAAATTTGAAGTCCAACGATTATGAATTCTTTAATGGTATATCCTCACATCAAAAACTTCAGTCAATGATTGTTAAAGGATGATATGGCTAACAAAAACAAGGCAGAATTGGTTCACTGTAAGCAACTTTAAGACATTTTTATTGAATTAGGGTCACATTTACTATCAAAATTTCCCATTGTATCCAGCAAGACACCATCATAATGCATAAAGATGTAGAAAAACATCATCCAAGCCAAACCTTGAAAGGCAACAGGTACATTATTAAGTCTTGAAATTACACTGTCTTCATGGTTGAACTCATAAATTTTTCTAATGTTGCTATCTTGTACTCAACTGCAGGGAAAAGCAATCAGATTTCCACTGTGGTAGACAACCAAAAGCTTCTCAATAAATTGAGGCTTATTAAGCTAAGGCAGGATAGTACTGATTTATGTAATTCCTAAACAATTACAGAGTTACAGCTAATAACAACAACAAACTAAGTCTTATATCCGATAACTCTGGGGTCGACTATACGAAAGGCCAAAAAAAGGAATCTCGTTAGGTCATAGTTTTGAATTTTTGTGCCACTCATTTCTATCAAAAACAACCATTTCATCTATTTCCTTAACCCTCATTTATAGAGTTACAGCAAATATATAACAAAAAATGAAGATAGGTGCTTTTTAACATGCATTGAACTCTTTAAATTCTTAATTCTTGGCCAAAAAAAAAAAAATCTTTAAATTCTTAATTAGGATTTAGACTAACAAATGGTAAAACCAAACCACTCTCTGACGACTGAAAAAGTTCAAATTTTAACAAACTAAATCAATAAACTCACCATTTCAAAAACCCAAAACATCCAAATAGAAAGCCACTATTCATTCCACACACCCACATTTTCCCACCACAGAAAAAAGCCATTACCCATTAGCCAATAGGTTTAACAAAACAAATGAAAAGAAAGTTACACCAAAAATGACACATACAAGGTTTCTTAGGAAGCAAATTGGAGTAAATATCATCATTCTTGGGACTAAACAAACCACCGCAATTCATCTTCACAATTCAAAGATAAGATTTTTGCATTAGAAAATGTATATGAGTAATGTGTATGATAAGAGAGTGGGTGTTAATGAGCAGTACCTATATTTATAGGGCGACCCACGCCTATACCAATACCACAGCCAATGCCAAAGCCAGTAAATACTTGACCCACTTTCAAAGCAAGTGTATTCTCTAATCTGATTCCTTCAAAGCCTTTTCTTTGATTGGTTGCCACCATTTTACTCTTACTGCTATTGATACCACTCTCCATTCTTTAACAACTCTATCTTTTTCTTCTTCTTGCAAAAATCCCAAAGAAAACTCTCTTTCATATGGGTATTTTTGTCATGTTCTTTTCTCTTCGAAGAAGCTATGAATTCTGTCTCTTTTACTGCTTCCTGTCTCTCTGCAACTGAAACATAGACAATGTGGGTAGATACCGTCCGTTGAGAGAACATGTTTTCCCTCTTAGGTGTGGTTTAATGAGATCTTGCCACGTAAACAACATAACATATTTGGGTTTGGAAGTGGCTGAATTTACATAAATGCCAAATTAAAAGTGGAAATTGGAAAATGCATTTCTTTTGAGTGGAGTAGGGTTACTGGGTTAATGGGTCGATCTCTATTGGGTCTTTGGTTGTATTTGGGATAAAGGCTTACTGATTTTAAGCTAGTCCAAAAAAAGAAAAGGATGGGCCTCCTTTATTAAGTTAATTGTTTGAATTAGATGCGTCCAAGGATAAGCTATTGTCTACTTGTTTAAGCCTATGAATTTGATCCGGGTCAGGGATATGAATTTTTAGATTCTAGTTTGATTTAATTAATTATTTTATTAAAAATTAATATATCTTTATTTAACTTTTATTTATAGAATATTAAACCAATAAAGTTTTTTTTATTTTAAAATATTAAAATAAAAGTTTGATAGATTTAAGTCTATTCATGATCACTTATTATCGTAATAATTTTGTATCCGTCTAATAAATTTTGAAACGAAATAAAAACATAATGGAGTCGTTATCAAATTTTTTTAATTATGTGCGATTGATCACCTATTAAAATATGATTGGTGACGATTCTGTTATGTTTTTATTTCATTTCTAAATTCGTCAGACGAACATAAAATCGTTACGATACTTATAATTTAAACAGTGAAAAATCATTTTAATTTTTACTAGCTATTTATAAGAGCCAAAGGAGAGGCTTTGTTTTGAAATATTGATAATAAAATATCAATAGAAGAATGAACAAGACAAATATATATATATATATAGAGTATTTTGCGTAAAAGTGAATTGAACAGTGAGTGGGAAGAGATTTGAACTTATAGCAAGGAAAACACTATTAAAAGGTGTTACAATTTGATTTGTAGGACTCGTTTTGATGTTTAAATTAGCAAAATATAGGAAATTAGAATTAAAAAGAATGAAAATCAGTTTGCAAAGAGTTACGAAAGAAGCTTAAAAAAGAAAGGTTCAAAATCCTATACTTAAATCTTCTTTTACTTTATATATGAGATATAGAGCAATAATATAACGTATATAATTAATAGTTGATGAAAAATGCATATTAAACTCAAAAAAAGTTCAGGTAAGTTAAGAGTAAACAATATTTAATGATCTTAGGTAATTTGAATTATAATAAAATGATTTGTTGATGAGATATTAATGTAAGCAGTTGAACAAGCTACATTCATAAATGAAAAGGTCCAAGTAGAAAAGCAACTTTAAAAGGCGGCCATGTATAATAAGTGTGAAGCTTGAGTATTAGTCTTTTTTGGACAAATGATGTGATAATCGAGAATATGCTAACTTGACGAAAATAAATATTAATCTTATCTATAAAAAGGCAAATACATATTTTTAAGAAAACCATGTAGGCATTGAAATTGTTAATTTGATATTAAAACCATGGTAATTTCATACTAGACGTTCCATTTTTTAAAGTCCCGCCCTTCAAAAACTTTAGTATTTTTTTTTTCTTTGAGAAGTCATTTTTTCAAGTCTTTCAAACGATTTGCAACTTGATTTTTAAAAAAATGGAAACATTGAGTCATTTTTTAAATATTAACAAGAAATAATTGATCTGCAATTGTCATTTTCGTAAACATTGAAGGCGTGCACGTTCACATATATAAGGTATAGCAAGTAACAAGGGTCAATCTTCATTCTTCCTTCCCTTCCTAAATCCCAATTGCATTGTTGATTATCTGAGTTTGCAAAGGTATAAATTATTTATAATGTCATGTTTTTCTTTACCATGTCAAATGGGTCATTAGTATATTTCATTATTTTAATGCCAAACGTCATTCACATTCACATTTAAAAAATATATTAAGAATAATTTTTGGTACATGTTAAATCCCCCAAGTAAAAAGAACTCATTTATTTTTTGCCTTAATTAGGGACAAGATAAAAGTACAGGCACAAGCTACCCATTCTTAGTGGTCATGTGTCCATCAAAAAGGTACAAATCACAAAAGCCCATTTTCTTTGGACAAACATGTCATTAATGCGAAACTAAACTGTAAAATTCATAAAAAAAAAAAAAAAGGTGGTAGTTTAGAAACGGATAACATATGCGAATGATTTTATAAAGGGACGATTAGTCGATGGATTTGTTCTTAAAAAAATAATAATTAAATAATTATTTTTAAAAAAATAATCGAAATTGATTGATTTATTTTTAATAATTGAAAATAATTTAATCGAAATAAATCTGTTGATTTCATTGAAAAATCGAAGTTTTTATCGTAAAAAAATTGATTGCTTGATGTGAGAGGTCAACTACCGTCTAAATTTTTGTTATATATTAGACAACTTATGACGAATTTTGTAAAAAATCAAATAATTTGATTGATTCGAATATTAATTTTAAAAGTTGATCGAATTAATTGCCTAAACAGTTTTCTTTAATTGATCAAATGAAATTAATTTAATTAGTTTCAATTGATTAAGTCATTGATTAAAATGATTTCTACTCACCTTAATGAATATGAAAAATTTAAGAAAAACTGTACCACTAAAAGTTAAACCCACCTTACCCGGCCCCTTAAAAACCACTTTACCCTCTAAATTAGATGTTCTGATTACAACAGTGGATTACAACAACCCTGCATGATGGGCTGTAGCTTAGCCAGACACCTTTCTCTTTGGGGCGGAACCTAAGCGCGAACCATTATATTATTCTTTCACCTATTCTACCAACACCCTAGTTGCTAGAGGAATACCGTGCTCGCTTTACGCGTGCATGTCGATTTCGTATTCACCTCGGATTAGATTTTCATGGTCTTTGACTTCTCAACCTCCCTAATGCTCCACTGGTTTCCTCTGCTGTTTTAAATCAGATGTCCTTTGACACTCTGAAAGTTGTGCTAACATCGATTATGATATTTGTAAAGGAAATAAGAACGAACAACAAATTAAGAGAAACTATTATTATTTGTAATTCAAGCACAGGCGTGAAGTGAAACTCTTAGCTATTACAATCACTCTCAGTACTTCTCATTAGGAATTGTGACAATGATGTTCACTTTGTATGCACCCTCCTCAAGCGAAGGAATTACAAAGACAAACCCACCCGAGGTTGATCTAAACCAACAGGAAACATGAACAGGTTTATTCCCTTCTCGGAAAGTAACTTCATTAGCCCCTAAATCATCCCATTTTGCATACGTGAACTCCTTGTTAAGGTTCACCTTGGGCTTCAACATCCCATGTTTTGAGCAGCTTTCTACCTTGATGGCCTCAAACGATTCATTAAGAAACAAAGAAAACTCGGCACCCATTTCACTTCCAAGATTGTTCTCTGCCTCCTTAAGACAGGCTAACGCGACTTTTCTGCACCATTCACTTTTCAGACTTTCACTTTCAGCATTAATCTTGAAGATCATAGTTTTGCCAGAGTTTTTGCTTGAAGTTGAGCTGATTATGTTAGGAGAGGAGCCGGTGGTGTTCTTGAGACCAGGGAGGTAGAATAGGGGTAGCTTTCGTTCATTATTCTTGTAGATAATGTTGTTGTGAATATTTGCCCATGTCTTCAGGAACTCTGTCCTCAATAAAAGGTCTGCCAGAAGAATGCTGCAGCTAATTCCAATTGAGTATCCCCCACACTGGAAATTGGTCACCTGTTAAACATAAAGAACTGATCATGACTCTGCTTGAAATCAAGGTCATAATTCTTATCCTAAGAGGTTTTTTTAATACAGCTAAATGTCCATATAATATTAACTGAACACAGAACAGTGGGGTAATAAAGCTAAATGTCAATATAATATTACCTGAACATAGAACAGTGGGGAAAACTGTGGAGTTTGCTCATCAATATCCTTCCAGAAAACAAGCTGAGCTTCAGCCTCTTCCCTTTGCTTCATGCTAAGAAACTCTAACAGATTCAGCTGAATTCTTGCCTCAATGAGTCTAATGCCACAATCATTGGACACGATCTCCAATTCTCCATCATTTTCCTCCCCTTTTCGAAGACGTCCACAAATCATTGGCTGCTCCAACAAAGCTCTCCCAAGTGTCTCCTTAATCCACCCAGCAACTAACCAGCCAGAATCTTCCTCCTTTTCCTTTCTGTAGTTGGACCATGTTCAAGCACCTCTGGAAAATCCCTGGACCAACAGGCTCCCCCACCAACACTTGTCGTGTCTGTCTTGGTTCAGTCATCTTAATCGGAGTCACAGTCTGAATACCTTCAACGAATAATATAGGGACAAAGCTATCACTGTGCATTGCCATCTTGTGAAGCTTCTGAATGGAACGGATTACAACCTCTGCTAATTGTGACGGCATTTATATAGAAATATGTCCAGTAAAAAACATGCTTGAACAATTTAAAGTACTAAAATGCCATTGCTTGTTGCAGTCTGAGCATGTCATTTACTTGTATTATGAATTATAAACAGAGATTTTTCTTTTTAAAAAACTTTTGGCTTGACCAGTAATGAAGTTTTGAACGGGGCGGGCTGGTTTGTTTGGTATACCTAATGTACCACGATAATTCACAAAAGGAAAGGAACATGTCTCATTTCTACACAAAATTTGGTAATCAGACAAAATCTAACTTTTTTATTATCCCTTAACGTCGTTTTCCTTTCCTGTTAAATACCTACTGAAGCACACGCAACTGCGAAAGCCAGCTTTCCCAAGTCATTGCTAAGCGGTTGATTATTGCTGGTAACTTCATTTTTTGGCTCAGTTGGCACAGGGCAATGCGTCTTTTTTCCGCTTTTTGGGTCTTTTTTTTCCCTTTAAACAAGCAAATCGGCTAAATGAATTCAGGTCAAATCAGTTCAACCAATTGTACGTGCATGGACCGATCAAGTCCTAATGTCATGAACTGTTGGAATGAGGCAATGGCCATGGCCTGACGTCAGTCCATAGCTGATCACTAGAGACCAGACAATGAAATGGCTAGATTTTCAATTAATGATCGGTTGGTGGTCTCATTTACTAAGTTTTGTAAGCTCTTAGAAAGGCAACAGCCCAATCTCCTTAAATTAAAGCATGCAACTCACATCATCACTAAATTTAAAGCAAGTTGGTTTGTGCTTATATCGCCACTAGTTGTTCGTTAAACCGCCACCAATGTGCAATTAATATGGAGGCAAGTTGTTGCTATTCATGTTTAGTACACATTGAATTTTCTTTCTCAGCATAAAAGATAAAATCTTTTGTCTCGGACCCAGGTGGTCACCAATATTTAAATTGTACGAAAACTCTTTTGTCTCGGTCCCAGATGATCACCAATATTTAAATTGTACAAAAAGTCATCAAATATCAAATAGAAAACAACAGTAATAATTTAGGTTTTTGCTGAAGGACCCAAGTTTAAATTTAGTGGTTCTTTGATATGAGGGTTTTTTTTTGACAATTCTCAAGTTTGAATTCCTTTAAACCTGAACAGCATTTCTAGAAATTAAAAAGTATTAACAACAGTTCAAGAGTGTTGAGACTTTAATATGGGGCCTGATCAAACGAGCAATGAATGAGACGAGACATATCATTTCATTGTACCAGGACAGTTGCATGTGCAGCTCATAAATAGTTAACCAATAATATTCCAATTTCCATGGTCATCCCAAAAGCAATGAATATGCAGCCGTACGTTTCCCATTCCATAAGGAATGCCAAGGGAAATTTTTTTTTTTTTTTCCAAAAGAAAAATAGAGCTTAGGCAGGAAAGACATAGCAGTGGACGTGACTAGAATGGGTTCTGGTACCGGAGGATGCCTGTTTAGGACAATGCCCTATGCCTTTTTCTTGAGTACAAAAGAAGGGCATACTACTTGGGTGTTCAGTGTTGCTGGTGAAGTGAGAAGTAAATTTTTTTTGAGCTAACAAGGCTCGTGGTAGACTGGTAGCTGGAGGAGTAACTAAATATTGTCGGTAAGATGAATATAATAAATTTAGAAGCCCTCAGTTGGTGAGATGGATTCCACCAGCTTGCAAAATCCCTCTCTTATGTGGGAGCTTTAATATTATACCGCGTCTAAAGGCCTAACGCTGATTGCAAGTTCAGCCTAAAATCTACTTCAAAAAGGTGATTTGGGCCTAAAAACCGTAGATCAAGCTCGGGCCTAATACAAACAAGATCCAGGATCAAGCTAACGGAATGGTCGTTACCAAAGTACCTTTGCCGGTAAAGTCTGGTTGAACATGAACCAACAAGAAACATTTCATCTCCGCCACTTATTTTCGAGACATTTTGTTTATAATTGTGGCCCTCTCGAGTCTCAAATTATCACAAACTTTGCCAACCCAACACTTCAGAACCATAGCAATAACCACTTCTTCTCTTCTGCGTCTCAACTGTCCTATGTCTCGACCTTCTTTGTCCAATTCTCAAGGTAGAGGATTTTTGCAGACGTTCTTAAACCCATCCGCACATCAATTATGAAGCTGGTATTCAGAAGGAGGATATTCTCATAGTGGGAGCTGGGATTGCTGGTCTTGCCACTGCAGTGTCCCTTCGCAGGTCAGAATATTTGAGCTAAATTTTATTCCTTGCTGGCCTTTCTAGTCTGAATTTGAGTGTCTATTTACAGATTGCTAGGATTCTTTTGATTCTTCTTTACCAATGAATTGTGCAAAATCTATCTTTTTCTATTTTCTTTATGCACGATAATGGTGGTGCATGTTCAAATTTGCAGCATTTGGATATTGCAAGTTCAACAAGAAATGAATCTCCACAAATTGTTCTGATTAGTTTTCATGTTAAGTGATCATCAGGCTAGGAATTGGATCACTAGTGCTTGAGCAAGCAGAGTCACTTAGAACTGATGAAACCTCACTCACCCTTTTCTAGAATGGGTGGCGGGTATTGGATGCAATTGGTGTTGCATATTGTCTCAGGAGCCAATTTCTTGAACTTCAAAGTCAATTTCACTAGCGCTTATTTTTGACAAGTGCTGTCCTACATTTTTTAGCGAACTTGGTCCCTTTCTATAGTAGGTTTTTAGACTTGAACGTATCCTTAGTTATCATATTCTGAACTTGTTCATTGCATCAGCTGTGCAGGATGGTGGTGAAGTCAGAAGATGGAAGGGAGTTACGCTCCTTCAAATTCAAAGATGAAGATCAAAAGTACTAAATCTTCTACGTTCTTGGAGCTTGGAGGCAGTTTTTAATCTAATTTGTACCACTATTTCCGTTCTTTACCTTTCAAATGATTGTATACAAATGTTTCTCTGTTTCATCAACTAATGATAACGTGATGTTGCAGCCAAGCAGTTCGTGCATTGGAGAGGAGAATACTTCTGGAGACGCTTGCCAATAAGTTGCCACCAGACGCAATACAATTTTCTTCGAAGTTCTCAAAGATTGAGTCAAGCGAAAATGGTGAAACTCTTTTGGAACTTACGGATGGTACTAGATTACTTGCAAAGGTTAATTCATAAAAGTCTCAACATTCTCGTTCATGTATACAGCAATGCTCTATCGTGATGAATACTATAATTCAGCATTGCTTCCCAGCTGTGTAAAAATTAGAAATCAAATTACTGAAAGTTTTTCAACAGATTGTTATTGGATGTGTTAGGTCTCCAATAGCCAAATGGATGGGTTTCTCTGGGCCAAAGTATGCAGGGCATTGTGCTTTCCATGGACTAGGATTTTATCCCAACGGGCAGCCCTTTGCACCAAGGTTAATTACATAGATGGAAGAGGCCTGCGTGCAGGATGTGTTCCTGTATCTCCCACAAAAGTTCACTGGTTTATCTGCCATAACAGCTCTCTGCGGGGATTTTTCTTTTCTTTTTTACAGTAGCATTCAGTCATACAACGAATAGCGAATAACCATATAACACCTTCCAGTAAATTTTTTCAAATCCTTCCGAGCTCTAATGATCTATTTCATGGTTTGTTGCAGGTCCAAAGATAACTGATCCAGTTTTGCTGAAGAAGCAAGCAAATAGATACTAGTAAAGAACTGGCCTACGGAGCTACTTAAATTTATTGCTCTCAACCCTGATGAGACGATGAATAAAACCCCCTTGTTGACCGTTGGCTATGGCCAGGTGTAATATGCTTCAGCTGGCAAAGTTGTGCTGGTCAAGGATGCCTGGCATCCGATGACTCCCAAGGGCATGGTGCTTGCTGTGCTTTAGAGGATACGGTGATTCTGACAAGCAAGTTAACAGATGCAATTAAATCTGTACCTCCATCTATAGTAGGTGCTCTCAGGGCATATGGAGAGGAAAGAAGGCCTCGAGTCTCTCCGCTAAGGCGCTAACCATAGGTACAAATCTCGTGGGATCTGTTTTGCAATGGGATAATCCACGTGTGAGCCACTCAAAGCATAAAATGTAAGATTTCAAAGTTGACCATACAAAAAGCAAGAAAACTTATTGCACCTTCGTTGCAAAATCCAAATTATACAAATTAGCCATGTAATTCCTTTATGGATGTCAAGATTTTCGATCACATTTTTCATAGGAGGAAAATTATTTCATGCAATTTGCTATTTGAGCTAAACCTTTCTCAAGAACTTTCTAAAGACACCATGATTGACCTCATTCCTAAGGAAGCTACAACACTCGCCGGAACTGGGCGTGGTCAAAGACTTTGTGAACATGAACAAAAAGGAAAATCGACCACCACATGTTTGTTTGTCCCGTTCTTGCATTTGCTCTTTGGTCATTGTTGTTCGCAAATTGCAGCAGCCACCCTGGTTCCCTGCTGGCAGACGCGTTGTCAAAGGATGCTTCATGCAAGAGAATACACACGTAAATGAAGCAGCCAGGAAACACCTGGCTGTCCGTTTTCTTCAGTTGAAAAATTTTTCTTCCATTAAATAACAAATTAAATGTTCTAAAATGACTTAAATATCCTCAAAAAATGCCATATCAACTGCCTTTATTTACGATTTTTTAAGATAGATAAAGCAGTCTAAGTGCTCAATTAAAATACACTCTTTGTTATTGTCATTCTCCTAACTATTTTCTTAACAACAAAAATTCTATACATAATTTTGATAGGATTACTATTTTATACATTATGGGTAAAATTTTTAAATTTGATAAACAATATTAAAATATTAGTAAATATTTTATTATTTATTATATTAACTTATAAATTTTTAAAATATATTTTTATTGTTCTCGAAAAATTGTCCTCAGAATGTTCTTTAAAAAAAAGTATCTCGATAATAAAAAAGATAATATTTTACAAATTGGATACTAATATCTTAGTTTTGGGATCCACCTATGTTTTACCAACAATCCCAATTGCTAGCTAATTGTGCATGGTGATAGTGGTCCTAATAAGACATAGGATAACAAAATTTTAAACTATATAATGATTAAGAATCCAATTCCCTTTGATTCCTTTATTTTATCCTCTCCATTTCAAACTCAAGGTGTTAAGTAATTATATGGACAACATTCAATTTATGCCACATACTTAATTAAGTGATACAATAGAAGATAAGGTATATGGATAATTAATTGCTTAAATTTAAATTTTAACACTTCTTTTTTATTTTTTTTTTCAAAGAAAACTTGCACCTTTTTTCAACTTGCAAGCAAGGCATTAATTTTTTTTATCCATTAATTGGATTGGATAATACAAACTAAACTACTCTTAACCTAATTAAGTAAACTATGTTACAAATTATCTCTATCCTTGCCTTTCTTCTATTTATCACCTTATTCACATTTGAATTTTACATTTAAAATCTCTTACTAATTGTTTGACATAAGATAATACTAAACTAATTATCCAAAAAAAAAAAGAAATATACAATTATACCAAACTAAATTGATCATGAGCATACTAAGGACGTTTACAAACTTTATATTTTGATAAGTGAAGTCTCATCAAATAATCATCAAACTCTTTGCAAAGAGAATATTTATTAAGAAAATATATTTTTTATTTGAAATTTTTAAGATTTTAAAAGATGTAATAATTTAAAACAAAAAGTAAAATTGTAAATGTTAAGATTTAAATCTTATATTTATTAAATACTATTTTTTTAATATGTCATAAATTAATTAGATTAAATATATTTAAAATCATTAAAAATAAAAATATAATACTCTATTTATGGATCATACTCACACCACCGTTTAAATTAAGAAAATGATATGAATGCAAAGTTTTAAATAATTATTGAATGGAATATTTTCCAAGAAAATGATTAAAAAAAAGAAAATGCCCAAAATTGTAATTTAACAATACGCAATTGCACAAATACGTGGCATTCTTTTTGTTTCCAGTGCTACGTCAACCTCCAATTTCCCTCAAATTTTAAATTTGATCAAAATTAATAATTAATAAAAAATTAAAATTCCAATTTCCAACTGTTCTGGCTCTTCATTTATAAACAATACACCAGCACAAACTCTTCGCTTCTTCAAATTCTCCTTCCATTGTCCCGGTAACAAAAACTCCCTCTTCCTCTTTCTCAGGCGACGATCTCAAATTGGCGGTAAATTCACCGTAACGCCCAATTTCTCGCTCCCTCCGATATCTCCCCCGACATCTCGTGATTCAGTTGATTCTAACTTGTCACCATCATGAATCCCGAATAGTAAGCTCCTTTTTTTTGTGTAATTTTATTTCTGTATTCATGTTAAATTAATCGTTTTTAATTTATTTTCCTATGGATCCTCTTATTTCAATTTTCTTTTGAATTAAATTTGTTTTATTTTTTCCTAAAATTTCTTTGTTTCTTTGTTATTTTGATTAATTGATTTTCTTTGTGAATCAGATCCGATTGGTTTTTGTTTCAGATCTGTTTATTGATTTTCTAGCATTATAGGTTAGCTAAGGAATAATAATTGTCTCTAAAATTTGTGATTTATTAAGTTAGGTAACAGTTTTATGGAGAAATTTAAAATATTTCAAATAAATTTAGGCTGAAAGATGGAAATAACCACAAGGAGCTTGATTGCTTTATGAGTTTTTGTTTTATGTATGTTTATATGTTGAAATTTTGATTTTTTTAATTATTTTTTATGTTCTGAATTTTGTTTGTTTGTGATAATGGCAGCGATTATCTGTTTAAGCTTTTGCTTATTGGAGATTCTGGTGTTGGGAAATCGTGTCTACTTTTGAGGTTTGCTGTAAGCTTTTGGACCCCCTTTGATTTTAATGCTTTTTGATCTTAGCTTTGTGATTTGTTTTCTTTTTTGTCACCAAAGGTTGATGCTTACAAACTGATTTTTCTTTTGGGAACCAGGATGATTCATATCTGGAGAGTTACATAAGTACCATTGGTGTTGACTTTGTAAGTATTGTCTCAGTACTTTTAAAGTATTGGTTTGTTTGTTTTAAACATGTGAATGGTAAATTAACTCTGAATTGTGTTCCCATATGCAGAAAATCCGTACTGTGGAACAGGATGGAAAAACCATCAAACTCCAAATTGTAAGTCTTTAAATTGGCTGGCTAACTTGTCTTTTGTTAATTGGGGTTTGAATATCCAAATTTACCTATTTGGAATGCATACTTTGATCTGGTACACCCATAGTTTGGTTTGCTTTAACTGGGTTGTGTTCGTTCTCTCAGTTCTAGTCAATTTTAGGAGTTCCTTTGTTTAGAATTTTTTTTATATGATTTATACACTTAAAAGGTTGCTTGACTGTATCTTTTCTTTTGATAATCGTTGATTGTTGATTGCCTTTTTATGCTTGTCTATGGATATGCAGTGGGACACTGCTGGCCAAGAACGTTTTAGGACAATCACTAGCAGCTACTATCGTGGGGCTCATGGTATCATAGTAAGTACCATATTTTACATTTTAGCTGTGTTTCTCCTCCCTTAAATTTCTTTACGCAGGATTAAACTCATACTGAGTGCATTCTTGGCAGGTTGTTTATGATGTGACAGACCAAGAGAGTTTCAACAATGTCAAACAATGGCTAAATGAAATTGACCGCTATGCCAGTGAGAATGTGAACAAGCTTTTAGTTGGGAACAAGTGTGACCTAACAGCAAACAAAGTTGTATCCTATGAGACAGCTAAGGTTAACTGATTGCACATGTTTCAAATTTATATGACATTCGGTATCAAAAAAGTTTAGGATTTTCATCACTCATGACTTGTTTTCTTTGTACAGGCTTTTGCAGATGAAATTGGGATTCCTTTCATGGAAACAAGTGCTAAGAGTGCCACTAACGTTGAAGAGGCTTTCATGGCCATGGCTGCTTCAATCAAGAACAGGTATTCTACCTGATGTTTTCTACATTTTATGGTGAAGTGACACATACACACACTTATATAAGGAAGATGGATTTATTGCTTCTTTAATGGATTGGCCCCTGATTTTAGAGTTTATTGGTCCTTATCTCTTAATGGTTGTTTGCAGGATGGCAAGCCAACCAGCCATGAACAATGCGAGACCTCCAACAGTACAGATCCGAGGACAGCCTGTGAACCAGAAGTCTGGTTGCTGCTCGTCTTAAAGAAAATTAATTTCAGTGGGCACATGATGTCCTTTTGTGTTATTTATTGCATGTAGTAATACTAGTCCTATTTAATGCTTTTGATATGAAGATGGTTCAGCGTGATTTGCTATTCTTGTCTGTTGTTCAATACTCTGCTAAATTTCTATTCTTTTAATTGTTTTTGATTTCAAGGATACATTTTGTACAAAATAGGAATATTGGTGAAATGCAGTATTTGTGATCAAATCAGGTTTCAAATAACGCACCTAACAACCGAGGGAGCTTAGCCTTAGCATATATCAGCAAATATTTTCGTGAAGCATTAAATCATCAATAAATAGAGATTAAAAGAAACAATAACATGAATGCATTGTTTTCAGACAGGACCAACTAAAACGGTCTCAACCTACTCGAACCGACAAAACCGATGCCACTACTTCTCAGTTGTAATCCATAAGCTCTGATTTTAACCCAAAACAAAAAACTCAAGGCAAAAAAAAAAAAAAAAAAAGATGTGCATGTCAGGAAAAGACCATGAGTCTGTAGACCCATGGGTAAATTATCTAAAATTTACACAAAAACATAAACGGTTTCTGATAAAGTCATCATTCCTCTTGAAAGATCACAATGAATTCCAAGCAAGTGAAACCCATCGTGTAGATTGCAGTGGCTGATCTCACTTGCCACCCAATGAGGGGAAGTGCCCAGGATCTTCAATTGAGGGGGCTGGCACATCGCTAGCTGTGTTGCCTCCGAATCCACCTCTGGGACCGCGACCACGGCCTCGACCACGCCCGGGGCCATAGTACCTCTCCCCTTCAGCTGGCTTCAGGAACTCATTGATGCTGACAGACTACATCAAAACAACATTCATACAGAATTTTAGTAAGGGAAGAACATAATGTGACATCTACATCATCAGCACCGATACCAATGATAAGGTGGAAAACTTAACACAAAGATGCATTTCCCATTCATCATGTAATGAAAAATTTTGGAAATTGACATTATTATGCAATAACATGACAGTAAGAAGCATTTACGACGAGTTGAAAATATGTGATGACAAACAAAAGCTTTACATTTGGAACTTAAAAATGTTTTGTGTAATGTATAGGATAAGGCATTTTCTTCTGAGTTGTCGCTCCCCAAAAAAAAACCAACTTACTGAAGTTAATTTGCATATAAGCCAAAATTAGCTTGAACACAACTATTGATCCTCAAATGGTTTTGCAGATTCATTTGCATTGTTGCTGAGCAGCCATTATGCTGTCACACCAAAAGGGGAACTAAGCATGGTCTCTATCAGTTATCATTAATGGCCAAATTAGTTTAACCTAACAACATTCGAAAGGAATATGAAAACACAAGTCAAACAGCCAACGATGGTGAAAGAACTAAACTCCATACACAAATGAACCTGAGATTCATTTAGAAGAGGAACAAGTATATTCAAATTAATACAAAGTCCAAAGATGCATCCATACTTTGTTAAGACAAAAGAAATCACAATGAGTCAAACTAGCAATGAATCTTGATTCCATTGCAAAGCATATGCATACAGAACTACCAAATAAGAAAGTTAGAAAAGTATGATTGCATCCATGAAAAAAATGTCAAATGCAAGACCCAGATCCATCCAAAAGAAGCACTTAATCAACAATAACATGTGAGAAAAACATGCAAACCTTTTTGACTTTTTCTTCTTTATCAGCATCTTTGCGTTTGTCCTTTTCAGAACCCTAACAATCAAAAGCTAAGTCAATATACCAGCATAAAATTAAATAGATGAAACCACATACAACAACAGAAGAAAGTTAAGAAACCTTACCAGTTTGATAAATATGTCATCATTGCTCTTCTTATTTGAAAGTTGTTGCATGGACTCGAACTCTTTGACATCAACTTTCCTTTCTTCAGTCTTGAGAGCAAGCAAAGCTTTCCTTTTCTCCTCAAGAATCTTCTCGTATTCTTCCAAAGTCATCTCCTAATAAAGGAGGAAAAAGTCCACATTCAAAATTAGAACATTAACATCAAGCAAGACTTATTAAAACAGGCAATTTCAAATTAAGTTGATTATTTGATCATTCTAAAGTTGATTACACTAACCAAAGAGTAAGCATGGCCAATCCCACCGTTCATATAAATTATTGTAGATGAAATTTACCCAATATTTCAGAAACTTAATTCATCTAACAAATTTTGCCTAGTTATAATTAAAGTTTGAGTGTTTGACCACTGATGCTATGCAGTTTGAAACTATTAGAACTGTTAACGAACGTGATGTTACTAGACACATTGCCCAATATAGGAAAAAGTTCTAATAGACAACTAATACAAATCAAGGAAGTTATCACAACATATTCTATTTACCTACTCCCTGATCAATAATTAAAGGAGTTACAATATTGGCAAATCAGCAAAAATAGTTTTGTTTCCCCCTATCCACATCTCTAGGAAACCAAGACCCTAAGTGTGATCAAAGAACTACCTTATTTTCAGGCTCCTTCTCCTCAGGTTCATTTGCTGCGTTTTCCTTGTTAGCATCCACAGCATCTTCCTCTCCAGACTGTTTCCCAGAGCTCACATTCTTTTCATTCTCAGGAACATTTTCTTCAGTCTCTCTTATTTTGGCCCAAATAGCAGACATATAAACAGATGAGCTTGCATCACACAAAAATATATATATGTATAAAGCACATCACATAAGGAACTTAGTTGTGTCTGCTGCTTAAGAGCTTGGCAAACAGATACTTACGGAGCAGCTTCATCAGTAGGACTACCCCAATTACCACGTCCGGCACCATCACGTTTGAACTCATTCCTGGTTATGCATAACAATGGAAACAATGATGTCATAAATGGTTAAAGGAAACAGAAATCAATAGTGATATTATAGATGACAAACCACACAACAGAAAATGGAAATTCAATAAAGCAAAATACTAACCCATGTCCAGTCCCACTATGGCGATCATACTGCCTGCGAGGGCGTTCCCCTTCTCCAGATTCTCCATCATTAAAACCACCACGGCGACCCCCATGAAAAGATCCTCGAGGCCCACCATAGCCACGCCTTTCAGCTTGCTTCCCTCCTTCTCCCTCTTCAGTGGTTCTGTACCTTCCCGAAAATCCATCGGAGTTATCACTAGCATTGGAATCACGATTGAACCCACTCCCACCACGTCCGCGCCCACGTCCACGTCCAATACCACGGCCCCCTCCCCGTCCAGGCTCATTCTTTGCCTCTCTCACTACATAACAAGGCAAACATGGAAAAAAAATGCAAGATAAACGAGTAAGCACATACCAAACTTCAATAATTAAAAGTGACTGTCAATAAAACAACAAAAATGTAAACAAAATCCAAGGCAAAGTTCAACAATAAAAGCGAGAATATTACATGACCATATCATCCATAAGAATCATAAAAGTGAAGTCCAAAATAAAGTTCGAACATCACTTATATCGCAAGACAGATAGAATCAATAAAGTTCACCAATTTCTTATGTTTTACCTCAATTTCAATAATACCAGGAAATAAAAATTACAAAAACCCACTTATCCATATCAAAACACATACAACTTCAAAGCAATAGGCTTGACCAAAAGGAATGATCTAATGACAGATAAAACTAATAAATTTCAAGAAAATTTTCTTCTTTTACCTGATTTCCAACAAAATAATAAGACTTAACAAAAGATCAATTTTAATGGCACACAAGATTAATAAATTTCACAAATTTCTTTTATTTTACTTCATTTCCAATCCAATAAACAACTATACACCAATCGAACAACCAATTCCGAAAAAGATACTCCACCAAACTACTTAAACAATACATGAAATAAAAAAACCCACAAATCTTTTGATTTTTTTTGGTATGTTTATTCAAAACAAAATAGAGAATCAACTAACCGATTAGAAAAACAATAAACAAAAGTTACCAGCTTGAGCAGGAGGAGGTGGCTTGGTGGGGAGCTTAGCAGCCTTAGCCGGCTGAGCTTGAGCTGGAACCGAAGCAGGAGCTTTCTTAGGCTTTTCAAGCTTCTGCTTCTCAGCAGCAGCAATAAGCAAACTTGGGTCTTCAGTGTCATCATCCAAGAGATCGAAAGGGTTCTTGGTTGCCATTTGTTAACCCAAAGAAGAAATAATATCAAAAACTTTAGCTTTTCTTTTTTAAAAATAACAAGAGAACCCTAGTGTATAGTTAACGCCATTGCGGTGAATATAACTGAAAAATAATAAGATCTAAAATTTATGTTCGTAAGGCATTAAAACGGGAAGAAAAAAAAAAAGAGAGAGAAATGCAGAAGGACAGAGAAAACCCTAGCCAATGCGGCCGAGAGAAGAGAGTGAGGCTAAACCTAATCTTAAAAACCCTATCGATTTTGTTAATGTGCGGTCGGGTTCATTTTAAAACTTTTGCATTTTATTTGTTTTAAAAGAGATTGACAAATAGTTTATTAAATGAAAACAAAATTTGAATCTTAAAAATTGAAAAAAAAAAATCTTCTGAACGAAAAATGGATTTCTTAATAAATGAGAATTTGACAAAAGGAATAATGATAATTCTATCAAAGTTATTTGATCACTAGTGATCTTAAATTATTATGTTTTACACAATGTTATACATCATTCATAATTTTAAATTATTATATTTGATATTACATCAAAAAAATTATAAATTATAAAAAGTCAAAATAATTTTTAAAAAATAATTGAATATTTAATTTTTTAAAAAATTAATATTTATTAAATGAATTTAAAATATTTATTAAATGAATTCAATAAATTTAATGAAGATAATTTTTAAATTTTATTAAATAAATTCAATAAATTTATATGAAAAATAAAATTTAATAAATATTTTTCTACAAATTAATAAAATCTTGACCATATTACTGAACAAATGAATTCATGGTATAATTTCAATATTATAAAAAACTCATAATATTTTGATAATTTTAATCGTATATATTGAAAATATAAATGATACGATAAAGGTAATGATTAATTTTTTCATGATGAAAGTTTATTTATATAGACAATTTGGATGGGATTGTGATTTTATTCATGTTTTTTTTTTTTGGGTAAATTAATTATAAAATAATATTAAAATTTATTTTTTATATTAATAGTTTTTTTTATGTTTTTAGAGGAAAAAAATCATTCTTCAAGGTAAAAACAATGATCTAATTATTCCAACAATTTAACGTCATTCTCACATAAATTTCTTAAATTGATACAAATAAAATAATATAATTAATAAATGCAAATCATTATTGATTTTTAAATTAATCACCTCTTCTCAAATGCTTCCTAATCTTATCATTCTCTAATTCACGGTATCAACAAATATAAAAAAAAATCTCAAATCTTAATAACTAAATTAATTATTTAAAAAATGCTAAAACTATTTACGGATGCTAAACATAATTCTATATATATTTTTATTTAAATTGTTAAATCCGATAAAAACAATAGTTTGATAGTAAAATAGAAAAAGCTAAAAATCCAACAAACCCATAATATATGGGTTTGAGGAGTTATTTCAATGGGCTTGCTGGGCCCGGAGACCCGATGGCCCGGAGAAAACACTAATTCATGCATTTTCGTTCAATTTGATGGAAATCGTGCATTTTTATTTTGCGGTAAAATTTCTTGGTTTTCGCATGGACCGATGGACAGGTTCTTTGATTATCAGGATGTTTTTGAAACAGATGATGTTATCGTCATCAACAAATTTTTTTAAGAGAAATAAAAAAACAGCATAAAACAGATTGGGAGATCTTTCTTTTTTATTGTTAAAGTCGTTCTTGATTCTTGTTCGGATAATCGAGCAAACAGAAGACAGGTAATCACGGACGTGGGATTTTTATTTTTTTTTTTGGTTCTTTGAAACAAACTCCATCATGTTTGGGTTCAGCCCATGTTCAAAACAACTCGGTCAGTCGATAACAGAAATCTAACATTGTCTATGGATTTGTCTTTGTCAGTTTTCATCAAATTTGAAAATTTAAATATTCTTATAACATAAAATATTAATAATTTATATATTAATATTATATTTTTATATAAAAATTAAATATTATAGTTCATATTAGTTAAAAAATTATAAAATATATATTTTTGTTTCTGTTAAATTCATTATAACTTTTATTAAAATTTTAAATTATTTTTATATTATATTATTATATCGTAAGATTTAAATTCCGACGTTGAACGTGTTGAGTCAATAAGTCTTTTCAACGTTATGTCAGAAATTTGAGCTCATCAAAGGAATTAAGCACTTTGAAAAAATATTATTAATGCGTAACTTCATTTTCTAATTAATTAGTTTGACCACACAACCATATTTATTTATTTATTTATTTATTACTCATTCCAACAGTTCTAATAGAAAAAAAAATTTTTTTCCTCACCTTTCAACGTTTTAATTAAAATTGGAGAAAACCTTTGACTGATCTTGATAGGCAAATTTTGAAAAAATATATTACTAGTTCTATTTTATTAGTATTATCTATATTTTTGTAAGAAAAAAAATTTACCAAAACAAGTCATATATGCTTCGCATTTAGTCCAATCACATTCCGTTTTGAATACTTCTTATAACCTTGGCATAAACCCATACTCGTTGTAGCCTTGCTACGTCGACATTATTTTTTTTTAGGGATGTTAATTTTTTTATTTAATAAAAATTTTAAGTTTTTTATTTGAATAAATATGAAAATGGATATGATATTATAAATATGATAATGATAATAAATATTATATTATTGATATAGAGACAAAAATATATATGATTTTAAATTTTATTAAATACAAAGATAGGGACTGAGACAAACAATGTAACATCTGTTCTATATTCATATTTTATATATATTTAAATATATTTAGTAAATAATTTTTTATTAAATAATATAAATTATTATTTTAGATTAATTAAAATTAATATATTTTTATTGAAAAATATATATTAATATATATTTATAAAAAATTACTTAAATATATAAGATAAAAATAAAAAAAAAGTTAACAAAAAAATTTTTATTTTTATTTTTTTAAACTATGAATATGGAGATTATACATACTCATTAAATACCTATAAAGATGAAAATGAAAATATATTTAAAATATCATTAGGTATAGATAATAAAATAAATATAATATAAAAATTAAAAAATTAGATTAAAATTTTTTTTACCTACTTCATATCCTACCCATTAACATTCTTATTTTCTCCCACTCCTATATCGTTTCTCTCCCCTAATACTTGAAACTTTAAAATTTACTTATTCAACAAACTTGGCCATCATTAGGATGTGCGGTGGGAGGAGTTTAACTCATTGCACCGTACATATTATTTTATTAATTGTATTCTTAAAATTCAATCATAAAATGTAATTATAACGGGGTGAAAATCCACTTTATTGTGCAACAAAAAAATATTTAATTTAAAATCCCATATTTCTTTCAGATAAACAAATCAACTTCTAATAGTCTACATAGCTAGAATTAGATTTTATCATCATAATCAGATTCCATACATTAAAAAAAAATCACAATTTAGAATAACTTTATAATCAAATCTAAATAAAGAGAGAAAGCCTTACCATGTTTTAAAGAAAAATCACAATTACACTAATATGAAAAAAAGGGTAGGTATTAAAAATACTTCTCAGCATTACCATGTTTTAAAGAAAAATAAAAGACAAGAAGTTTTCTCTGATTGACCTTAGAATAATTTGGATGAACAAGGTTATAATTTCCCCAACCTTCTTTGCAATAATCACGACAAGAACTAAAGTACAACAAATTGCAAACTTTTTTTATTTGGGTACAGAGCAAATTGCTATATTATATGCTTTGCCGGTAAAATCGCTTGGAAGAAGCTCTTCAATTTTTTTTTAAGCACAAAATAAATAAGAAAGGAAATTAATTATAAAATTCTACAATGCAAACTTAAAAAATAAGTAGCAGGTAGCTTATGTTAAACTTAAAGAGGTTGAGTATTAACTTCATATTTTGACATTTTAACAATCATATTAACGTAAGAAAGGATTGTGTAGCTAATGGCTCCACCATTTTGCGGGACATGTGAGGGAGGATTCTACTGATACTCGAACCAACTGAGACCAAGTTATATAAAGAAAACATCTCCATCTGATTCTCATCAGCTGTAATTGTTAGAGACAGGAATGTATTTCTTAGGTTAAACATTTCATTTTCATAAATGATCAGCATTTACTTAATTATATATATTAGTAAGCAAATGTTTTTGGCTTAAAATTAAGAATGTAAAATTTTCTTTTTGTCAAGGGAATTCCGTATGCAGGACAGGACATTTTGATACCCTTGGGATTGCTGTGAACTTTGATACTGAAAAAGAAATAAAAAGCAGAAACACCTTCTTTGAAGTATATGTGCAAGCTTTTTTTTATCTTTTGCTATTAAAATGTGCTTAGCATATTATCCAGATGGACTAGGCAAACAACTAGGCATAGGAATGCTTAACCTATCCCTTTCAAGGTTCAAACTCAAGGCCTTGTGAGTATACAATTGTTTCACATTTGATCTTTGATCATGAAGCAACCTCACTAAACTTCTCTTGGCATTTGACCTAAATGGGCAATTTGATGACAGGAACCCATCCACCAAGTGTAGGTAAGCCTCCAAATCATGACAACATGCCACATCAGCATTCGGCTTTAGATAGGGTGACATCTTAGTGTCGAGCCGTAATTCTGTTCCAACATGAGTGTATGCCAAAGGATTATTATCGTCAAGCATTTTGAACACTCCTGCAAAACTTTTACTTCTTTGTTCTTCTTGTTGATCTTGTTTTTGTTCCGATCCTTCGCCAATGAATACACCCGGAACCCTAGTGATCAAATCTTGATTATTCACAATTCTTAACACTTTAACATTTTTCTCATTAAGTCGCTCGACAAAGCCTTTATTACCAACTCGAGGTCCTCCGAAAGAAAATACTGCGACTGGTGGCACATGAGGTACACGTGAACTTATTTCATCGGCAACTAAAAGAGATAGTGCCGCCCCAAGGCTATGCCCCGTGATTGTAATGCTAAGGGTCTCACCTTTATACATCTCTGTCAACCTTTGCACTTCTTGGACCACTGATTCAGCCAAACTAGGCACGTGTGCACCTGGTGTTTTGAGCAAGCTCAAGAATCCACATTCAACCTTTTGGGTTGGCTCATCTGATTCAGGAATGTTAACCAGTTGGGCTCTGAAATTTTCAGCCCATTCCAGGCATGTAGCGGTTCCCCGTAAAGCAATAACAATATCCCTCCTTCCCATGCGATGAATCTCCCTCCTATCTTCACAAACCGCTACGAACCCGATCCAACTAGACCTTTGCGTCATCCACCCAAGATTGGGAGCCACGTCGTCTACCCATCTCGGTAACCCGACAGACGAGGTGGCGTAAAGACTCTTGGTCACCTTGTAAGACCTATCAGGCAACGCCACGTGCCTTGGTAAGGGAGCCTTGTTGGTTGACATGGACGGGTTGGAATGAAAACCATGGTAAGCTGCTTGAACAAATTCCCCGTATCTAACCACTTCTCGCCTCAGATTTTCATCGAGCGGGTCAAGCAAACCTGACCAATCATCGCAACCATGGTACTCTCTCCAACGAGAACCAAGGTTGTTCCTTGGAGAATATTCAATTGTTTTTGATAAAAGCCTCTGAAGCCCATTTAAATGACGTGGAGACATCTCTTCAGCGGCTTTCATTTCGGGCCAAATCCTGGAAAGATTAAGCCCTTCGAGTAAACCCCTACCTTTGGTTTCGATTGATCCATTACTGGGAGCTTTGACAACTTGTTCCGGGTCGTCTAGGTTTGTCTTCTGGAGGAGCTTTTCGAGGTTGGAAAGGTGTTGCCGAGCCAACTCAGTCGATGATGCTGATGAAACAGGCTTTTGAGAAGATGGCTGGGGTTTCGCTAAAGGGTTTAGAGGTGATTTCTGGCACTTGAAGCTTGCTCGCCTGGTTTGGACGACTTGCAAGTTATGAGCCGGAAGAGTCGAGCTGATGCCGATCTGCATAGAGAGACAGACCAGGAAAAAAGAGAGAGGAGAGAGCAAAGAAAAAGTCAATGAAGAGGAAATATGCTGAAAAGAGAGATCTGAATTGAACAGCAAAGTAAAGAAAAAGTAGGTTTGAAAAGATCAGTTGTAGTATTTATAGACGTACATTTCCAATGAAAACCTACACGTTACATCATAATTACATAAAGAACCTTATTGTCGTACAATGGCAATACTGAAAATATGAGATGTTTTTTGGTTTGTGTTACATGGAAAAGATGGAGAAAGTTTGACCATTTCTGTTAACCCTTGAGCCCTACTGGCTTCAAGAAAAGTCTGCAATCAATGAGAAAGGGAGACAACTTTTTTTTTAAGTTGAATTGACCGAAAGGACCCTTGGATTTGGCCTTCTCTCTATCCTTTGGTTTGGCTTGGTTGTTACGGGTTGACTGTCGGGGGTAAACCAAACCGTGTACGGTTTACAAGTCAATAGAATCATGAAATGTGAACAAGTTTTTTTAATTTTTATTAGTTAAATACCTAGATACAATAAATTCATTTTTATACGTTGAAGGATGGAATTGAAACTTGATTAAATGAATCATTTGAATTAATTTTTGACTTTTGAAATGATTCTATTATTATTTGTAAAAGTTTTGATGTAGTTTATGTTATAGAGATTAATGAATTTTTTTTTAATTCAACAAAAAATGGTTTTTCTTTTTTTTTTTCTCCTGACAAACTGGAATAAACTATTGCCCCTACAATTCCATACTGATGGATTGCCAATTCCAATGTCCTTGCATGAATGCTTGATATATTTGAAATTGAAACATTCTGGTCTCTTGTTTTTACTTTTGAATTTGTCTTAGATAATTTCAAACCCTACTTACCATTTCTCATTCTTTTTCAAACGTTAAAGAGGTTAGGCTATTTGCCAAACAGATTAACGATCAACGTACCCAGGTGTATGCAGTAAATGGTTAAATTTGGAATGAGCTTTCTTGTTGAAACTTGAATGCAAGAAAACAAATTCCGGTCAAGCAGTTCTCTTCAAGTTTCTGTCTTGCTTTTGGTTTTCAATTCCCAAATATGACTACGTTTTGGGTTAATCTCCTTGCATGCCAAAAAAGTTGTTCATGTACAACTCTTTCCTTTTTTGCCTTTCTTTTTTTCAAAGAAGGCAACAGTTTAAAAGTAAGAGAAAAATATTTAAAATTTAAATTTATTAAATGTTATTTTTTAAAAATAATTGTATAAATTAATTGAATTAAATTTTTAATTTTTTTCAGCTAAACTTTGACATATAATTAATGATCATACTGGTAATTTGATTAATTGGAAGTTAATTTCAGAAAATGATACACAAAATTAACGTAACCGTTTTTCTGTTATACATATCTGGTGTTTGATTGGTCAATATTGTGATAAAGACAAATCGTACGGGAGTATTATGGTTAGGCAATTTATGTCGGCTAATTCGGTCTGGCTTGGTAGATCATTTGAACTTTCAATGTATTGTGAAATGTTTAAAATTATGAAGGTTCATTCTCATTTCCGTTGTGATCACATGTTTAAAAGTCCTCAATTCTGAAACCGTGTTTCGTGCTCTGGTGAGTTTTTTGAAGATAATTTTTCATATTAAATATTTTTATAAAAATTAAGAAAAAAAAAAAACTACGTACAAAATTCAATATATATATTTGATGCAACAAGTTGATATTCCCAAAACATTAATTAAAACATGAGTTGTTTCCGAGAGCATATCACCTATATTTTTTATTATAATATTATAATTATTTAATTATAATAAAGAATTATATAAAAATTTATCATTTCTAAGTATGAGTTTTATATAAAATTTTGATAAATAATTTTAAATTGTAATTTAATTAGTGAAATGTTTCCGTTGTCTTTATATGATGCAATAGAAAATCAGCTAAAGATGCGAAAATAGAAGAGACAAAGGCGCCATTTAGAAATAAATTAATGAATATACAAATGTTATTTTTATTATTTTTTTTATATTTTACATTGAAATCGTGGGTAATTTTTTATTTCGATACAAAAAGGAGAGTGGGTGTAAGAAAACTAATACATAAGCTTGACTAATGATCGAACTTCACCAAACACATGTAAATTATGGATAAAATGCTAAAATTTTAATTCATAATCGTAATTTAATATTTGATAATATCAAATATAATAATAATTGGAGTCCAATCAATCACCGCTAATCCAGTGTCCGGAGGATCACTAGAAAAGTGAAGGTCCTGTTGCTGGTGCAAGATGTTGGTGGCCATTCAATCTGCACTAACACTTTAAAGTTGAAGGTTCAGAAATTTCTCAAATGCTCGACCATGATAAATGATTATCTTTTATTATATAAAATATAATAAAAAATTTATAAAATAACCTCTCTGTAGATGATTATGATAATATACTTTTGGATAATAACATTAAAAATATATTTTTTAAAATTTTTATGACAAAACCAATAGTTGAAGTCAATATCAAAAGATAACAAAATGGAGTATTGCAGTCAGAAAATCAATTTCTATTGCACATGATCATCGTTTTTTTCTATAGTATTATTTTATATTGTTTTATAGCATTTACTAAAGAATAACATTGGTTTTTTTTTTTTTTTTTTTGGGCATCATCTTCATCCTTGGCACTCAATTTAGGAATTTCATAGACAATATTAAAGGAACGTGGAAAATGAAGGGCGTGAGAATGAAGGGTTGAAACTAAATAAAGTCAGATCGATCGAGGGCAGATCATCATAATCAAAACAGCAAAGAATGATTTTTTTAAGAATTAATTATTATTTGGTGTCACTGCTTTATCACATGTTAGTTAGGGAGTTGAAACCTTTTTGGGGTTTTGTTCTTTTTTCAACCGTGTCATACATTTACAAATAAGAAATATTTGATTCTCCTATACATGAATCAAATGTCACACTAGATATTTTAAACCCATGTTGGAATTATGAATATAATCGAGTCGATATATTATGAAACTTTAATTTAATTTAATTAAAAAATTTAAAAATTAAAATTAAATTCAAGTTTGATCAAAATTTATTTTTTTATATTTCAATTTTATTTGATAATAAATAAATCAAATTGAATTCCTATTTCAAACTCATTTAAAAGGATTGGCCTCCTTTTCTCTTTCTCCACTTGCAACTTGGCAAACATATTAGGCACCGAGGAGGAGTGTTTATCTTTTCATCATTTGCCATGGTTGATATAAAAGCACTATAAAGGTGAATAGTCTAGTGCTTCCCATTATTCCTTTACATTTACTTATTTTCTCCACTAATGAGATTGAAAAAGCAGCACTAAAGAGTTGAAAAACTATACACACATTTTCCATTATGTATCCATCTGGTTTAAAGCGATTTCTCTTTCTAAATTGACATGTTAAAAACGAAATCTAACATCTAATTTTCCTTCTATTATATCTTTAGTTCTAATGTTTGTAATCATTGTAAAATTTGAATGCAAGTGTAGCATATATAATGAGATTTCAAGCCCTTAAACCCTGTTTTCTTCATAGTTTTTTTTTTTTTTTTTTTTTTTTTAAGACTAAAAGCTCAAGAGAATTGAAAAAGAAAAATTTGCGAATGTTTGGCGATATTTGAATTTAACTTTTAAAAGAAGTGAATGGATAATTTGAGATAAGTTTCAAATTCTTTTAATTTCTTTATTTAAACTCATTAACAAACAATTTTGCTTATCTCATGTATATTAGAGATAAATGCACATGTATATGTCACGCCATACTTCATAAGTCTTTTGTTTATCTCACACTCCATTTTTCCTACTTTAAATAATTGAAGCACGCATGTCGCGTGAAGCTCCTTATTTATGTTTTTCTTTGATTAATTATTCTCTTAATCAGCCAATACGTTTCCCTACACTTAACATTTTTTAATTAATTAATTAAAAAATTAATCCATTTTTATATTGTCTAAGGCATTTTAGTGTTTAAAAGGGCAAAATAATATTTTTTCTCCGAAGTATAAGTTATTTGACAAATGAAGATATTCAAATCATTTTGATCAAACTGGAATGTTAAATCGATTTGAAATATTGAAGTCCAACTTAGTTTGATCAATTCATTAGCCTATATATTAGAATATGAGAGTGTTGAGTTGTCATTTACCGGGTGAATCCTGAACTTTTAGTTTAATTCGAATTTACTAGATCAACCCTAATCTTCTTATACTGATCCGGGTCACTTAGACCCAAAATCCTCAATTACAAATGTATAAATAGCCCATCTAAATACTTCCAATCTTAAAGCATATATTCCATTTTATTTTCTTTTTCACTTTTTCACTCAACATTGGTTTAAGTGTTCAAGCACAAACGTCAACAAAACTCTTAACCTTTATCATCGACTGATCTCTCTTCTTTATGTTTTCAGGATTTTACTCATTTTAGACAGTTCGACACAAACAGATATCTTTGATTCTAATAATAAATCTGTTTAAAGTTGATGATGAGAAAAGGCCGAAGGGGGGCCAAAAACCTATATATCATTTTCAACAGAGACCAGGTCGCTGACCAGCGCGAACAAGGAGACAGATACTGAGGCGGCGTCCTCTAAAAATAAGATTTCAGAAATAGTTAAACGCAGACGAAGTAAAATTAACTCAAACAATTCAGAAAATGACTGCATTTGGATTAAGATATTAGCGAAAATGAGTAATATTGTAAGCATACATGACCCACAGGAGAAGCAGCAGGCGAACTTTCTGTATTAACTAAACTTAAATTGTTTGATATAACAAATACATGAATCAGTAGGTATTAGAAAAACTTAACCAATGTTTTGCATGTCCTTAAGTAAAAAAAAAAAAAAAAATCCTTTGGTTATGACTCTTGGTAGGTATTTTGTATTAAATAGTTAGGTTTCTGAAAGTGAAGGGTGTGCTTTAGAAATATGAGCCGACTTTGTTGAATTTTTTGCCCAAATATTCATGCACATCCAAATAATTAAGTTATTTGCTATAAAAATGAAGGATTTTTTTATGATTCAGTCAAAAAAATAATTAAGTAGAGAAGAAAGGTTTTGGTCAACTATAATGAAAGAAATAATTCCAACTGTTCTTGTGCAGACAATGGTGTTTGAGCAGAATAAGTAAACGAAAAGAAAAGAAAATAATAATAAAAAAATGTATTGCTAGTGACGAGGAAACAAAAGGGTTTAAAATATTTGTTCCCAACAGATTACAGACAGCTAGCTGCAGCATTTTGACGAATTGCGAACCGATCCCGTAGAACAACAAGACCATATGTAATGTGTACACATGACTTTGAATAAATCAGCAAAAGCTGGCTCCTAACTTTCATTTTTTTTTTTTTTTGGTGTGGTTTTTGCTAGTTTTTGGTCCTTTGTACCTTAAAAAATGCAATCTTATGAAAAAAGCGTATGAAACCTTTGAAATAGATTAGATTTTAAACCTAAAATCAAATAAAAAAAAAGTTCCGTGGTGATGGAAATTTATTGATTATATTAATAATCATGTGATTTATTGATAAATATTAAAATTTTAATTTTAATAATTAAAATTTGATTTTAACAGTTACAAATATGAAAAAATTCATTAACTATTGATTTTTGGACTACACAAATGAGAAATATAATTATATATATTTAAATTTCATCTTTGATTAAAAAGGCGAAGAAAGACCATAATAAGTAAGAAACCATTTATAAAATTAAAATTTTATTTATTTATTTGTGCATTTCACCATGCATGGCATATCTAGTGAAAGTGTTTATGGGCTTTGGGCCTAGTAATTTAAATTGGTCTCAAGTTTGATTCCAGAGCCCAACTCTATCCAAAGCGAGAACTCGGCACCGTTTTCAAGCCCAATTTATCAAATGCAATAAAGCATGGAAATCGACAAGGAAAAGACAAAGGGGAAAAAAAAAAGAGTTGGTAAATTTCTCGTTAAAGTTAACAAACTGATTTCCTTTGATTTTTCCTTCCTCCCGCTCGCGGCTCGGCTACGGTTCAGAAACCGCCAATTCCAAGTTTTCCGATCAATTTCCCGATCTGTCGAGACATTCAACTTATCCTGGTAATTTTAGTTTTATCGTCATGGAATATGTATAGCCTTTCATCTATTCTTTTGACCCGTTCAAGAAATTTTGACTATTGTTTACGTTCAAATTTTGACATCAACATTATTAATGTTTTACTTCCAACGTTCTCTAGGGTTTGATGGCGGTTTAATTTATGTGTTCTTCTATCGTGAAGTTGGGTTACAAATTACTCTTCTAGGATTTCTTTATAAATTCAAGTTTAATTTCAGGAATAAGCCTTTGTGAGATGCGTGTGGAATTAGGGTTTCTGTTATTGGCTTTTAACTTTGTAGAATCTTAATGTTGTCCTTGTCGTGGAATTCATGAATGGTTTGATTGACTAAGATATGCTCATATGCAAGATCTCGGGTTTGTTTGTTTTTATCTATATAAAAAATGGGGATATGATTTTGTTGTTAACTTGCTGCGAATTGTCAACTTTATTATAGAACGAGGAGCTGATATAGACTCTCATTGTAATCCCTAGGAATAAATGTTTTTAGTGCTTGAGGCATGCTAAAGAAATGCTGACATCTCCATTGGGGTAAACCAGCCATGTTAATGAAGGCTTTGTATTAACATCCTTGTCAAATTTGGCGTGGTCTATATTCATCTTTATTATTCTCGTTTGGGATATTTAAATTGAATGTTAATGTTTTGGCTTGTTTGGCTGTTTGACTGATTAAGGTCATAATCTCCATAGATGTTTTGAAAGATTGAGTTGATATCTATCACTGCTCTGCCTTGTGTGGGATGAAAATTATAGTTTGGGTGCATGTTTTTTCTTTCTTTCTTATTGTTGTGATGTAGATTGCAGAATCTTGGGTTGAGGCTGTCATTATTTGGACTGAAGGTCATGTGCCGTCAAAATTCATGCTTACATTTGTCTGCTGAGGAGTCAGATACATCTGTAGAGAATCTCTTACTATATTGCAAGCCTGTTGAGTTGTACAATATTCTTCATCGCCGTGCTTTACACAATGTAATACCTTGCTTTTCTTGCTGAACATGTATCTCTTTCTTTGATCTGTTTTAGACTGGGAAGTCTTCTTTAGATGAGCGTTTCCCATGTCAAACACAACTTACTATTTATGCTATTTGGAAATTCTTGCTCAGATGTTCATTTTTTAGGTCAAATAGATCCTGTAGTTAATCTTTCTGCAATAATCCACATACCTGCATAACCTTAATTTGGTGATTTGAAGAGGTACAATGCCTCATAGCATGGGTGTGGACTGTTTTAGGCCTGATGGGAAAACATTCTCTGTATCAGTCTACTTTCTAATCAAATCTCATTTCTGCCTCAGCCTTCATTTCTTCGAAGATGTCTGAAATACAAAATACAGGCAAGGCGTCGAAGGAGGTATGAACTTCCCTTTTTATATGCGTGCTTAGCTCTCGGAAGTAACACTATGAATTTTATTATACATTGCTCTCATATGTAACACTATGAATTTTATTAATCTTATTTCCCTGAACTATGGTATTAGCATATTAATTTTGTCAGTAACCATCTGCTTCAATTTGCTCTTTATAGAAAACTTTTAAGTTTATATATATGTAATAATCACAGTACCTGAAAATCCCTCAGAAGAACAGCAAGAAATGATTCTCTAGTACTTTGAGGAGAAAGTAAGGATTGTTAATAGGAATTATCTGTTTCTCCTCTCCTCTTTCATGCTTCTGAAAAAATGAAAAGTAGCAATATTCTTTGATGGTTATTTGGTATTTGAATTAAAGTGCCTTATTTGCAATTAAAGTTGTTCAGTTAAAGGGGACACTGAATCTTTGTGGTTTAGGTGAGCTTCTAGATTAGAGTTGGTTCCAAGTTGTAGCATGATGAGTTTGATATAGGGAGTTGGGGAGATTTAGTACTAGAAGAATTGTCTTTAAGACAGATGTCCTGAGACAGTTTCAAAATCCTAGAACTCTACAGATTTTTAATCATGGCCCCGGATTTTTTGAAGCCATACATATTACCAGCAGTGGGAATAAAGACAAGACATTATTATTACAAAATACTAACTAAAGTGGAAAGTGATTGCTCTAGTGCTGGTGTATTGCTCCATTGATTTTCTACTTTATGTTTACAGCTACTAACCTTTTTTCTAGCAAAGAGGAAAGAAAATTTATGGATTTCTAACAATTATGTGGTTTATTTATTGCTTATTATGTTGTTAACATACCTAGGATCTGTTTGTGTAGGTTGAGGGCTGGAATTGTAATTTTCAACTATAAGGATTATGGCAATATGCTGCAAAAGACTGAAGGTATCATGGATTTCTCTATTTTGATTGAATTTTGCATTATACATCTTATTTACTTAACCTTTAAAAGCTAAAATTGATTCTCTGAGCTCTAATTCCTATGTTCTCTTTTAATCTTTTTAACTTGCAGTAACTGAAGATTTCTCTTGTCCATTTTGCTTGATGCAATGTGCAAGTTTTAAGGTAGATGGTCATCTGTTGTCTCTGCTTATCTTGGGTGCTTCATTCATTATTTTGATGGGCTAAGTCACATTATATCAAATTTCAATTTATCTAAGAGAAAACAACCGAAGGGGGTGTTAATTTAAATTTCCTTGCACATGATAAAATAAACTCATTGTCACATAAATTAACATGCTTTTCATCTTGTACGAATCTTTTTCCAAGATATTGCAATTTGTTGGATTCAGGCATTGTTCTGATTCTTTTGCATTAGAGACTTACTTTCCCTAGTTGAGGTATTCTCCTGATGGTTTCACCTTTTGTTTTTGGTAGACATAGATAACTAGTTCTATTTTATGGAACAAAAAGCTTGTTTGACACTCGGCCATCCTACATTTTCATTGACAGGGTCTGCGTTATCACTTGTGCTCATCCCATGACTTATTCAACTTTGACTTCTGGGTTGGTAGCTGAAATTGTAAAGTCACTTGCCATTCAATTGAGATTTTCCAGACCATTTAAAAGACATTTATGTTGTAGGTAACGGAGGAGTATCAAGCTGTGAATGTCTCAGTGAAAATTGATTCATTAATATCTGAGGTAAAAATATCTCTTCCCATCCTAAATATATTTTAGTATGTTTCCTATCTTCTGTGTTCCTTCAAGATTCATGTGGAAGCTTAGAATAGAATGCAATAAACAACCTGCTCCATTCAAAGATGGTAGGAAATATTGTAATGTTAGACATCATGGCACGAGCACAAGTGATGGCTGTTGGTTTGGGGTGGAATGTTGTTCATAATTAACACGGTTGAAAAATGAAATAAAGTGTGTATCATCATTACATTTTGTGCCTTTTTTAAGTTAAAGAAACGAATTTGTGACTAAGCTTGTAGGTTTTTCTATCAAAAAGCGTGAATGACTTCTTCTCGAACATTAATATCCTGCCAAAATATTCTTGTTACAGACTGTGGCAAGTGGAGTAGACCCTCGAGTAGAAACTTTCAGCTTCTGGTAGGATATCTTTATTTGGGTACATCTTGTTGCTTTCAACTGCTATCAAATTGACATGCTGTTAATAAATACTGACGGTTGAATGGTAAAATGAATTGCATGTGCAGCTCAAAACCTCAAAGACGTAGGCCTACAAACCCTCTTCAGAGTGAGAAGAATGTCAATGTACAATTTTTGGAGTTGGACTCGCCCAAAACGGCCTGTAAAAGCGGGCAAAATGGATTTCTGGAGAATCATGATGGTAAATTTTCCTGTAATGCATGTCATAACATTTTATCTACCTTTACGCATAATGCCTCAGTCTTAGATAGTCTCTTATATCATGTGAATGCTTTACGTCTTGAACTCATTTTGTAACTTATAGGTAAATAATACTAGAAGAATGACTCAATATTTACCTTCTTTAATATGCCTTTTGAACTCTGTGAAGGTGAGAGGGCTTCCAAGTCAATTCCTATTGGGAAAGATCTGCAGAATGGATGGCATGGTGTGGAAAACTATGTGTCTGATTATACTAGTACAACAGAGTGTCTTGCACAGGTTGCAACTAGTTGCGATGGTCCAGGAGTTTCAATTGCAATGGCTCATTCTCCTGTGGACCCTGACTGTATTAAATCATTATCTGGAAGTGATACAGTTGTTCCTCCTGCGAAAACAAGGAAAATAGTGGCAGAACGATCTGAACCTAGGAAGTATGTTCTCCAAGGCAATGATTTTCCCCATTTGTTTTGGCCTTTTCTTTTATATTCTCTCTCTCCTGTTTATCACATTGCTATACATGCTTTTCGCCCTTCTTTTTTTTTCTTAGGTTTTGTTTGCTAATAACAATTGTTATCTTTTCAAAATCTTCTAAGTTTAGGCATGCTAATATTTTTATTTTTTACTTCTAAAATGTTGTTCTCTCACAGCCGCATGCTCCTGCTGAAACGCCAATTCTTTCATTCACACCGAGTTCAGGTGATTAATTTTAGCTATCTACTTGGGTTAATTATGCTATTAGTCTTTTCATGAACATTCATGTCATGATATCTCCATTTAACACGGAGTCAGTTCCATCCATATGAATATGAATGGAAGTAATGCCAAGTCACTCGGCATGCAGTAGAATTGAGAAACAAATCTGCTTTAACTTTTGGTCTCATCTTGGGTTCAGATGTCATCAGATCTCCATTAAAACCAAACTATTCCCAGGAATGCTTGCAAAATGATACCAATTCATATTTCATTTGTTAATTTTCTGTTTTTATTTGATGTGACACTTTGGTCAGGGTGATTTTACTCTTTATGCTTGAATTTTGCGTGGAAAATCTTTGCTTGGGTTCTTGTGCTTCAAATTTTTTTTATTGCATGTTCAGATAGGCAAAGTATGATTAATAGGTTTCCACCTTGAGCTGTTTATCATTCTTATGATTTTTCTGTTTATAATTTGTTTCTCCTATGCACTGACATTTCTCTTAGTTCTAATTGAAGCCAATGGCAATCGACCAAGTAATGTCAGATAGAGACAGTGAAGACGAAGTTGATGATGACAGTGCTGATCTTGAAGATCGCAGGGTATAGTTTACAATTTTGCATCTAAAAAGTTTTATCTGGATTCTTGGTTAATGTCATTATAAATTCAACCATTTGAATCATGATAAGGAAGTAACTCCAAGTCAGTTTGCATGCAGTAAATTGAGAGGCAAATCCGCTCTAACTATTAATAGTTTCTTCACTAGGACATTTGAAAATGATTGTGAAAAATTGAATCAGTGGTCAATGGTGGAAGATTCATAATCCAGTAATTGAACTGACAAGAAGAACTGTGTTTTAGCATTCTGAGAGCCAACGTGTGGAATTAAAAATAAAAAAATGTATTTAAATCACTTGATTTTGGTTGGAGCCGGGGTAATTGGTGAACAAGCATTTACTATTTGGGTTTGTAAATCATCAGTTGTCAGAAGAAAGTAAGTCATTAAATAAATAGTGATCTGTTGGGGTTAGATAATCAATTCTCTTCATTTGTCTCAACTCGTAGTAGTTTGCTTAGTGTTTGCTTATATTATACGAGCATTTCTTTGTTCATCTCTGTAAATGTAAGTATAAAACAACAGTAACCAGAGTAATTATGAGAAGATGGGCTTGTTTATCTACTGTTGGCTTGATTGAGTTTCATCAGATTTTCTAGAAAGGTGAGAAATTTTGGTTTAGAATGGAGTGTGTTATGTTTGATTGGGCTTCAACTTAGTCATGCTAGGGTCCTGGCCCTTATTGCATCTTTGATAAGATGTTCTGATTATTCTACTTTTGAGAAGTGAGAGGCTAACATAAAACCAATATGTGACAGATGCTTGATGATTTTGTGGATGTTAGCAAAGATGAGAAGCAGCTTATGCATCTTTGGAACTCATTTGTTAGAAAGCAAAGGTGGTCTGTGCTTAACACTTCAAGCTTTCTTTCCTTTTCTTCTTGCCATTTGAATTCATGATTATCATTTACGTTTTTTCCCCTTTCACTATTCTAATTGTGGTATGTCAAGAAGTTATAAGAAGATTCTACTACTTGAGGCAGCACCAATTAATACTGGTTCCTTGTGGTCTTGTTTTGTGATAAAAACTCTCTTGCTTCATTTGACAGGGTTCTGGCTGATGGTCACGTTTCATGGGCTTGCGAGGCTTTCTCTAAACTCCATGGGGCAGACTTGGTCCAATCAGCTGCTCTCTTTTGGTAATGTTCTAGAAGAATTTTTGCCCATTTCTATATAAGTTAATATCTTTTGACTGCTGAAGTTGTATTTCTCCGGCCTACACCAATACCAATAGCATTGAGTAATGTACTTTGAGTTGACCATTCATTAACAGATAGAGGTGATAAAAAACTGTAAACAGTCCATTCCCAAACAGGATATAATTAACAGGTAATCGAAAGATTAACTAATTTATATAGGGTATGGATAGGAATCCGTTTTGAGCCCTTCTATAAACAATATATCATCCAAATCTCCTTCCAGAATACTGCAAGTTTAATAGTAGTAAAAGGTAGTAAGACTGTGTTTGGAATGTATTCTCTAATTTAAAATAATTGCAAATCGTTGTCATCTTTGATATCTATATTAGAAATGTCACACATTTTCCGGTTCAGGTGTTGGAGGTTGTTCATGATCAAACTTTGGAATCATGGTCTTCTTGATGCTTGCGCTATGAACAACTGTAGCATGATTCTTCAAAGATGCCAAAACGAGGGATTGGATGTTATGAAAAGCTGAAACATCATGTACGCAACTTCAGCATTAGGGTTTAGAGATAAAGATTGTGCCCCATTCATTCCTTTTCCATTTTTTCTATTACAATTTTCTTTTATTTGGCTGGAACCGGTTCTCGTATATTCTTTTTCAAGGTAGCTAAATGCTTCCTTCTCATTGTTGTAACAGCAAATACGATACTCATGCTGGCTCTAGCTTCAATCTTTTTAAGATAAAGAACTGTCGATTTCAGTTTCATTTTCTTGCTTTGATTATGTTGCCAGCCATATAGTTTTAGTGGCTGAAACTAATAATGATCAAATTAGAATTATAAAGACATACATTAAAGTTTCGACGCTTTAAATTGAGTAGATTTAAAATTAAATATATGTAATGTAAGTTTATGTTGTAATGTAATTAAGTTGAATAATGAGGCGGTATTAAAGAGTATTTATTTTTAATATATGAGATCAAGTAGACAAAGTGATATTAAAATAAAAAAAGATGTAAATTGTAAGATTTAAGCAGGACGATGGAAGTGATAAAATGTATCAAATATAATGGAAGTGACAAAGCGTATCAAATATATTATGTGATCGTAACATGTTTTTAAAATTAAAGGTAAATTTTTATAAAGTAAATAGTATGGTTTGCATTATTATATGAAATTAAGTGTTGGATTGTAAAGAAATAATATTAAAAGAAAATAAACATAGTTGAACGAGAATACTTAAATGGATATATAGGAAAATTAGAAGTGATAAAATCAGAAATTAAAATATTCAAAAAAAATTATGAGTAATTTGAATTGAGTAAAAAATAAGGGAGGCTGTTTGAAATGTTTTGGCTATGTAAAACGTATAATATATATGCACCAGTTAGGAGATACGAGTTTTTAGATTTAGGAGAAAATAAAATTTTTAGAGATAAATTACGAAAGATATGTATGTAAATAATGCATGCAAATAATAAAAAATAATATGAAAGTCAATGAAGTAAATGAATATGTTGCTATAAATAGTAATGAATGGTGTAAGAAGATTAAAAATTATAATTTAATATGATTCTTTTTTGATCTTTCATATAGTCAATCCCAGGGTTATAAGATATGAAACTTAGTTTGTTGTTATTGTTATTGATATTGTTGTATATGTTTGTTCCTTCTTCACTGTCTATGTTTACTAATCGCATGCTTATTCATTCTTTCTGTTAGCCTTTTTCCTTCCCTTGGCAGGTTTGATGGGGGTCATTTAAATTAGTAACTATTAATCTTTTTTTGATTTTTTTATTATTTTAAAGCACTGACTTAATTATTTCCATATATTAAGTTGGAATTATTTTTCAACTTTCAAGATTTTGTCTCTTCAGTCTGTCTCTTTCTTTGACACTTTCTTGCTTTAACTTGAATTTGTTTATAAGCCCTTTTATATAAAAAAATTTGACTAATCAAAAACAGACATGATTAAATTCGGATAAAGAGAGAAAAAAAAATAAAACAATTCGATTTATTCATAAAACATGACAGAAATCCACAAAGAAATAAAGGGGGAAAAGGCTACAATTTCAAACCAACAAAATCCTGTCTATGACATGACTGTGAAAGATTTTCAACCTTGATAAATTATTTTCCAAGTTGTCAACGAGCAAGATAATCCTCTTCCTCCTAGAAACTATGTTGAAACAAGCATTGTGGTTCTGATTTAGAAAATCCCATCGGTTGCTGAAGGACCAATGTTCAAGTCAGGAAGCATCGCCAAGTTTTTATGTAGTTTTACTACTGCACTGGGGAACATCACCGTATTGTACTGGCACAGCTCCTTCCTCAACCGCACCTCCTCGATGCGGGCGAAGAAATACTTCCTAATCCACATATCAACAAGTTGATCGACTGATGGAATCACCAGCTTCTCAACTTCTATATCACGAAGAGCCTGAATATCAAGTATATTATCAGCAGCATTTCAATTGATTAGCACATTAGACTCGAGCAGTGATGTGATGAAGTCGTTCAATTTAGTTAAATATCTATGCTTACAGATTCAACAAAATTTAACAGGATGCGAGCCATCCCTTGACGACTGTATTTCCCACAGGTTCCGATGAAGGGCATCTCAGCTAGCTTTTCTCCATGTACCCTGGAAACCGGCAGATAAATGAAATGGCATGTTAGAAGCACATGCACATGCTACTAGAATTAGACATATCTATATAGATTTCTTTGAATGAGAATCGAGAAAAACACCTTATTGATGCAACACAGATGATTTCGTCACTCTTTTCCAGGACAGCAGTGTAAAAGCCACTATAATTAATACGGGTCAAATCGGACCTGAAAATGAGAGAAATTATGTTGGTACTTGGTAGTCAGCAGTACTGTATTGCCATGGTTTGAGAACTTTTTTAAGGAGTTTCAGAAAGGTTTCGAATTTATTACCCTCGATTGTAGACAATACATTGTGTAATATTGGCTCTTGTATGGAGATCTATGGTTGACAAGAAACATTCGTTCATTATCAAGCACGCCAGAGCAATCTTGGAGTTGATTTGTACGTTGTTGTACTCGTAGGAACCAAATGGCTGCTCTGTCCGTTGGAGTAGAGTCCATGAAAGGCCATCTTGGAGATTATTTTTAACTCCAAGCATACCCTGTAACCCTTCATATATCTTTTGTAAACTTCAAGTCAATTGTTTTTTTCCAATATCATCACCTCTAAAAATGATGGCATAATTCCGACAAAAGCATGAGGGAAAATGGATAACTTTTTAATTGAGGATAAATACCTTTCTGCAACTGCTTCCACAGAACAATGAGGTAGGAGAATTCATCAGGTCCAAATTTTCTCCTCCACACTTGCTATGGTCTGTAAATTGGTTTCAAGTTATGAAGCAGAAATAGTTATAGACCAGTAGTGTGACTTAAACAATATTAAGTAATACATACTGTTTTTCACATTGAGCACATTTCTTTAAAAGGTTCATCCCACTGGCACAATATTTGCAGACACAATATGGACACAGCCAATCACCTTGAGGAATGTTCTTCAGCCCCAATTCCAAAAATATAGATGAATTAATTACAAACATTAAATGAAATGCAAAAGTATATAGAGAAAATTGTGATCATAATTATTACCTCCATGAAAATGCAATTGGGATGAAATGTTGAGTGGCATCTTTCACAGCAAATCAAATCCCCTCCATCGGCACAAATCATACAAGCATCATCATTTTTGTCATCAGTTGTTGCTTCAGGCTGTATGTTGTTGTATGTACGTTTTTCTTCTTCCTCCCTACAATCCAATGCTTCTATTTGGCAGCCAAACAAGGAAAGCCGTGACACTGCTAAAACTATATGCTTATAGGGCTTTCTTGTTTTAAACCCGGAATGAATTTCAAACTCTCCTACTGTAATCTGACAAGAACAACAGCTACATAAAATGCCCTCCCTACTGACTTTGCCTTCTCCCATTTTATTTCGAGACCCTGGCTGAATGTAGCAGACGATTTCATTTTCTTCAAGTATTCCTAAGTTTATCAACCAAGACAACACTGTTTTCTTGGTTATTGTTTCTTCAAGAAATTGTGAAAAATTCATTCTTTTCCTCCTCCCCCTTCTATGTCTGTCTATGATGCCCTGTCTATCTTCTTCCCCATTAGCCCTTGCCTTTGGGGGGCACCGCGGCCGATTTCTCTCCATGGTCCCAGTTGTATTCCTGCTAGAACTTGCACCCCAAGAATCTGCTATTTGGATACCAGCACTCCGCTGCATTGCTTCAGATGGTCTAACATTGTTACGGTTTGGTTTTGCTATTTGGATACCAGTATCCCGCTTCAATGCTTCCGATGGTCGAACATTGTTCTGGTTTGGATGTGCTATTTGGATACCAGCACTCCACCGCATTGCTTCGGATAGTCTAACATTGTTCTGGTTTGGATTAGGCCTAGGCGGTGGGCTCCCAAAGTCAGGGTCAGAATCAATGGTTTCATCATGGCTCTCATTATCCGAACCACTTGAGCCCAAATAAGTACCCCTGGTATTCATTAAGTTCCTGTCCCTCAAATTATAAGTCATGATCTTCCGAAACGTTCAAATTAACTTGTTTGATCTGTATCTGAAATGAAGAAAACTTGACTGAAAACAGCAACCATATATACGAGAACAAAAACCCGGTTAATTGCATGCAAATAATGTATCAAATTCAAGTTTGTCCCATATTATAATGCTTCATTTGTTTCCATTCCAAACTTATAGTTTTCTTAATCATATATATATGTTTTTTGATCCTATGTTTGGAGATTTCGAAACAAGGACAAGTACTTGAATTTTGTTATCTTCATTGATCATATTTAATAAGAAAAGAACTAGCAAAACCAATTTTTTTTTTACGTAAGTTTTCACGTTTTATTTCCAAAAGGAAAATTTACCAAATCCATCTAATTGATTGAACTGATGTAAAAGAATATTATTTCAGGTCATCATTTTTTTTTTTTGGTACAATTATGACATAAGTTTTTGATTTGGTAGTATTAAATCCATGCAGACAGGGGAAAGACAAACACCGATAAAACACGAACATTTAATGAATATATTAGAATTATATATATATATATATATTTATATATATATGAAGATGGATTAATTTACATCAATATAAACTTAAAAAGTTTGTTTTTTTAATCATCAATTTAAAAAAATCTAAGAGATGAAAGAGATAAATGAAAAAAAAATTATTTTAATTTCATCCTTTAGATATATTAAAATTAACGGTTAAAAAAACTATAGAACTTTTTAATGTAAGTTGGTTCTTATCCTAAATATATATATATATATATATATTTTATATATACATATAAGTAGGAATTCACTTGTACTAGTATAATCCTTATACTTTTTTTGAACCATTGAATCAAAATTATTTAATTTAAAAATATTATTTTGATTCAATTGAGTTATAGATTTAATTTTAATCTAAAAATTTAAAAAAGTATAAGAATTACATTAATGTAAGAGGAGGGATCCACTTACACTAATATAAAAGTTACACTTTTTTTTTGTACCTTTAAATCAAAATGATTAAATATAAGTCTTAAGAATTTAATTTTAATCTAAAAGTAAAAAAAAAAAATGTAACTCTTAAGCTAATACAAATAAATTCTTACTCATATATATATATATATATTTAATTTTAATCTAAAAGTTAAAACAAAATATAACTCTTACACTAACACAAATAAATTCTTACTCATATATATATATATATAATTTTGATCTAAAAGTACAAAAAGAAAATGTAACTCTTACACTAATACAAATAAATTCTTATTCATATATATATATATATATGTTGACGTTTTATTAGAGAGAGAACCAATGAAAAACACTCCATGCTCAAAATTAATGTAAAGAAGTTCAATATTAGAAATAGCAAAACATACAAAAAAAGAATATAGAACATAATAAGGATTAAGTAATTAATAACTGTTTTAAAGTATAATCAAACAAATATAAGCACTTTTTTCCTTTTAATTATTTTTTAGAGACTTGGAACACCAACCATTACTAGATCTATTCAATTTTGCTAATACACATTTAAAAACATTACTTATAAAGACCATAAACCCTTCAACATGGGAGTTAACATAAGTAATAATAAATTTTATTTTAATTGCAAAAGCAAAAGGTTGAGTATACCTTTTTTTTTTTTTTTTTGAAATGACTCCTTGCGATTTAGGTTTTAAAATGCACGCGATTCTCTTTTGATGTCGATGTTTGTTGATTAAGATCAATGATTTGTAACTTCTTTGAACACCTTAAAATACATCTGCAACTTCTTCGAACACTTTAATATACAATTGAAATTCATCAAAAACCAAAATAGTTCAAAGTGAATGTCAATTAAATTTGATAAAAACGATAAAATTGGTATATATTCAAATATTCCAAAGGTATTTACCTTAATGAGAAAAAATGATTTAAGATTTGAAAAATTATCACTTGTAAGCTAAAAATTTGTAGTCGCTCGGTTAGTGAAAGGCAACACAAGATAATAATATTACACTACATGCAATTATATATTGCAAAGTATTCCATTTTGTGAAATAACCAATGTCATAACATATAGATCTGTAAATCTATAGCTAGACTTAGCAAATAGAGTCGCTACCAATTTTTTTTTTTTTTAGGTGTGATTGGCCAACTAAAGAATCTATTCTCTTAAGGAACTTCTAAGCTTGACTAAGGGTTTTTAAAAGAATAGGTTCGGGTCTACAAACCAAAACATCATTCAAAAGTTCGATTACATATGAAAAAAGTTATAGCACCATCACATGTCCATCCATAGGATGGTAAGATTTTATTTTAAATTTATCCGAAGATCTTGACTCTAATGGTTTTAATTTTTATGTTAAAATATTAGAAATAATTCTTAAGACTCTCCACCAATTTGATAGAATTATTAAAAATATTTTCTCACCTCAAAAGTATTTAAGGATCCTATTTGTTTCCTTAAAGAGGCTCCATCATCGGAAAAAAGGTTTAATTATTTTTATTTTTTATTTTTTATTAAAAATATATCTAATTATTCCACAATTTAGGCCAAATTTAAAAAAATATTTTTTTAAATTTCTAAATTTTTCACCATTTGATCCTATTTAGAAATTCCTTTTATTTTTTTTTTTGGGAAAGAAAATAATATGACAATTATTTCTCTTGAAATTTCATTTAAATTCTTCCACCATTTGGGACAAATTAAAGAAAATTTTCATCTAGAGATTTTTTAAAAATTTATGATTTGAAAGTTCTAAAAATCTCATCATTAGATAATCATCAAATATTTTTAACCAAAATTTTTTATTTTTTTGGTTTTTTTATTGAGAATAAACATTAATTATTATTATTGAAACTTTATCTAAATTATTCCATTATTTGGGATAAATTTAGATAAAATTTTTCACCTAAAAATTTATAAAAATTTACCATTTGAAATTTTTATAAATATCATCATTGAATAATTATTATTTATTCTCAAAATTTTATTTTATTAAGTTTTACATTTTTTATTTTTTCTAAATTTAATCACACAAAAATACTATGAAAATAAATAAAATAAATTAATAAAAAAATGATAAAAAATACAAAACAGGAAAACGATTCAGCTCAATGGATAGAAGGCTCGACCCGACTGCAAGGATAAAAGATGGAATGGCTTAAAAAGTGGCTCGGCTTGGCTTGGCTTAAGACAAATATTGGAAAACATTATCGGAATCTAGAATTTTTCTAATTTTTTTCAAAAATTTTTTTTTTTTAGAACCTAAAAAATCTTTGAAAAATCTTATTGACTGCTTTTTTTGATTTCTACCTCTTTCCCTGATTTTTTTTGTGTTTGTGTGATTTGCATGAGTATGTATTTATAGGATTTTGAATATAAGAACTCCAATCCAAAAAGGAATCATAATTTCTTTTGAATTCCAACCTTAAACCCAACTCTAACTTTATAAACCAATTCCAACAATTTCATATAAACTTAACCACCTATTTTTTATTTTTTTCACTTTTTATTTTTTTTATTTTTTATTAGTAAAAATCAAATGTAGATTCTCGGACAAATTGAGATATCAACCGAGAAATTTTAAAAGTATTTTTTTAATATTTTTCTGAAAATGATTCAACAATTGTATAGAAGATATCATCGTGTATGGATAAGTATAAACTATTAAGAAAAAAACCAAAATAAGAAATATTAGCTATAATAGGTGTACATTTAACATTATCTCTTAATTTAGAGTACAATTGTGAAAATTTTTACTGGTATGGAAGTGAATTAAATTTTTTTGGCCTTTCTTCTAAATTATACGTGAACTAATATATTTTTAATATATTTATATTTTAAATATGTTATCAACCAGTTGGAATCAATTTTGTTTTCCATATATAGAATTATAAAAAAACTGGTTGCTATATATAATTTATTTTTTATGTATGGAAAAGTTAAATTTTAACAATAGAATTTTCATTGTAGCATGCATAATTGGTGTTAGGTGAAAACCATTTTATGATTTATTTTTTACATTTAAACCCTTCGAAAAATTCTTTTATTTAAAGACATGTTTTGAAATTGAAAATTTTTATCAATTATTTTTTACGTGGTACATTTTTAATTCATTGTTATTATAGAAATGTCAAAAGTTTTAACGTTGAAAATAAAAATTATATGTTGCAAAACTTGTGTTGCCTTGCTTTATATGCTTGAAATATTAATTGACAAACTAGATCCGAAGTCATGAAAAAATTCATCACATGAACATGAAATAATTTGGTCTAAACCTGAAATTGATTATCATTCGCTTGCAAAGTAAAATGAAGCACAAACTAATTTATCAACATTTTAAAAATTCAGCTAACTCACCTAATCCAATATTTTAAATTGATTTAAAAAATCAACAACGTAAATTCAATCAACTTAGATAACAGATACATTGTATCAAACCTAAAATGCCTTGAATTAATTAACCCCATACTGACCTAAAAATTAGTCAACCTAGAATGCTCTAAATTTGAAACAATCTCACAAGAACCTGACTTAGCATGTTTA